AAACGTTCGACACTGACTAAACAAAGAAAGTAAATATATGTCGTATTGATTTTCAAAACAAGAGAGAAATACCGAATATTTTACATGAATTCAGGTCAAAAAAAGTTCGCAGCGATTTCGATGATAACGATTTATCCAAAGATGGTGAAAACTCTTTGTCTCAGTCAATTTTCGAAGAATCGACTTCATCAAAAAATCGTAAATCTCAATTTTCCACAACTTTCAATTAATACATTGTCATTTTTCTTTCGCTATAGAATTAATTGGACAGAAAATAACTGATTCTCAAATACCACGTGGAGCTGTTCTCACTGATTTGAATGATGAAGGCGATGATAATATTGACGATCAACAAATTCAAGGTGATTCGTATCAAATTAAAAAGTTTAATGAACCCGAAGCCTGTGAACAAACTCATCATATAATAATTCCAAGTTATTCAGCTTGGTTTGATTACAATGCGATTAACGCTATTGAAAAACGTGCACTAATCGAATTTTTCAATGGAAAAAATCGATCGAAAACGCCTGAAATGTAAATTTTGAGTTGTCGATCATTTCTGCGAATTCATCACTGTTCGTTCGTTCTTTCTTTGTATTGTAGTTATATGGCATATCGGAATTTTATGATTGATACTTACCGTTTGAATCCGAATGAATATTTATCAATTACTGCATGTCGAAGAAACCTGGCTGGTGATGTTTGTGCCATAATGCGAATTCACGCATTTTTGGAACAATGGGGATTGATTAATTATCAAACAGACGCAGATCTTCGTCCAACGCCAATGGGACATCCGTCAACATCGCACTTTTCGATGCTTGGAGATCCAGCTTCGGGTTTAGCAGCTTCTAAAGTAGGTGCAATGATGAGATTTGTTTTCAATGATTGATCGATTTGAAATTTCTTCTGAATAGACGAATACAGCAAGTAAACAGATTGCAGATTTAAAGCAAGAAGCGAAACGTGAAGAACGTGATGTTGAAAGTACATTAGGTCTGAGAACGGATCAATATAATAAAAAACTTAATCTAGTAAGTTTCAATTTGTAATACAAAGAAAAGTTCAATTTCATACTCGTTCGTTTGTAGAATACGAAAACAAAAGCAAAAGATTGGTCAGATCAGGAAATTCTTCTATTACTTGAAGGTAAAACATCGAACTGATCTGTGCTTTGTTCTCTCAAAGGACATCTTTGTTTAAGGCTTGGAAATGTACAAAGACGATTGGAATAAAGTTTGTGAACATGTTGGAACTCGCACACAAGATGAATGTATTTTGAAATTTCTTCAATTGCCCATCGAAGATCCATACTTAGAAGGCAATGGCACTGCATCAGGTCCACTTGCTTATCCAGCTATACCATTTAGTCAAAGTGGTAATCCTGTTATGTCAACTGTTGCATTTCTAGCATCAGTTGTCGACCCACGTGTTGCCAGTGCGGCAGCCAAAGCTGCATTAGAAGAATTCTCTAAAACTCATGAAACAATATCAGCAACTACAGATGAGACGACGAAAGAGACTACTGAAGCGACTACTGTTGAACAATCAACCGACTTGAATAGTAATGAACATGAAGATTCATCTAAAATCAAACAAGAAAAAGTCGATGTCAATGAATCGGATGAAAGTAAAAAAATGGAAGTCAATGATACGGAAGAACCTCAAGTAACAAACAATGATGAATCAACAACAGCATCATCATCATCATCTACTATTCCAAAACCGACAACAAACACGGATCAACAAGATCCTAGAAAATTATTAGCAGCAGAAATCAATGACAAAGATATTAAAGCAGCAGCAGCTAGCGCCTTAGCGGCCGCTTCTGTCAAAGCTAAAGTAAGTCTCTTCAGATCGAAAGATATCATATTAATGATCGTTGCTTGAAATTTCAGTATCTAGCTTCAATTGAAGAACGAAAAATCAAATCTCTAGTAGCACAAGTTGTTGAAATGCAAATAAAGAAACTGGAAATCAAACTGAAACATTTCGAAGAACTAGAATCCATAATGGACCGCGAACGTGAAATGATTGAACTTCAACGGCAACAGTTATTGCAAGAAAGACAACAATATCAATTTGAATACGTTAAAGCCTCGGAACATAAACATCGACAAACTTTGGAAACTTTCAACGATAAGTCATCACCGTTACCACCAGCATCCAATGTTACGAATGGAAACGACACACATATGCAAAGTGAAGAATCAATGGAATCACAACAAAGCGATAGTAAGGACTTAACTTTGAACTTGATTTAGCTAAGCATCTGTTCTTGTTTCTTTAGGTTCACCTGCACACATGTTGTTGAGAAATGAAGGTAAACTATAATACTTTTTCTGCTCGCTTCATTCATGCTTTTTTTCGATCGGTTGAACTGCATGTTAGAAATCTAGTTTTAAAATCAATTGACATGTATAATGTGCTCTCTCGCTGGTTAGGATATACAAATGAGCATTGGAAAAAAAAAACAAATTTATGCTCCTAAAACCAACATTTACTTGAGTCTAGTCTAATGCTTATACATAATATCTATTATTTCCGTGTCAGTTGTCTTTCTATTATTCATGTGACGTTGATCTTCTATCGTTTTTTCTATTCTTCAATGATCCACTTGGGATAAATCAGAATTGAGCGAGAGAAAACGTTAATACATGTATTGTTATTGTGGATTCGATGTGACGGAATATCTTTTTTTCCAATTTCAGGCAATACAGTAGAAACCTCCTCTCATCCAAATGAAAAAATGCATCTGGAAAGTGCTGGTGAAAATGGTGACGATTCCAATAATATGTCTTCACTTACAGAAAATGATACGATCAATTAATAATAATTGTTTGAACAAAAAAATCTTTTCATTGTATTATTATTTCTCTCTCTCTCTCTTTCTCTCTCCCCCTCTTTAATATCTTGTTGTTCTTTTGCAAGAAAAAGACAAATGTTTCAAACTCACTCGAATGATCTATGTATTTTTGTTCTATTAGAATTTCATATACTTTTCTTTTTCGTCTTTTACATTTGCTCTCTGACATTAACTCACACAAACACATACGGAATGTCTCGAAAAACCAAACAACCAATTCGATGAATTCTTGCTAGAACTAAAACTAACAAAAAACAATAAATTCCAGATAAACACATAAAAAACACGCACAAATACCTATCAGTTGAGAATCATTTTTAGGTCATGGATCGGACTATAATAGTGAATTGTCTGATATACAAGAGGACGAATTATATCTATTCTCTCAGTCACAATATCATACTACAACATCGTCATCGATGGAAAGATTTCTAAAAAGGTCCAGCCAACCTCAACCGAACGCCTCAGTAATTGACCAAACAAAAGCATCAAATAGTAAAAAGAAGCTAAAACCCGATTATGAAAAACGACGTTATCAGTGTTCCATCTGCTACAAACGATTTCAGCACAAGCATCATTTGAAAGAACACGAACGATTGCACACAGGTGAAAAACCATACACATGCGATCGATGCGGCAAACGGTTTAGTCATTCAGGTAGACAAATCTGACATGTTCTTAGAAATTCTTCATCAAATACTTTTCAGGTTCGTATTCTCAGCATATTCATCAACGTAACAAATATTGTCGACCAGATCAAACGGATAACGACCTCGAATAACTCACATATTCTAGGAGATCTTCGCGAACAGTATCATCTGTAAAAACAATGTGTACTTTCTCCTAAATATTTTATTTATTAATCAGTCATCTCTATCACTAACTGCAGATTACCGTCTATATAGTCTTTTAGTATTGTAATCTAGATTGTCTTGTTTTCTTTGCTGAAATAAACATAGAACATTGTAGGATAAAAATATTAATCTAATCACACGCTACTAATAATACTAAACATGGACTACAAAATAAGAAGAAATGGGGTGAACTATATTGGAATGAATGCTTGTGCACAAATGAGCGAGAAAGGAGGAAATTTATAGGAGCACATGTTTGTGTAATTGACATGTTAAGTCGATGGGTATGGTATTGGAGCGATTGAGTGAATGAGAAAAGAATTAAATTTCACTCCTGTTCATAAAGACTTTGTCTGTAACTTTCAAGTCAACAAAAGGTGTGTGCAATATCGAAAAACATACATGTAACGTTATAACTTGAAACTTAAATTCAATTATCACGTCAATTATTCTAGATTTAGTTTGGCTTACATGTACAGATCTAGAAGGATGTTTTTAACAGGTTAATTACATTATGAAAACGCGCAAAAGAATTCCTATGAAGTTTTAATACGATAGGAGTAATATTCGTAGAAATTATAGATTGGCGTTGATATCGAGATTGTTAAAAACATATTTGTTTTCAATGTGAGTCTGGCTTGGTGGGGCGTGTTGACCGGTAAGAATTGGATAGTTTTCAAAAACAGCGCGATGTTTGTAGTATTATGCTAGTGTATGAATTGTCATTCACTATCTGAGACACGTAAGAATGTGATACCTATACTAAAAAAAACATGTTTTATATCGGCCCATGGGCGTCTGCGTACATAGCGTATGATTTGAAGCCTTGTGTAAGTAAGATGATAAAGTAGAACTCAATTGGAATACTGGAATAGTTAAAGTTAAATTTCGAGTTTAACACTATGGTCACACATCAACATTGATAGTCAGATGGAATTGACCACTTGTTATGTCTATTTGTTATGTGTCTTTAAAGAGCAACTCAATGAAAGAAGAGGATTTATTAGGTTCTGGTGTTGGTCAACCTTCGCCCAATCCATAAATCCAATATGAATATGGTCAATCAATTTATCAAGAAAATACGGAACCATGTTGACCATCCGTATGACAAATTAAATGATGCTACAGTTGGTTGAATTAGGCGTATATCATGATTATTGTTTATTCGAATATATATACTTTCTCATAAACATTTTATTTATTAATCAGTCATTTCTGTCACTAATCACTAACTGCAGATCATCACTCATGATCTTCGTTGAAATAAAAACAACATCAATCTAATGATATGCCACTAATGATGATAATAATAGACTACAAATGAGTAAAACAAAACGAACAGTTGTTGTCAATGTAGCCGACGACGCGCTTGGTGACATCTTCTCATCAAGACATGAGCCAGAAACACAACGAAGTCTTGTGGCGCAAACAACACCACGCGGATGTTGACATTTCAAATCAGCTACGCGACTTTTGCTATTCCACAAGCCTTTGCAACGATTTTGATTGAGAACTAAGTCCAATCGATTGTTTCCTGATGTTCCAACACCCACTTGAGTGACACCAAAACGAACAGCAAACGATGATTTTTGCTGATCCAGTATGAATGGTCCGTTTGGTTCGCATTTTTCCGTTGGCGATGTGCACTCACATGCATCGATGATATAGATTCCCTTCAAGTTTTCACCCGAGATGGATGATAGGATGGTTAAAATGATAAGAGAAAGGATAGGAAGACAGGTGACATTCGAGTGAACCATGTTGGAATGAATACTTGTGTAGAAATGGACGTGAAAGGAGGATATTTATAGGAGCACGTGTTTATGTAATTGAGATTTTAAGCTGGTGGATTTGATGTACAACTGAAGCGATTGAATGAGTAGAAAAGAATTTTATTTCATTTTTATTCGAAACGAGTATATTGATTATGCTTATGTATTGATAAGAAAGATTTGTAATCAGATACAGACAAGAAGAGAAAACTTTATTAATTGATTCTATATATGATCATGTTTGAAGAGTAGGCATTATTCAACCGAAGTTTTTTTCTATTCTTTTTTTAAGCCTTGATTATGACCTGGAGCTAATTTTAGTTTATGAAAACAAAATCTAATCGAAGCATTGTGAATTCAAATTCGAAAGAGTGAGGAAAGCAAAACAAGATAGATGTGACTTTTCGTCATCATTCATTGTCGCTAATGAATAGAAATAACAAAGCTTAATCATAAATGTTCACAGTTCATATGGCGAAAAATATCCGTGACCAGTCGATGTGCACGCACTGACTGAATGACCTTATTATGTGGACACATACAAGAGGGTCACTTTCTTTATACACATACATATATAGATGTGTTCTTTCTGTTTCTGCTCGATTGGTCACGCAGTTAACGCTCTTTTCCATTTCTGTTTCTTTCGATTATTCTTGCAAACAAACCAAGACTAAATTCGTTCGCTATCATCACAATTTCAACAATGAACAACTCCACTATTTCGAGCATAACAGATTCGCCGAAGACCGTAACTCACGACACAGGCGATAACGCCTGGATGATGACATCCGCTGTATTGGTTCTTCTAATGACACCAGCTCTAGCTTTCTTCTATGGCGGTTTGGTTGATCGCAAAAATATTCTAAATCAACTGTTTCTCTCATTCATCTGCATGGGTATCGTATTTGTACAATGGGTACTATTTGGCTTTTCCTTTGCATTTGGACCACCCATCAGTGCCGGTTTTGGTTCATTTGGTTGGTCGATATTACGATTTGGTGAAGCTAATAATGGTATCTACAGTCCAACATATCCATTATTAACATTTGCGATGTATCAAGGTACATTTGCTATTATTACACCAGCATTAATTTCTGGTGCTATAGTTGGCCGAATGAAACTCATTCCTTACATGCTGTTCATTTTCATCTGGTCGACAGTCTGCTACGATCCAATGGCACATTGGGTATGGGGTAGTAACGGATGGTTGAAGCAGCTCGGCACACTTGACTTTGCTGGTGGTACCGTTGTACATATTCTTTCGGGTGTTTCTGGCCTTGTTGCCGCAGCTATACTCGGTAAACGATCTGATTATGATCCTCGAAGTACTGCTGCTCACAATCTTCCATTCACCATCTTGGGAACTGGTCTTCTCTGGATAGGATGGTGCGGCTTCAATGGCGGTTCAGCTAATTTAGCGAAGTATGTACGAAGAATCAAACAATAAAGGTCGCCAACTAGTTGCTTCTATTTATCTATTTAGTGGTGTGGCTGCCCTCGCCTTAATTAATACAAACGCTGCTGCAGCTGCTGGCTTACTAACGTGGGTGATAATTGATGCTATTCGTGGACACGTCTCAATATCTGGTGCTTGTGTTGGGCCTATTATTGGTCTTGTTGCTGTAACACCAGCATGCGGCTTCATTCAGCCAGGATGGGCATTATTTTTTGGTGTATTCTCCACTTGTATCATCTATTGTCTTCTTCTATCCAAGAGATACATGCATTTAGACGATACATTAGACGTAGCGTTTGTGCATGGCGGAGGTACCGATGTTATTCGATAATATTTACGTGTAATAACTGCTTCTTTCCTTCTTTAGCTGGTATCTTGGGAGCTTTTATGACTGGTTTATTTGCTGAACAGACAGCAAATCCATCAGGTGGCTATGATGGTGCCTTCTACGGTCGACCAATTCAACTATGGTATCAAATTGCTGGTATACTCACAGCCATAGGTAATAGTATGATACTATTTGAAAATTTAATCGCCCGTATGTTATTTAGCATTTGCTGCTATCTGTACTGCTGGAATTCTTTATCCATTGGATTGGATTATTGGTATTCGTTTAGCAAAAGAAGACGAACTCGAAGGTCTCGATCTAGCTGGTATGAGACAATACTGTTTTAGTATACGATAAAAAGTTTGAATATACTCTGTCTTATGTCTAGCTCATGGTGAAGGTTGGGAAGTTGTTGCATCACGAGCTGTGGGTGATTTGGTGAAAAAAGTATTAGCCAATCAACACACAACACGAAACGAAATATGTGACAACGGCACTTTTGAATTACACTATACTCCCACGGATCCAACTAGACAATCATTTAAAGTCAATATTCCAAATCTACCGAAGACGACGAACGATTCAATCAATTCACCATCAATTAATCATCCCTAAGCATAAAATTCTCATATCTCTGGTCTTATTAAATAATAAAATTAATAGAGTTGTGTATTCATCATAGAATGTTGGTGTACCTATAGGTACAGTAGAACATGACTGATGATAAGGATCAAACGTTTCGTTCTTTTAACAAAATTTCCCTTTCTATCCATCATGTTATCAATTTACACATAGGAGAGTTAGTTGATAAAGGTCATAGCTTTAGATACAATATGTACACGCGTCGAATGCCTGACTATTCATGTCAATTTTGCTGGACTCTGAACATGAACAGAAGGAAAAAACGTAAAAAATATATCATCACCTTTTTTATCGTTTATTCAATACCTATCGTTGAAAGTCATTCATTTCGTTGTTCTATTCAAAAGAGAAAGTACAGATATGAATTCAACGAAAGTTACAACACACGACACAGGCGATAATGCCTGGATGATGACATCCGCTGCATTAGTTCTTCTAATGACACCAGCTCTGGCTTTCTTCTATGGCGGTTTGGTTGATCGCAAAAATATTCTAAATCAACTGTTTCTCTCATTCATCTGCATGGGCATCGTATTTGTACAATGGGTACTATTTGGCTTTTCCTTTGCATTTGGGCCCGAATTGAAATTTGGAATCGAATCGTGGAAATGGTTTGCATTGAGATTTGGTGAAGGTGATAATGCCATATATAGTCCAACATATCCATTATTAACATTTGCTATGTACCAAGCTACGTTTGCTATTATCACACCAGCATTAATTTCCGGTGCCATAGTTGGCCGAATGAAACTCATTCCTTACATGCTGTTCATCTTCATCTGGTCGACAGTCTGCTACGATCCAATGGCACACTGGGTATGGAGCAGTAAGGGATGGTTGAAACATCTCGGTACACTTGATTTTGCTGGTGGTACCGTTGTACACGTCTTATCGGGCGTATCGGGTCTAGTAGCAGCAATTATTCTGGGTAAACGATCTGATTATGATCCTCGAAGTACTGCTGCTCACAATCTTCCATTCACCATCTTGGGAACTGGTCTTCTCTGGATAGGATGGTCGGGTTTCAATGGCGGTTCAGCTAACTCAGCCGAGTATGTCAATAGTTGAGTATAAAGATATGCAGACAGCTGTTTATTCTCTCTTTAAGTGGTATAGCTGCTCTAGCATTAGTCAATACAAATGCTGCCGCGGCAGCTGGCCTGGTCACGTGGGTAGTAATTGATGCTATTCGTGGACACGTCTCAATATCTGGTGCTTGTGTTGGACCCATTGTAGGTCTCGTTGCTGTAACACCAGCGTGCGGATTTATTCAAACAGGATGGGCGTTATTTTTCGGGGTGACTGCCACATGTATCATCTATTCTCTTTTATTACTTAAGCATTATATGCGTTTTGATGATACTTTGGATGTTGCAGTTGTTCATGGTGGAGGTATAATTAATCATCTGATGATTGATATTTGGGTATAAGCTTTTCGATTTCCTTTGTTTAGGTGGCATCTTGGGTGCGTTCATGACTGGTCTATTCTCTCAACAAAAAGTCAATCCAGCAGCTGCTTTCGATGGCGCATTCTATGGTCGACCAATTCAGCTATGGTATCAAATTGTCGGTATTCTCATAGCAATCGGTATTATACAAAATTCATTCTGTTGAATAAAAAAATAACGATCATTTGTCTTCTAGTTTTTGCTGTTGTATGCACTGCTGGAATTCTCTATCCATTAGATTGGATCATTGGTATTCGTTTAGCGAAAGAAGATGAACTAGAAGGACTTGATTTAACTGGTAAATGAACACTGAAGTTCTTTGACCATGTAGGACATTCGTTCTCTTTAGCACACGGTGAATGTTGGGAAGTGGCAGCATCGCGTGCTGTTGGTGATTTAGTCAAGCAAATTCTCGACGAGCAAGGTGTTAACAAAGGACAATTAGAAGACAATGGTTCGTTCGAATTGCATTATACACCTTCTGACGCAAATCGGAAATCGTTTACTGTTCCTGTAACAACGCGACCAACAACAATCGAGTGTGAAAGTGATGATCGACATTGGAAATGATGTATACGATAATCTACTATCGCATAGACTATGCTTCAATCTTCTATTGTCGTTTTTTTCTCAACATAATATCCATGTGTATTAATGATTATTTTCTTTTTGCTAAATAAAATTGCCTTTATAATTGATTCAAGCAATCCAAGCTTTGTATCTTTGTTTAGTAAAAACAAGGCCACGAAGTTGATGTTAATATTGTAAATACAAGTGTCAGGTAAAATTGTCTTTGCAACAACGTATTGTAAATATCTCCTTCTTCATCTGCTCCATTATTGTTGACATCGTAATATCAGAACTTGGCGATAAAACTAGCTTCCCATTCTCATTTAAACCGTTTTGCAAAAGAAGAAATACTTTTACGATTTAGTTTTACAATCGTCGTATAAATAGCGCAAGAACAACATCTAATTCCAATAAATGAACTTGATTATCATCTGATACTATAGCGGCAAACCAATATTTTGAATAATCAACGGAAATATATTTAAACAGCAATTAGCAATAATAAATAAACTCAGTCAAACTTTTCTAAGATTCAAAAATTCGTTTAATTCCTTCTCACATTCAAAATAAACTTGCGAGAAAAATGATAATGTTATCTACTGAAATTAAAAGCAACAAAAATGAACCTAATATCAGAAAGATAGGCAGTTCCTTTGGTTCAAACTATGATACGAATCTTTTTTCTTCCCTTTCCACAAAAATCCTCTATCATGACTAATAGAAAGAGAAGAGACAAAATCATCGATTACAGATCAATCAAAACAAATTAATATTTGTTTTCATCTTAAACTACGTTTAGTTTTTATTTTCTTCCTTATTTAACTAATTTTCAAAATTAAGTCAAATTTCTTCCTCAATATTTTCCTTGTTTACCTTGTCAAACGTTCAGATTTCAACAATTTTGTCTACAGTTCTGTCTTCTATTTATTCGAGGACGACGTTGGATAGTACATCTGTCCACCTATATCTTTATCGACGGTCTATTCTGTTGTAACTAAAGTTACACGTGCTTAGAGAGAAAAACGTATATATAAACATGCAGTTTTGTTTACTGTACCATTCATTTAGATTCACAATGCATGTTTGCTGAATTACAAGTTAACAACTATTTATTATACGAATTTTTTCAGATGTATAAATGCCCAGGTCAACAAATCCGATGCTGGATCCGAATGTTCTATGATGACCCTTAGAAAATCCATGTTTCAGATCCGAGACCGTCGAAATCCAATGCGATTCCGTCAGCAGAATTTCATCGGATCCGTCGAATTCCTGTAGGATCTGATAAAATCCTATATAGGATCCGAGTATGGGATTGTTCGACCTTGGATGTACATGCAACAACGTTTATGAATACCATGCCCAACTGTCGGTAGAAATATATCATTTTTAATACATCTGTCTTTGTCTTTTCGTTAGGATCGGCTGTATGAAAATGCATGACAGTATGGGATCAATGAGATATTCTATAAATTACATACATTTTTCTCTATCGTATTGTTTCCTGATGATGGAGAAAGAATTCTCCGAAAGCTCGAAATAAAATTGAAATTCGTTGAATTTCACAATGTATTTTATTGCAGTTATTTACTCACTCATTTTTAAGATATTACATACTGCTATTCCAGATGGATTTATTGCATGACAGTAGTTTGTACCGGATCAATGATGAAAATCAAGTCAACATCTTAGCAATGGCCCTGCATCAAAACGTGCCGAAAGGTCCAATTAGTTTTGGTCAATGTGAAGCGGATTTGAGACAAAATTACGAAATGTTTCCTCTTTCCAATGTGTCACGATAAGAAACCATTGTTTCATCGCAAAACATCATCGATCATTCCTCAATTTAGGCTGTCGGAGCAAAACTCGCATACACAGCAAAATAGTGCTTCAATGGTGACTTCAACGCCAACAATAATGAATTGTTCAGCGCAGACGATGTAAGTCGTGATACTGTGATCCTTAATCAATGCACGCTTCTCGGTTTTTCAACACTTAATAGAAGTAATTGCAATAAATGAAGTCGTCTGATGCGTCAGCGACGTGGAAAAATCGCAACATCGCCAAATAATGAGGTAGATTTTACAATAAATCCCATTCACGCTCAAAATAACGAAACAAAACTATCTGTTTGAATCAACCACCGTTCATACTAATTGATTAAGTACAATGACAGCATCAGATGAATTTCTATTTTGAAGCGCACGTCTACGCAGAATAATTAATTGACAAATCCGAATAGAAAATATACACTCTATAATGCCACGAAGGATACGCTGTGCTTTCAAATTTTCGAAAAAAGATAAATATTTGTCAGATGAATAATATTCTGAAAACGCACAGACTTTGAACTGTTGAACAAAATGAGGGCACTATCTTTTTACAAAAATTAATCTTGCGAGCGACACCACAGCTATTCTTCTGTCTATATATATATCTATATCCACCCTCTTTTGTCCCATCAGTCTATTGAATGATTGACGGACTGTAAGTTTGGTCGTCTTTTCGAAATGACTTAACACTGTTTTAACTCCGTGTGTTCATTTTACTGGTCGGGTCAGCTTTCTTTCTTTTAATGTCAATCGAGCATTGTTCTACTCGTAGTTTATATCTTCACCATTCAATAAACGTATCTGAGGTCAGTTATGAGCTCTTTGCCACTCTACATGAACAAATATAAATACGTTAGCTTGATTGATCATCGCATTTCTCCAATCACCTCTAATTTTATCTACTGTACGGATAAATTCGTCTTTTTTAAATGGCTATAATAACATCAGAAATAACTGACGTCCATTCGTTAAAGCTAATTATTTTACTGGATGAATTATCTTTTAGTTTCTAATTGAATTTTTCTTTTCTATGAATAGGTCAGCAAAATATACACGCAGCTAGGAAATTTTCACCATGAAGCATGCAATTTGATACAATCTTTGATTGATGGAACATTGTCCAAACAAGATTTTGACACAGTCAGATAATTAAAAAGATCCAGCAGTATCTCGCCGACGTCGATGACATGCTTTCGTTGAGTATTTAACTTGAAACACAAACGCTTCCAGATTGTAAATCTATAACGTAAAGATACTAAACTTTGTTATTCTCTTCCTCTTTCTATGTTCATTGATTCCTATGTCTCATTCTCTTTGTTGGATTTTCTCCTGTAGTCATGTGCGTAAAATTTCGTTCAATAAAAGAGGACTAAGGTGTGAATGAACAGTGCATCTGTAAACCCCGACCCAGTTGAAATGATATGTCCAATGTTTTTGGTCAGTAGGATGCCGCTATGCAGCGTTTGTCTTTGACTGCAGTGTTCTTTCTGATGAGATGGCAATATAGCAAATTATGTTCAATATTGAAACTGTAGGGATAGATTATTCGCTGATGTTGAAGGAAAATCAGTCGACATATCACTATCTTCAGTGATGAATACCTGACGTTCATTTCTCTACCTCATTCTTCACGGCTTTCTTTTCTTACACATGTCTTTAGACATAGGCACCACATAAAACTTGATCATGTGTTAAAGGAATGTAGTCAGAACCGAACGATTGAAATGATTTCTAGAAAAACAGGTGAATAATACTGGCATAATTTTCTCATAAAGATTTTTTATGTTGATCCTGTCTACGACACCTATTAGTTTCAAGCGATTGTACGATAGAAAGTAAATAGTGAGCGCGGATTGAATACTAATATGCATCAATCCAAACGATTTTTGCAATAACATATTGCAAAACATTTCTTTTTATTTTTATTTTTTGAGTTAACAAAAACAAGATAACAATGAAGTTTTCTTCGCTATTGTTGAACAATCAATAATATGTTTTATCTGTTGAATGTCCAATGAGCGTTTCGATGATTTAAAATATTCTTGAAATTTCAATACCGTCGACATCACAGCATCAGCAATTGATGTTGAAATCAGCCTACAATTCTCAACTGAATTGGTCTGAGCAGAATAATGGAAAATTCTTACATTTCACTTTTCAGTCGTCGTATGAATAGCATAAGAACACAATCAAACTCTAATAATTGAACTCGATTATCAACCGATACCAATCGTGTGCCAATATTTTGAATAATTAATGATAATACTTTTAAGCTTTCACTGGAACTAAAGGGAAGAAGCGATTTTCAATAGTTATCGTTCGATTCAAAATTCATACCATGTTTTAATTAAATTTTGCAACCAAAGCAGGAATCCATAGTCAAATAACAATGACATAAGCATATCTTGAAGTTTACTAGTCGCGTGAAAGACGTTCAGTATTTCCATCTAAATCAGAACGATTTATATCGTCGATAGACAGAAAACTCATGAAATTTACTTTCGTAGTATCATCACACAATGAACAATTGTAGAATGTCATCAATGTTTTGAATACATAGGCATTCGTACACAATGTATAATCGATCGAATCTTTAATACCGTGTTTTAACAAATTCAAGATCCATCCACGTTCATGTTTGTACTGAAATTAATAAGCACATATAAAGAATTTCAAAATTCAGAATCTCTCAACGAACTTCAGAAGATACACTGTGAAAAAGTTCACCGAATAGCGGAATATGAACGAGATCGATATATGGCTGTTTTAGAAGAAATCGTGTTATTGTTCGATACATTTTCGATTCTAAACACCAAAAATTATACGATAAAGTTTATTATCGAAAGATATTTACCAGGATGGGTGAACAGATTGATTAATTTTGATAGAAACAGTGCCACAATGGGCGCTAATTTCAAGTTCGATTTCTTGATGCTTTGTTTCAATAATGTAAACATTGTCAAGATTTGTTCTTTACAATGGAATCGTTGTGTTACTAAATGTTGCTCAAAACGAGCAAGACAATTGTAAACGACAGCTCGTAATAGACCACAACGCGAACTTAAAGCCATGAGACAATAAGCGAGACAATTTTTCTCAACAAATTGTTGACATTTGACCACGTTTTCTTAAAAAAAACTCAAAATGTCACGACTCATCAGACTTCGTCGTTGACTTACCTGGTCCGAGTGAATGATAAAAAACCGGTATTAAATAGGCTGGATCGTAAATTTGGTCACCCTCTTCAAAAACACTTGCTTCAACATTCTAAACATTCCCCATGCATCTTTTCCATATACCAGAAAACAAGTACAATTCAAAACTAACCCTCAATCTTCTTGTCACTGGATAAAATAGAATCGATTTCAACATCATTCTATCATCTAGCAAATTCATCACTTGTTCTAATTTTGATGCTTGCAATAAAACACTCTTGGCATCGGTTGCAGCACTATATAATTTCAGTGCGGCTTCTCCCCAAACAAATGCTGACTGCATTGAATATCCTTGCTTTTCATATGTGTGCATACAAGCTAATGTATGTTGATCATTTTTTGATAGAGTTGGATTATAAATTGATAATAGCATAGGAAAATGCTTTGAACAGTCGATTGTCACAGAAGATTGATTTGCATCATAGTGTAGAATAAACAGCGACAGAGTGTCCATGAGTAGCGAACGATTGGAAGATGAAAGTTGTTCAAGAAAATTCTTGTGTTTAAGGAAATGACCGAATAGTTTGGCTAGATGTTTATGATCTTTTGACTCTTGAGAAACAAAGAATTGAATCAAAGTTTTCAAGAGACTAATAGCATTGGTAGTAAATGTAGAGAAAAACTTGAGTATATGACGAATTAAATCATAAAGATCGATTTGACTTTTCGTTTGAGCTAGAAGATGAACTGTGCATTGCTCAAAGGCCAATAGCCATTCATCAATATTTCTAAAAAGATCAACGAAAACCTCATTAGTTATACACGAAATGCATATATTACTGTTTAGCATCGGTGGTGGCTTCGAAAAATGAGACTGCCTTTGCAGTTAACGATTTGTAGATTGTCTCTGCTGTTGATAACGAATCTGGAAATAGTTTAAGCATCAATAGTAATTTATTGGTTTGCTTAATTGGTAATCCGTCTTCTCGAGTTTCGCTTCTCAATAATTCCATGATTTGTTCGGTTTCATTCGGATTTTGTTGCGAATAAACCCGTAATAGATCAAAAACGATTGATTCGGACGAGCAATTTTCAGTAAGCTTTTGTAAATAACTAATAAACACTTCATGTTCAACTTTTTCCTCGAGAATTAATAGATCATGAAAAACATAAGCGAGAAGAAGTATGGAACGAGTGGATTTGCTTAGTAAACGGTTGATGGCATCAGTCCGGTCATTCGAGCGAAGCGCAATTATCGTTCTAAACAAGAAATTCATCTTTGTAGTCTACAATCCATCATTGTATCTTACCGAACGATTAGTTTTGCTACAAGAATTCGAGTTGTCACTTCTGCATATTCTTTTCCTATTAGTTTGAAAATCAGTTTTTGTTTTAATCTCAAGACATTCTTCCAATTTTTGTTGGAAACTTTCTTCATTCTTTCGATTAGTTCCAAAATGCATTCGATTGCTTGTTCGAGATCGTCATCGAATACTTTCAATCCATCAACAATGGCGTCGAGGTATTTCTCATCTGTGATATTTGGATTGCTTTGTAATTCACGAATGATAATCTTCAGAATATCGAGATTATCAGTAACTGTTTGGGAGATAACGTTAAGAAATTCTGTTCGATACTCTGAAGATAAATACTTCGAAGTGAAGTAAATCAATTGATAAGAATTCGGTTGATATTCTAAGCATTTTAATAGAATTTCTGAATGTTGAAGTGGTTTGCCGCTTTGTTGAGTCGTATTTAGTCCGTTAATTAATTGACAAACACATGACACAGTTGAAGTATTGTTCTCCGGTGATGCATAGGATTGAATATGTTCGATAGCTGTATCAAACAGAAGTTCAAATGGACGACGAGAGTCATTGAGAAGCAGAGTGATGTTTAGACATTGAATCATTTCTGAGATTAATTTTGAACTATCGCTTTTCTAAACACGAATTAGTCATATGTAATATGTTTTTTGTACATGACTCACTTGTAATGAAAATAGTTTGAATATATTTAGTTTAATGGCTAGATTCATTTGCATATTATCAGGACCTTTTTCCAGATCAATATTGGAAAGAATGTATTTTTCAATCTGACTGATTTCGCTGGTTAACATCTACCGAAGACAACAGATTTACCAGATAAATTTCTACTAGTTTCAGTCTGCATACCACATTTTGTTTATCCGATGTTGTCATACTATTCAACAATTGTTGGATTTTCATATCGCTCCTATCTTTTAAATAAATTCTCCTTAGATGTTCATGGATTTTTTCCGATGGATGATTGACTTGTCCGATGTAAACTTGGAATATCACGTGACATAGATATTCATCGATTTCATTGGAAATTTCTAAACAGTTGCATCTTAGTCAACAAAAAGATTTCAATTGAACAACAGACCTTGTTTGGCATGCTGAATAGCATCCAGTGCGGAATAGATCATCAGACTATATCTAAAATGAATCGAATTGAAAAGCGGGAGATCTTCATTAGATTGGTTTTACCCGCTATCTTTGATTGTTTTCTCAAGTAATGGATAAGGGTTTAATATGATTCTTTCGATTGTGTTCGAAAGAAACTGTTCGATCTTTTCATCGCTTCCTAGTTTTAACCATGTGTAAAACCAGATCTCCAATTCTTGTCGATGTTGATTGACCATAGAAGATAGTTTGCTCACAATCTAGAAAATGTTGTTTTCATCAAACGAATAGAAGAAAGACGTGAAGCGATTCTTACTGAAGATAGCTGTTCGGATATGTCACTGAAGTTTCGAAATTGTTTGCCGAGTTTCAACAGCATTCGAAGTGGTGTACATTCAAGTTCTTTATTCTACGAGCGAAAACAAAATAACATCGTTTAAAATTGAATTTCTCGGCACCTTACCTGTCGTGCCCATGTTGCATCATCAATGGATTCTCGATAACTGAGAATGTTTTCAATACATTGGAAGTAGTTCTCAATTAAGTTTTCATTAGTTTCATTTTTAGTTAAAATTTCTTTGAAAAATGTTAATAAGTTCATAATCGAGTTCGTGAGAAGAATATCAAGATTGATATTCATGGCTGACATTGACATGAAACATGGGGAAGAATATAGTTTGAGAAGATTGATATATTGACTAATCGGTTGATTGATGTCCGATGTGGAATCGACTGTTTTGAGTAGATTCAATGAATCGCAGAAATGGTCTGGTTTTGGTATATATCGTAGAATCGCTTGCTGATAAATTTCCAGCGCATTGACTTTACCACAGGCAAGCGGAACATCGGTGATAATGTTTAATGCTTCTTTGACTCTTTCCAAAACCGACGAAAGAAATTTCATCGCGACTGATTGAATCAGGGCATCAGAATTTTTCAAAATCACTTGATCGAATTTACTCATGATGTCGATAGGTAAGGTTAAGTTGATTAGTATGTCCGTTAATTTGATCGGATCTGTCATTGTTTGAAAGAGTGCGAGCCATGTGTCTAAAGATTTTTGTTGTTGAAGAACTTCACAAAGAAATTCCAATGTTCTTGTCAGATTCTTCGAGCGACCACTGATGTATTCATGCGAAATCAATTTAAAGAATCTTGAAAAGAAGAGAACAAAGTGTTCAGTAGAAGAAGTCGCATTTAACTTACGATTGAAGAAGATCAGGGCATGTTGTTAAACTGGTAACAATCAAATTTGCTGCATATTCATCAGAATGATAGTGATTAGCAAGAATGACGATCACTTTGAAAATGATTGAATTCGAACTTCTGAAAGAACCAGACCTGCGATTTTCCTTGATGGTCGCGAAAAGATAAATTTACTTTGTTGTCGTGATTGTTCCGAAATTCGGATCGAAAAAGTTGATACCGTAGTTTTTCGAATTCAACACAATCATCATAAATGTGTGAATTATTCGGCGAACTTCATCTCTATCTGTGCTATCTTCGACTTCCATCTAAATAAGATGTATACATACGATTTCGTCAGTGAGTTGCTCGTATAGTTTACTTCTTCTAATTCTAGTGCTTCTTCCGGTTGATTTTTCTTCTTTTTGGTCTTGACTAAATCCTTCTGTCTTTGTTGACCAGTCCAGTTATATAAACGAATCAACGATTTCAAATTTCTATCATCAAACAAATGAATCTTGTCCGTTTTGGTTACTCCTGGCACCATAATGATCTAAATTTCAATAATTAGCATTGATTCTCATTCAAACACAATCATCTCTTACATTCGTGCGGATTTCATCCAGGATAAATTCCACCGTGCTACGAGAATCATTAGCTAATCCATAGAAGACTTCATGAAAGATATCTACAATATAAAAAGATAGAAAAGAAATTGACCATTTATAACCAGTATTTAGTACCATGTTCTTTGATTAAATTTCGAATGGTATCAATATGTTGATAAACTAACGGTGACAGAAAGAATTTCACGACCCAATACCGTACATCTTCGGTATCCTAAATAAAAGTGAAAAGTAAGCGTACGTACAGGAATTATACTCATTTACTCGAATGTCACGTCGTTTGAATAAGGGTTTCCAACATGGTCGTTTGAAATCGATCAAGGAGAATATTGATCGAGCATGGTATTCATTTTGCTGAACAATTGAAAGTAAAAATCGTAATGTGATCTTTAGATGACCTACAGAAAAATTTCATTAGCAACACGAAAATGAAATGTACAGCATTCATACTTGCTGTACTATGATTCGATAGCATGAAGTAAATGGTATGGATAGACGTTGGTATTGAAATGAACTTTTTGAGAATAACTTCAGCGAGATTAGCATGATTTTTCAACGAGAAGTGTTCCAATAATGTCGTAAGGAAACGATATAATGTGATATTCTAAGATCCATTCAATTTTTGTTGTACGTCACAAAATCCACAATAAACACTTTCTTACCTCGCTTGCTTTACGTTTTTCTTCGGAGATAAGTCCTACGACGTTATCTAAGTTTGAATTTAACCCTTGAAGAAGATTCTCTATCAAATCGTCCAGCTTTTCCGGTGATGGTAATTGACGTACATATTCATTGAATTCACTCAGAGCTAAATATATTGAGCAGATAACATGTCTCTATAGCACATAAATGTGAGGTCTAGTTACCTAAAAAACTACTTTCTGGATCTTTCAAATTCTTGATAAACGTTTCAATAGGAAATTCTTCTTCCAGTTTAGTTTTTTTCTCAGCATCAACACCATTTTCTTCGATTTTACGTTTGATACCCATCTAAAAGTGATTATATTTATTTAAGTTGTGCTTTCAGAGACAGAAGATCAACGAAAGATCGATCGGAATACGGCTAGGTATAGAATTGAATATCAAACATCTAATTGGATAGAATTTTGAACGAATAGAAAACAAGACGAAAGTCAAGTGCATTAGTAACTCATTCAAGGAAAGAGAACGCGAAATGAAATAAAATAAAATAGTTCAAAATTAAGCTGAAGAATGATTGTTTAAATAGATATTGCTCACCATTTCAATTATTATTCATTCGTACTGCACACCGAATGCTGACAATTTTTTCAGTTCTATAGAGTAGATCCTATATGCTTCACTTTGCATAATATTCATATAATTTTCAATAAATTTTCCATTATATACATATATCTCCGTTTTTCGTCGGTCAATATCCTTCTGATTACAAAGGTGAAATGTCCGAGAATCTATCCCTTGTAGAGTGAGTGACTCATTTCCACAAACAATTATCTGTCTTGCAGAAGTGAAGAGTTCCTTTAATTGAATGATCGATGGACGAAAATTATTGTTTGTTTGTTATACATTACGTTAGATAATAAAAAGAAATAAGCATAGAAGTATTAGTGCAAATTGTGTGTGCGATTTAGCAAGTGTTATCTTTTTTGATGACATAATCTCCTACTACTATTGTTTTCTCCTTGACAGAATGCCTGTAGTCGAGAAACGTCTGTAGACATCGTTGTGTAGAACACGTCTTTTGATCAATATAGATCAAATAACAGCGAATCTCTATTGCGCATCAATAGACCAAGCAAGAAATCTATGTGCGTTGTTAATCAATAGCAAAAACAATAAGTCGAGTTTAACTCAAGGTAATTATCTTTATCTCTATTTTAGAAATCTTCGTGTCGATAGATTTCAACTTCTGATTAGTGGAAGCTCTCAACAGTTATTTAGATTTCTTGGCCTTTGTTCGAGTAAGAACAAATTATGTATGCGTACTATATACATACTACTATTTTCATGAAACGGAAACACGAGTAGTTTTTATATCAAAATTCCAGTAGATATATTTATTTCATAGGATTAAAATAAAACTAATTGAGTGATGTTTCTACACACGTATTCATGCATAGTTTCGAAAGGGCTAGAAAAGAAAGAAAAAGGTCATAATTTGCTGCAGGTTATCATTGAGCTAACAAAACATAATGACTTAGAGAAATACATATTTGTACGTATTTATAATATGTAATGTACTATTATTCTATATGTGTATGTGAATATTATTATTCGGTATCTATTGTGTATGTTAACGGGCAGGTGACATGAGAGGAGAGAAGTGATGTGATTAGATACAAGACAAATTAAAACGACGAAACAGCAAATTCACCTTCGTTAGCAGGAGGGGGCATTGTTTCAGGTGCCTGTTGATCAACATTTTCACCTTGTGGTTCCTGTTGTTGTGGTTGGCTTTCTTCAAACGTAGGTTGTTGTTGAGGCGTAGGTTCAGTTTGTTTTTGAAAAACCTGCGGTGGAGGTTGCATTTGTAAGGGAGCTTGTTGTTGCTGTTTTGTCGGAGGAAAGTCTTCACCCACGATTGTACGTGGGATGTTATATGCTGGCTGTGGTGGCAAATCACCCTGTAACGAGTCTTTTGTACGACCCATATATTGATTACGTAAGGACGACAAAGTACTTCCACCATCATTACTTGTTTGTCGTGTAACCTGTTTTTGCGGTTGCGGTTGTCGATGCATCATTAAGCGATTGTAATCATCCGATAATGAGCCAGTGTTAAATCGATCACGTACTGATCCTGGATCGGCGTGAGCCAGTTGAATATGTGGCGGAGCAACAGCTTGTTGAATATTATTTATCGAATTGCCAAGAAGTTGTTGCATTTGTAAGAATTCCACGCTATTCACGGGTGGCTCGTGTGTTTTAGGTAATGCCGAGTAAGTCATAGTATGCGAAGTGTAAGAACTAGTTGTTGTTGATTGATGTGAGGTAGGATGCGATGCATAGCTTGAATTTGAATAATGTCGTGACGACGTTGATCGTGATCGTGGTTGACGTGGTTGAGAGGACGTTGAAATTCCAGCAAATTTATTCATTAGGTTCTAAGAAAACAACAATTGTGAGGAGAAAGTAGTACTTAAGATGAAAATAGATGAACATCAAACATACACGAATTCCTACTGGACGTGATGACTCATCGTCGTCGTATCGTTCAGCTCGTTGAATAGCCATTTGACGTTGAGCTAAATCGTTATATAAATTGAAGAGATAGAGTAGAAAATCTTTTGTTAGAAAATGATAGAAGAAATACCTTGTTCGTTTTGTCGTTGTCGGTCGCTTTCCAATCGACTTCGTCCCTGTTGTCCTCCTGCGAAATTAGCTGTCGACGCATACTGCTGTTGCTGATGTGACGTAGATGAAGGAGAAACTTGTTGTACAGTAACACGACGTTGCTGTTCATAAGAAGAATTTTGTTCTTGTTGTCGTTGAATTTGTTGCTGACGTAACAATTGTTGATGTTGCTCTTAAAATCAAACAAAGAAACAAGGTTATATCCATCCCATCATCACTTATTACTAATTTCACCACGTGTACGAGAGATAGTACACAAGGCTAACAATGGTAGATAGAACATACCAGGTGTCAACTGACTATAGTAGTTTTGTAAATGATCTTGATTTCGTTGTGGCGAAATTGAATGAGATTGTTGAGGTGAACCGGTTGACACAGGACGAACTGATACACGTTGTGCCTATATTTTATAAGAAAAACAATCACTTTTTCTTTTCAGAAGAGAGTCGTCCGTTTTCTCTATATACCTGAACGTAATAATCAGGGCTACGCGACGCATTTTCGGTCCATAAGTCGACATTGTGATGCGTGAATTGAGCAGCTCCTGGTGTTTGGTAGACGACTGCTGGACCTGTAGGACGACCTGGTTGTTGATGAGAATCAAATTGAAAATGATGCTGTTGAGGTGAAATTTGTGTTCGTTGTGGTGAACTTTGCAATTGATACGTATCTTGACTACCGAGAACTCGTACACTAGCGCGAACCTGAGGTGGTGGTGATTGCGCCGATTGGTACTGTTGCTGATTTATGCTTCTACCGAATCCACCTGTAGATTGATACGATTGTGGTGTTTGATATGAATCATTCAATCGAATCTGTTGATTTGACGAATGGGAAACCGGATAACTTGAATAAGTTGGTGAGCCATAGGAAGGTGTTGCCGATGAAGTGTAGTTTTGATTTGATTGACTTGTAGTAGTATTACTACTATTGAAATAATATTGATTAGCTCCACTTGTACCATTAAAGTATTGTGCACTCATTGTAATATAATATGTCGAATATTAGAAGAAAATAATGAAGAACAAATAAATAAATAAATGTACTAAAGATATGTCGAATCAACGGTAGACGAAAGTTTAGTAGTTACTAAACTGAATACAGCAGCCGTTCGACTTTTCTTACCGACACAAAAGTTTTTTTTTGCTCTATCGCTTTTCTTCTTCGTTTATATGATTTTCTTCTTCTCCTACGTCTCCTCCTCTTTCCTTCGCAAATTCTGTTTCTATGTATCTGCCGAAGAGTATCGTCAATGGTATACAATCCGAAAGAATATTGACCAAAAAGCAGATATATATTATATGTATATTTCTTCTCCATATGTGGGTGTTTTTTCCTAACATCGAAGCAAAAACGCAAAGAGCATACAGATATGTATTTATACATATAGAGTAGAAAACAACCATAACTAGAAGAAGGAAAAATACGGAACAAAAACATCTTATCACAAAAACTCGCTTATATACATCCACAGATATCTTTTTCTTGTGAATTACTAGTGGAAATGGCATGGCGAGAGAAAGAAGGAAAAAGCACATTGTTGATGATTAGCACGAGTGTCTCCATGCAATGAGACTTATGACCTCGTTGCCGCTAATTCTGTGGTTAAGACTTATAAACACGTAATGTTCGTTTGATCGTTTCACGACAAACAGGACATCTGGTTAATAATTTCGCACAATTTAAACAACATACAATATGACCACATTCAATAAATGCACAATTAGCGACAGCGTCTAAACACACTTTGCATGCTTCTTCTGTGTTCAAATCTGCTGATGTTTCATTTGATGCCATGAGTGAACCAGTTGCTCCGTTAGCATTGTAGGTCATCGAAGACAATTCTAGATAAAAGAGATTGTTATAGTCAGATATTTTCCAAGCTAATCGTCATACTTGAATCATCATCGACTGTTTTATTGTTTGTTTTGCTGTTTTGATTCATCCCGACTGTCAGAGATGCTTGCCGATTAGATTGAAGATATTGAAATTTCTTAATTAACTCTTCCATTGATAACTGTTTTGCCATTTCACTAGATTTCGTTTTCTTCCTCGGAATACTTGCTTGCCTGATTATTCGTTGCGACAAAACGAAATGTGAAGAATTCGGCGAGTTTATACTTCTATTGTCCTTTCTCTGACGTGACAAATAGGTGACTCAGAAAAAAAACACAATCTGATAAGTCGACTATAACATTGTTCGAAGAATGAAACAAAAAATCGAATACTCATGGATACGGAAGAAAAGAGTCACATGCATCACTGTCCTATTAGAGCTTTTTTCAGGAGAGCTTTTAAACAAGACAGAAAAACAAATAAAAAAAAAGAAACAGACTTTTTATTTCGTTTTCTTTTTAATTCTCTGTTTGTACATGTGTTGATGCATTTCTATTCCAACAACTTTTGAATAGTTAAAAGTTTGTTTTGATCAACAGTGGAGGACGAATGCGACGAAGCCGACAGAATCGAATATTTCTTCTTCTTCTAACTCTATTAATATTCTATATAGCTTGGTATGTATTCAATGCAATTCGTCGACCTTCACGTGAACCGGGAGAAGAACAAGCCTATTTACATGCTGTTAGCGGAGCATTACCGATCATACACAATCCCAAATTATGTTCGAAAAATAAAATCGATTTAATACTCGTCATTATTTCATCAGGTACACATTTTCTCGAACGACAGGCCGTTCGAGAAACATGGGGATCCATGACACACGCGTTCAATATACACTCTCAACGACTCTTTGTTGTTGGCTATCAAGAGAGTAGTAATCTTTATAGTGATCTTTTGAATGAAGCTGAACATGAAAAAGATATTCTCTATTTAACTCAAGATGATAATTCAATGACAGTGAAAGAATTACATGCTTATCGTTGGCTAGATAAATATTGTCCGAATGCGACATTTACATTCAAAACAGAAGATGATCTCTTTGTCAATTCAATTCTATTGCATGAACTCGTCAGTGAATTGAATCGTCAGCCAGAAGTTTCTCAAAATCGTTCGCTATACAATATTTCATTGGAACCACTGTTTCAAGCACGTTCAAATTCCGGTGTACATACATTTTTGTTCGGGTGGGCATTCGAACCTGGCAAACCACAACGGAATACTAGTATGGGTCAATATTATGTTAGTTACAAAGAATATTCCAAAGAATTGTATCCACGTTATTGTTCCGGTGAGAACTGTTTTGACTTTTCAAGAAAGAAAAAATCATCCCTTTCTTTGCATCTCTCATTTATAGGATTTGGTTATTTCATGGATTCGGAAACACGACGGTTATTGGTTGAGCAAGGTTTTACAGAGCGACGTCCATTTCGTTTTTCAGATATTTTTATCACGGGAATTCTGCCTGAACAATTAAATTTCGTTTGTGATGTTCTGCCATTTACCTACACTCAAGGAACCACAGAGCAATGTATTAACAATATTAAACGGAATAATCTAAAAGATATCAGAGTATCAACGCCACCACTGCTCGTTTGTTCAACAGGCCGACATATAGCACAGAACACCTTTTCAGATTATTATCGCATTTGGACTGTTTTGAAGTATGTTTATGGTGATCGAATGCACGGTAACAAACAAAATAAAGAATAGAACAATACAAATTGTGTTTTATTTATATTCGATCTGTTTGTCATTTAGTACTATATAAAGATATAAACCTGATATTTATGTACTTTTTACCAATCTCAGATATAGTATGATATCAATAATTGAGATCGAGATTCTCTTTTTTGAATGTAGGAAATTGTCACAGTCAACGAACAATGCTCGATAAGTAAAAGAATAATTAACTACGAATCGATTAGTTGTCATCATCGACAAGATAATGTCACATAAAGTAGCTCAAAGAAGTGTAGTTTTATTTATTATCTAATTGGAATGTTGCTTTTATTGGACTAAGTAGTTTGCTTTGATATTTTTCAACCGGTCGATCACAGATGATGCAATACGCAATAATGTGACTAATGCTATTCAAAAATAACTGCAAACAAAGATTTTACTGTTATCCTACCGCGAATAATATAAATTAAATAACTATATATAGATAGTAGTATCGTGTCTCAATGACATTCCCGTATGATATTCATCTAGCAAATGGCGGTTGTTTTCTCCATCGCACCTTTATCATTTATATTTATTTGGTCACTATTTAAATATTCGCTCTACCGTTCTCTGACAGCATCGTATATCGTCAACGACATAGTGTGTCGACAATGTTAAAAACGAAAGGATTGCTTTACGTTCTTTTATCGATATTATTGATCGGAAAAGTTTCATGCTATGAATATGAACCAGTACTTGGTCAGCAATATATTCAATTTCCAACAAGTACGAATAACAGTTTAGCTCAAAAGTATTTTATTCTTGGACTGGCACATTTGCATAGTTTTGGATATCAGTATGCAATCGAGCAATTTGAAAAGGCAATTCATTTGGATTCTAAATTTGCCATGGCCTATGTTTTCTCATCATTGAGTTATATTCAGCCGGTTTGGTTAGAAGAAGATCCGAATGGTGGTTGGAAACAGGTCGAACGAATGAATTCAAACATTGATTTTGCAAATTTAACACGGAAGGAACAACTCTATGTTCAAGCTATAAGAAAACTCTTTGATGGTGGACTAATCATTCGTTATGATGATTATATATGTCATTTAAAAGGACTTTACGCACTATTTCCAACTGATAACGAAATTGGATTGTTTCTGGTTGCTGTTCTATTTCGTAAAACTCAACCTGAAATTCGTGGTTATCTTCATCGAAGTCCACAAGATATTGAATTACAAATGAATATCTTGAGTTCAGTTCTTAAATCGAATCCAGATCATCCGGGTGCATTGCATTATTTCACGCATGTCTATGATCAACCTTTAACTGCGTTGTCTGCTCTCCCAAACGCTATGAAATATTCTCGTATCGCATCCAGCTCACCTCATGCTCAACATATGGTATCACATCTTCACCTTCGACTGGGTCTGTTTCAATCCGCTTTACTTTCTAACTTAGAATCGGATGAAACTGGCGGGAACCTACAACGAGAATTGCATAGTGTTGAATTTATGCATTATATCTATTTAAATATGGGAAAACGCACGATAGCATTACAACTTTTAGAAAATATCAAACCATTCTTCATCAATGGTTCGTTTTATCGAATGCAATATGGAATTATGTATGATCGACATATTGTTGAAACGCAAAATTATTCATTTGCGTTCGAAAATCCATTTGATTTGATTAATTGTTCCGAATGTAAAGCACTAGGTGATCTTCTCTGGCTATATCAAATCAATTCAGGATTATTACTGGTTAAAGGATTTTCCACGGTTAAAAATGATCAATATTACAACTTTACTCTAGTCCAAAATTATATTCGACAATTGAGTAGTATGTCAATACAACTGAATCAGACTGAGCCGACGCTTTCCATATCAATCATGGCTATGCAGTGGCAATTGAGAGCATTTCATCAATATTATCGCTTAGCTAAAACAAAAGAAGAAAAAGCTATTGCATTAGATTATGCTCGGATGGCCAGTGAGCTTGAGTTGTCTGTGAATCCACCATGTTATGGTCCACCCATCGATCCTGTTAAACCTAGTCAAGAACTTTTTGGTGAGCTACTCTTGGAAGATAAACAGTATTCGGATGCAATCGATCAATTTTTGAATGTGATGGCATATTTTCCAAATCGAACATTGACACTGATTGGTTTAGCGCGAGGATATTCATCATTGAACCAAACAGACTTAGCCCGCTCATATTATTCTCGTTTAGTGAATGATTTACTTGCCAAATCCGATTATGGCCTATCATGGTATGAAGAGGCACATAATTATTTAAGTGACACATCAAGAGATATATTCAAGTCAGTACTGTAGTTTTTTTGCGGAAGTATAAGAAGAATAAATGAAAGAAAACTTCGCGTTTCTGTTTTTCTACAGAAATGCGGTTAACTTATTGCAGAAAGTTGATTGAAGAATTACTCAAATTACTAGTACACTTCATTTATCTTAGGATCGTAATTGTAGAGCAAAAGCAAGAAGAGCAACGATAATAACGAAGCTGACGCAATTGAATGAGCTTCTGTTCCAAGTTGTTGTAGTAGTGGCTGGTGGAACGGTGGTTGTCAATTGATGTAATGAACTGCATTGAGCGATGGTAATATCATCGAACGCCACAGCCACTGGAGTTGGTCTTCGCTGGCTAATTCGAAAGTAAATCGATCCTCTGCATGAAGTGGGAGGAAAAGACTGAGTAACAAGTCGCCATCCCGCGCTGTCATCCAGTTCCGTTGACCAAAGATTGTCAGAATTACAATCGAGAGTTAAGATTTCTAACTTCGTATTACGCTCGTTCGGTTCTACATTTGTTGAATTGACGAAATAAGTGAACCGAATGCACATATCAGCATTTGTTTCCACTGCTGGGGTTTTAATTTGTCCATTGCTGAAATTTGCCGGAGTATCATCCGAACGCGCCCAGTAAAGAAACCGTTTGCCACTGTAGCCAGAAGGATACTTCGGACCAAGTCCACCATTTACAATTTCATCTGCTTTTTTAACATCACTGATAACGGTAGAATTTGGTGGAAGACCTTTGTCATCATTTCGGATGTCGCACATTCTGTTAGGATCAGAATCGAAATCACATGCAAAACTTAGATATGAATCTCTACGAAAAGATGACCGTGGATACTGGCATGTTGAGATTTTGATCGAATCGAGCGCAAATGAATTATTCACTTCTTGTTCTGAATCCATACGAAACAGAAGAGAATAATTTCCTCTCGGCAATGGTGCGTAGGCCCATGACCTTTTAAGTTAAATGAAAAAAAAAACGAGAGAGAACTATTTGCAGCTGAATTCTTTTATAACTTACCATCGTTGATTAAAATACGCGTAATTAACTGGTCGGATTGGCCAAATTTGCGCAAGAGATTTACTATTATATTCGTCCCATGCAAATACTGTCAGTTTACTAGTGTGAAATGCCGGGCCGAATCTGTAGTATTGAAAACTTAAGCAAAATGCTTTTTGGAGTGTTTCAAAATCAAATACACGTGTTTTCAAATAACCGGCACCACCGGATTTCAATGAATTCAAATTATTCAGCCAGATATAATGACCTAAGAAAAACATTCTTTGTTATTAAAAAATAGTTATCTTTCAGGGTGATACCTGTTTCGTCTCCAATGGAATGATCTACTGGTGGTGCTTGTTTTGTATCAGTTAAGGCTTGTTTGGCTTGGATAACGGACCAACTGTACGAGTAATTTGAAAGAGAAACTAATTCAGGGCATAAATTGCGATCAAAATCACAGTCGAACACTCGGGTTTCTGGTGGAGATATTGTATTGTTGCACAAAGAAATAGACATATCATCCAAATCGATTGATTGCGAAACGTTGAAATATGAACCGAAAACGATGAAACGTTCGGCATAAGGTAATTGTATAGTGTAAGCGTTCCATTGCGAATTATTACCACCGATTCCAATTAAACCTGCTGATAATCGGGATTGCAAATCATCACCTTGAGCAAGCTCTGCGCCGAAAGCAATATTCGTTTCGTTCGAATAGATCCACTGCGTTAAACATGCCGCCATATTATTTGGAGGCTCAATCCAATCTTTTGTACGAAAACTAACCGCCGATTTCAATGTTCCAAGGTCAGTCGTCACTACATAATGACCGGATAAGTTCCCATACGTATGATCAGCGTGCGTTGAAATATTATTAACCGTCCAGTATTTATCAAATAGAAAATCATCACAATTTTCTTCAAAATCACAATAGTATACTTGCTGTAACTGACATATTGTGATGCAGCCAAGTAGGAATAATAAAGCTGTTGTATGCATTTTACACATATATATCAGCATAAAAACTTACTATTTATATATAGCTGATCAAAGGATAACGTCACTTGCATACGCATGTTATGATAAAACTCTCTTTGTTGAGTATTGACTCAACAAAAACAATGACACACGTAAGTTGCTATAGAATAAAAATTGTCAAGGAGACTCAAACTGAATAAGATAGTCGTGTGTACGTATATGGGGCCTTTTCTTTATTGTAATTTCAATCGAAACACTTGAATGTATATCAGACAAAACAATCATTTTATTAGAAGTTCATTAACCTTTGTGAAATGTACGTGAAAAGAACGATTGAGTATGCGTAAGATTAGTGAATAGTTCCTTGTAATCCTTTAAAGTTGTTGGCATATCGTTCGAAACCGAATGGCATTTGAATGTATAGATTTCATAAAGATACACCAACAGACGATTCCATTGTTTATAATCCGATGAATAGAAATGTTCGAGATGATGGATGAGCAACTATATGACCAAAAAAAGGACAACTTTTCAAAGAGAAAATTTTATTAAATTACCTGTATTTGAGTTCCAAATAGCAGAATCGGATTCGATATTTGCGGTAAGGTCAATCGGCAAACATGTGAGAAACGATCTAGAAACGAATCTTGTCGATGATTGAGATATTCCTTGATTTCATTCTCGGCTGCATCAATTTGAAAATATTGGTTTATTGATTCTAAATCAATGAATTCATTGACAAAACCAATGGCTCGGTCCGAATATTTATTTGTTAAATATTCGTAATGTTCATGCAACTGTTGTAAATAAACAAAACGATTGAAATTCGAAAGATTCTTTTGCCGAGCTAATGCACGAATATTCGAAAACTTCTTCAAGTCGTTTTCATACTCAATTACGTCTAATCGATCGTAGGTGCAAAGTGAACACTGACATGATCGGATATTAAATCGTTCAAGATAAGTCGAACGTTCATTGACCGATGAAATCCACAATGGGCAATAGGAGATCGTTAATTCATCGCCTTGACGAACGTTAGTTGAACAAACATATATAAACAGATAATCCCCGATGAGATACCATGAACAATTGGGTAAACATGAATGATTAAACATTGAACCTAGAGAATACCATCCGAGAGTTGATTGAGATTTGTATGGATTTTGTTGTTGAGTTTCGAATAGAACACGCCAGGGAATGTATGGCAATGGCGGTGGCAATCGTCTAGGAGAAAAATGTTTCTGTTGAAACATGTGAACAACTAGTTGATTTACTTTGAAAAGGGTTTTCTCCATTGTTTCTTCTCGGATAAAATCTGTTCGTAATTTTCCGGCAAGTTCGATGAGGTTTCATTCTCTTCTTGCTGTTTTGACACATCATCTTTAACATTCTCTGCTAACCATCGCCGAATTGGTTGCATGGATTTAATCCTTTCAAATGTTGTTGATGTATCATTACCAATCAACAATTGCTTTTCGATTTCATTCAATAAACGTAATGTCTCGCTGCAGCAATATTCAGTTGTAGAGTCTTCATTCCAATAATTTAATTTGTGACTGTATTCTTCACCGATAGTTCGATGATCAATGCTGGCAAATGGCTGTTCAACGACCAACAGTGTTCCTACATCAAGATTTTTCAATGCATAAACACCATACGAACCATTTGGGTATCCATTTTTAGTTAATTCTTCTGAAGCTCGAACTTCAAATAAATCGTTGCGATGACACTCAGCATGATGATTTGGTAGATCAATAAACATCAATGGCGACTTATTAGTCATTTGTTTGTGTAACATTCCTTGTAAGTCATAGCGTCCTTTCGTATTTTCATCTCTCAATCGTATTAATTCTCTCTCTAGTATCGCCATTGTTGTCAAGTTTTCTCCACCGGACAGACCAACACCGAATTTGTGTGATTTTAATAAACCTTCAACTTTGTCAAATAGCCCAAGATAAAGATGAGCACTCAAACAACGGAATAACAATTTTCCTGTTGTTGCCTTCGGTAGTTCGAGAATGTGCGTTAATTCATTGAATGCAAGAAGAATACCAGTGTCGGCCAATGCTAGTGCTGCATGACGTTCGCGTAAATAACAAGCACATCGATTAGACAGAAGACGAATACGATGTTGTTCACGTTCATCCGTCTTTGGTCCGACTAAAGTCATAAGATTTCAAGCACTTTGAAAACTGTCGATGATCGTTTTCTTGTTACATACTCGACTGTCCTTTGGATGCTAGTTCTTTTTCTTGTTCGTCATCAAGTTGCTTCAAACCAAATGTATAATATCGAATTGCACTCAGATTATCATCAACTTGATAGCAAAGATTACCGATCTGTCTTAATTGTTCGACATTCGTACGATGACTGGTTGAACACCGTTCTTCAAAATCAATTAATAACAAATGAGTATTTGGTGATTCACAACGAAGTGATACGTCTCCATCTTGACATTTTTTCAGCCACGGATCAAGAAGAACGACACAGGAATTCATCGGTAATAAGTGACTCAACCGTTCTTGAATGTATTTCAAAGTTCTTATTTGTCTTGTATCGATAATATGTGACCAATTATAGATCGCTAGATGAAGACAATGACAGTTTTCATCTTGAACAATAACATGAACGGCAGAACGATTCCAAATTGGTACGGAGATAATTTTCAACCGCAAGTATGAATTTAAATGTAAGTGATTAATACGTAAAAGGTTAATTTTCAATGGTGTTGCCGTTTCCATCCGATCCATCTAAAATCGAACAGATCGTTCACTTCGATTCAAACGAAAAGCTTTTCTCATACTTGATCCGAGAATATATCAGCGACTAATGGTATTAAACGATATTGCATTTGTGAATTGAGATTATTTTTCATGAAACTATACGTTGAATCATTTAGCATAGTTTCAACTTGTTTGCTGAAATCATTGTGCTTCTCCAGTATGGCCGATTTTGCAATCGGAATCGAGTAGACCTCTTGATTGTCAGTCTCATCACTTTGCTGTATTCGAAATAGTTGAGATAAAATGTCTGGATATGTTAGTTTATAATTAACTTTTGATTTGTTTTTCGCAACAAGACTAAGCGATGTTTTCGATTTTGATTGTTGAAGATTTTTTAGTTTTTCTGTCAAGCGATCATGCCAATGTGACGGACAGTTTCGATTTGAGCAACAAATCGAAAAGTCAATTTCGTCAGCTAAGCCAATAATCGCTGCATGAGGTGTCAGAATGGTTTTCTTAATTTTTGAGCGTGATTTAGGCATGGTTTATTTGTAAAGAGAATCGATTTAGTTAACCTGAAAATAATTAAACAACCAATCGATGAAATAGATAAGTATTTTTCTTTCGTTTCGTTTTCGTCAGCGACATCATGCGAAAAAAAAATGTTCGTTCAAGTATATTTCTTTTAGGTACTTGAAACTTTTCTTTTTCTCTCTGTTGCTTTACATCAGTCTGATTATTTTTATTAGAATCATGTAAGTAAAGTGTAGACGGACAGAATCTATTTTTATTAAAAAAAATAAGCACACAAGGAAAATTGTAACACGTCGATTTCGATGGCATCAGCAACAGTACCACGCAATTCGGTACAAGCGAAATCCCTGACCTTGCTGGAACTGTGCCAAACAATTCATGATCTACGTCATATGTCATCACGAGATACATCACAAATCTTAACTCGTCGTTTGTATTTCCATCCCGTAAATACAAAATCGAGTTACAAGCCACAGTCATCGAAATTGATTGCTCGCGGTATTCTTCGAACGAACCCAATGGTTGAAGAGAAACCGACTTCGTCATTTCGAAAAAGAACGTCTCCTCATGATTTGTCTATTCTTTCATCTTCATTTTCACTAGTATCACGTACACATTTCAAAACGAATATATGTACGACTACGGAAAATGATGATAATAATGATTTAGAAACAAGCACAATCACCAGTTCATTGAATCAAATTTCCTTAGCGCCAATTACTCAACGACCACCTGTATTATCGAAAAAGAAAATGATGCCAAATAAATCGTTATATGTTCCGAATCCAAACAAACGAACAGTTCTATTAACCGAAAAAAATGATAAAAAAAGAATGAATGTATGGAATTATCTACATCATAATTTAGATCGTCCATTTCCACAGGATCCACCGACAACTCCTTTGCATTATTCAACTGATTTCGACATACAAAACCAAAAAAGTTATTATTCATTACCAGATATCATCAATTGACAGTGGAATCCGATTGTAAACAGAATTTTCTTTTTCTATGCTGTATATTGTAAAGCAGAAATCAATATTCAAATGTACAAAACATTCTTTTTCATGCTACATTTAATAAAAGATCAAAAGTAATCAGTTCTTTTCTTTTCGCTATGAAAAAGATTTCTTCACTTAATGGAACAGTATTTCTAGAAATGATAACAGTAAAGGTTAGCATCAGTAGGAAAAAATGGCTCAGTATACTACTGTTCTTTGCTGCCTGAGTGTTGTGAATCAGCACTGTTTTATTTTTCATCCCAACATTTCGAACTCAATCAAAGTCAAACGTACTTTATATCATCGACATCTTTTTGATCATCATCGTCGTTTTCTTTCTGGTCCTATTTTTCTTGTTCCTCAGTCTACAAGAAACAACACAATTCGGAAATCAATTTCTTCATCTTCTTCCGTTGATCCACAAGCACCTTTGATAATGTCATGTTCGTCTGATTGTTCTCATTAGACTTTTCGTTCGTACTTTTTCGTAAAGTGGCTGATATTTGCTTAAATAACGACATTCAAGTGCATGAACTTCTTCAAAAAAGCTTGCTTCGATTTTATGATGTTCTGCTTGAATATTTCGGAGTGCATTCACACGTCGTACAACTTCAGCTGGTAAACTACATACAGAAGATGAAGTGTGAGTGAAAAGTAGAAGAAACAAAAATCTAAAAATACCTTCCAACGAAAAACGATCCATCATTATCCATTGAATTTCAAGGCTGTTAAATCTTCCTCATTAAAATATTTTCTGGTATTCGTTAAATAGGTACTTCTCGACTACAGATAATTATGAACTAAACCGGGATGCTTCGCTGACTAGTTCCAATGCATACATAAGACATTGATAAAAGTCACAATGCCTGTTTCTCAATCTTAATAATGATATCTTTGATAGATTCAGCACATTTCTTTCTTTCTCAAGTGATCTCACCTTGGACAAATGCGTAACTAGCATCCTTTCTCTCCCTATAGAAGAGAAATAGAACAAAATTGCCGCCGTCGATCATTTGATTGTTCACAGTGTGTTTGATTGTTGTGAGTAGGTGGCTTTTGTTTTAAGTGTGGTGTATTCCGTACCCATTATATATGTATTATGTGGGCTCAATAAATGACTCATTGCTAGTGGCATCTGATTGGTTTGTGGCTCGTTTCATGAGCCTTACGGACGTGCTTGGCGGAATTGACATATTTACCATGTACTTTTTCGTTTGGCAATTTGTGGGTTCTATGCATAAATGGATTTATCACGATACACCAATGCTTATTAGCTGTAGACTAAGTTCTCTCATCATCAATATGCAGTTCGTCTGCCAGATGGTTTTTTTTTCATGGGTCAAGATGCTCCAAACGTTTCCCGTCGTAAGAACATTTAGAAGATTTGTCTCTTAACTTAGTTGATATGCAGAAGTTTGATCAGAAGGATGATTCTTAATACTCAATAAGAAAAGGTATAAAAGAGCACCTCGTCTAATGAGAAGAACTATTTTATTAGTAAGGTCATTCTTTCTTACGTAATGACACAAAATTATTTAGCTATTGTTTTTTTGTTTAGAATAGTTTCGATTGTCTTCATACGAAACCTTCAAATAAAGAAGAACAACGAGCAATCGACCCGCCCCATTATTCTATTATCCTACGTCTCCAATTGGTCTGTATCCTGTATATAATATTAGCGAATTAGTTGATAATGATATTGCTGATGGTGACGAAGATGACAAATTATATTTTCCATGTATAGATCGAGACGACTTCTTTATGTTCAATGTGACCCTATTAATGATGATATTGCACAATGCCTCATTTACAAGAAGAGCCTGGATAGTACTTGGTTATATGGCTAGTATTATGAAAGTCGAAATCAGATGTTCACTTCGTTTTTCAGTGATATATCTTCTCACGTTTCTGCGTTATACTCACAAGTTGATGGTTTGTGCACGAAGAGAATAATGTACGAAAATGTAATGAAAGAGAAAGTTCTTTCTTCGCTGTATGCTTGATATTTTGTACTGCTACTTCTTGCGCAAGCTGTGTAGCGCGTACATCTAATTTGGGATAAGCTCTGTGGGGGAAAACATTCGAACACAGCGAGCAAAAAGTTCGGTGTCCATATGTTTAAACAAATGATAGAATGGAAGACTTATTTCATTTCGTTGGATATTCTCTTTCACGTAGATTTTTTTCTCAAATGCGAATCTTAGTACTCTATTCGCCATACCTGTTACAAAGGTTTCTACTAATAAAAGCGAACAACGAAGTTTCAAGATGGTTTGTATCTGATCTGCTTTGCTGTACTTCTATGCTTATTTCCAACTGGTGCTGCGCCAGAATCATTCCAAGAAAGTTCTGCGATTTTTCAATACATATCGTTTACAGCTCGGAATGTGGTTATTGCCGTCTATGCAGACATTCCAGGACGATGGTTCCTGGAAGCAGGATTCAGCTTATTTTTGGTGAATACCGGCAGGATGTTTTTGATTTCCGCGTTGGATACTATGGGAAAGTGCCTGAAATCCTGTTGAGAGAATCGGGGATCGTATCCGACTATCAGTTATGGCAGATTCTTGTCGGTTCCTCAGAAAATCGGATAAATCCGATGATAAGATTTAGTAACCGGAATATTGCTTCCATGAAATCTCCAGAAGGTCCTGAAACTGACCGGTTCTGGGCTGGATTGTTTGACCTGGGTAGTATTTGATGCCGCTTATGCTGTTTGGATTGAAGACAGGCACCGAGAAGTCGATTAAAAAACTAACAACATAAAATAGAGACGCAAATATCGCATCGAATAAAACTTGCTTCATTTCTTTTAATAAAGTCCTATTCGGAAAAAAGCTCATCGTTTGAAAATAAAACTATTTTCTATAGATACTTAATAGAGTAGAAGTCGATGTTCTAATCTGCAAAGCATTGTTTTCCTTATGTATCTCTCAGAAAAAGAATTGAGAGAAACTGTTCCTTCTTTTCTTATCATCTTCTTTTTTACGTTGATAAAAGAATGTTTCTAGATATAACAATAACAACAACAGTAGATGAACGTTTGGAAAAAAACAACCAACAAAAAAAGTTAGTATCAGCATTAAAAAAAACGACACATTGTCACTGTTTTCATCTTCCTTATTTTACTGTTGTTTGCATTCTGGTTGTTGTTGACCAGCACCGCCTTGTTTTCCACCACGAGATTTCTAATTTAATCAAAGAACCTTGATAGATAAAGTTGAACAAAGTCAGAAATACTTACACCACCGGGACCATGTTTACCACCACTTCCATGATGATGATGATGTCCACCGCGGGGCGCAGCCTGACCTTCATGTTCGTCATCATCGTGATCATCATCGTCGTCGTCATCATCATCATCGTCTTCATCATCTTCATCTCCTTCTTCATCGTACTACACAGAAAGCAAACATAGTATTGAGTAAATAGAACAGTTTTGTCCTAGAAAACTTCTTCGTACTTCTCCATCATCTTCATCGGCAACTTCACCAGTATAGTAAAGAACAGCTTTGGGCACAATCGAATCTCGTAACATATGACCGATTTCAAAATCTGCTGCTAACATTCTCATTTCATCACTATCTTCCATTTCAGCATCAGGATCCTCGGGAACTAAAACAAAAATGAATAATTCGGTGTCAACATGATCAAGCAAAACGATCGCATCTACCAGTTGGTGGTGTGAAAAAGTTGAAAAATGAATCTGTTTGCACTTCTTTGGTCACTACTCGAATGGTTCCACGATTCTTGTGTTTTTGTCGTTTTTTAACCATTTTCATTGTGACATTTTTGCCTTTATTCCATTGAATTTCGCATCCTTTCGATTTGATGATTTCTGGTCCTTCATAAGCTAATGGTTCATGCTCGTCTGGTCCAGTGCGAAGTTCATAGAATTTTGTTAAGACGGTATTAGTGAAGTATTCATTTGGTGTAAATTCAAATTCAATGGTGAAACCTTTCTCATTCGCTTCATTCTTCATAGTAATACGGACGTCGATGAGATGTTTGAGTACTTCTTCATCTTGTTCCTAGATATGTTGATAGGTTTCATAGACAATACAAACACTCATGCTGTTTTTACTTTGATCAGTTCAGAAAGAACATCAGAATTTTTGAATACTTGCAGCCAAAATTCAGGAATACCGACTGTTGTTCCTACAAGTAATCAACGACATTCATTTTTAAGCAAGTTTTCTTCGTCACAAATACCTTCGTCTTTCTTTCCTTCTGCTTCTTTGTCTTTTTTTGCTTGTTCATCAGTCTAGGAGAGAAAATACACTCAGAAATTCGATCTCTCCATCCGAATGATTCATCGTACTTCATCTTCATCAAATGCACATTTACTTTCTTCTTCTGTTGGCTCATAAGCACCTTTGATAATGTTCAAACGCTAAAAAGAACACATGTCATGTTCGTCTGATTGTTCTCATTAGACTTTTCGTTCGTACTTTTTCGTAAAGTGGCTGATATTTGCTTAAATAACGACATTCAAGTGCATGAACTTCTTCAAAAAAGCTTGCTTCGATTTTATGATGTTCTGCTTGAATATTTCGGAGTGCATTCACACGTCGTACAACTTCAGCTGGTAAACTACATACAGAAGATGAAGTGTGAGTGAAAAGTAGAAGAAACAAAAATCTAAAAATACCTTCCAACGAAAAACGATCCATCATCACCCATTGAATCATATCGTTGTTGACTAGTGTCAACTGTGCTTGATGGTGTTTCAACGGATGCTGGAGATGCTACTTGTTCATTATCATTTTTGTCCATGTTTTTTCTTTTTTTTGGTTATTTTGTATAAAGCAACGAAATATGTCTTGTGCTGCGTAATTTATACTGAAATCGAACCGACCAATGAGAATTGTTTTGAATAGGAGCTCGTTAGTTGAGCTTCAAAATGACAAAAATTCGTTAATTAGAACATTTTCTTCCGTAAAAACCTTTTCCTTTAATTTTGAGCGAAATCACTAGCGACATCTTCGCTTGGGTATTTATTGGATGAGAAGTATAGAATAATATTGATTATTTTTCATTTTCATTTGCAAAAATACAATGTCGAACTTCGACGACTCACAAACTAATCCTTCCATGTCGACCGATAATGATGAAACTGCATTATCAAAATACGAAGATGAATTAGAACGCACAATTCAAGAAAATCTAACGAACGAACAAGATTTATATACACAAAAATTATTTCTTGCGTTTCAAAATGCAGCTACAAATGTGACAAAAATGTTTCGTGGTATGAAAACAATTTCTATTAGTATCATTTTCTACTTCTATTTGTAGAACGTTCGAATGGTACTACCAATTGGAATGCCTTTCATACAGCAGCTGAATCTGTTGCCATGCTTTACAAAGGTATGTTAGAATGGAAACGAAATTTATACACATGATTCATTTGTAGAAAGTCTCGATGCATTGAAAGATACTATTCAACTTGGCATCATCAATGGTCAGCAACGTAAAACTAAGCAAATCTTATGTTGGACACGTCGTAAACAACGTCGACATATACGTACGGATGAACTTTATAACTATTTGATTGATCGTCCAGCTGCTTATCCATCCGAAGTTCATAATTTACATGTAAATACATCGAATTCACTTCCAATTGTTGATGATTTACAAACATTTCGACAAGCCCTTGTTATGAATGGTAAATTGAATTATTATTGAATTGTAATCGATTGTTTTGTTTATCGAATAGATAATGATAATAAAACTCATCACGATATTTTGTCAAATCGTCAGTCGGAACAGCTGGAAAGTTTTGTTAGTCAACAAGTTGCTAATCAATTGGCACGAAAACGGGATTACCATTCAGCTGAGCTGTTCACACATGATCTTCAGAAGTCAAAGCGTACTCGTCATACTTAAGAAAATAAAGCAAAAAAACAGAGCGAGCTATGATAACTTATCTTTTATCATTCTGTTTGCTTTCGACTGTATTTATAAATCTACCTATTTTTCGTTAACAAACATATATTCGTTTAGTTGTGTTATAACTAAATGCAAAGGATATTTTTTTTCTGTTTCATTTGAACAATAAATTTTTTTGGGAAAAGAAACATTTCTGCTTAAAATCATTCGGCTTTTTCTAGAGAGACGAACATGGCAGTGATTTCATTTGCATTATTATTCGTTATTTTCACTGTTTTATTTATTCTTCGCTATAAGGATTGGTTTTTATATCGTATCAAAGTCATACGCACCTACGAAACGATCCCATGTCCGGCCGGGAAATTACCTGTATTGGGAAACATACTTGATCTACCTGTAAATCCATATGGTAAGAAAGAAAATACAAGGAAAAAGTGCGAAAAATAATGATTTCTTCATGTAGAGTTCTCGAAAAAACTCAGTGAATTCTATGAAGATGCAAAAAAGACGGATCTTTACTGTTTATGGCTCGGAACGCATCCGTTAATCGCGTTTTTTCATCCCGTTGGACTTGAAGTTCGTTGTTGAATACCATACAAACGCGAACGCTATCTCGTCGTTTTAGCATTTCTTTGCCAATTCAAAGCATATTACTAAATCATCGGATTATATTTTTCTTCATCCATGGTTACGAACAGGCTTACTAACAAGGTTTGGGGATACATAATAATTTGATATGCTATGTTTTTCTGACCTTTTTTCTTAGTGCGGGAACAAAATGGAAAAATCGTCGACGTATATTGACACCTGCTTTTCACGATAAAGAACTATTAAATAATTTCGTGGAAATCTTTAATGAACAAACGGCAATCTTAATGCAACGTTTAGCATCCGTCACAGGAGAAAAAGAAATCAATTTATATCCATACATCGCATCGTGCGCTTTAGATATCATTTGTGGTTTGTATTTTTAACCGACGATTTCTTTTTTAAAATTGTAATTATAGAAGCAGCAATGGGTTTAAGCATCGGTGCACAACAAAAACGAAATTCTGAATATGTCGATGCCGTTCTAAAGTAAAACTAATATGAGAAGAAATGTCAAGAATGAATGTATTCTAATTTAGATTAACAGATATCATTTTGAAACGTCAACGTATGCCATGGATGTGGCCTGATACGGTCTTCAAATTTTTACCCGACGGACGTGCACATGATCGTTATTTAGATATTGTTCATCAATTTACCAAAAAAGTTATTGATGATCGTGCACGAGATTTCCACGCAAGTGAAATTAAAGGCAAACGTTCGGCATTTCTTGGTATAAACAAAAACTTTTCTTCCTCGATTTCAGTCGCTTTATTTAGATCTACTTCTCAAACAAATGCATGACGAACAGTTGACACTTTTGGATATTCAAGAAGAAGTTGATACATTCATGTTTGAAGTAAACTTATCACTGATGTCGTTTAAAAAAAAAGACCACATTGATTCATTTAGGGACATGATACAACAGCTGCTGCAATGAATTTTACTTGTTTCATGATTGCGTCACATCCCGAAGTTCAACAAAAATTGCACGAAGAGGTTGATCGAGTATTTGGCAAAGATCGTGATCGGCATTGTACAATGGAAGATATTGAAGAACTACAGTACTTAGAATGTGTTATCAAAGAAACACTTCGACTTTTTCCATCCGTACCATTTATTGCACGGGAGGTTCAAGAAGATTTTATGTATCGTAAGTTCGTTTGTGAATTCTACTTCAATCAACACATGAGCTCATTTTCTAGATAATCATAAGATTTTAAAAGGTTCAACAGCTGTTATCTTTATTTACTATATTCATCGCGATCCGAAACATTTTCCTGATCCGGAAAAATTCGATCCCGATCGATTTTTACCTGAGAATAGCGTCGATCGAGCACCATTTGCATTCGTGCCATTTTCAGCTGGTTCGAGAAATTGTATCGGACAACGCTTTGCATTGCTCGAAGAAAAGACCATTCTATCGTCGATCTTAAGACGCTTTAAATTGAAAACATCGGAATCACGCGAAGATTTGCATCTTTCCTTCGAAGTTATTCTTCGTTCTGAAAATGGTGCTTTTGTTCAACTTGAAAATCGAGAATAATTTGTGTAAATGTTTTTTGGCAATGATTTTTTTAGATAGAAAAAAAAATATACGAATGACGAATGCTTCGATTGAAGTCGATTTTTCTGACGATATAGAAACAGATCATCCGCGATGTGTTCATGGTCCAACATTGTTATTTCGTTCATCAACCGAACGATTTTTTGCTTGTTCAGCTTGTCGAGATCGACAAGAATGTGATATTTATATACCATACGAAAAACGATCAAGTAAAGCATCGAAGAGGATCATCAAACAACATGCGATTGAATACAAGCGTTTCAAAGAACACATACAAACAATACAAAAGAATCGAGTCAAATTCAGCAAACAATCTCATATGTAAGCGCTTCGATACAGACTGTTGAACACAAAACTTAGTTTTTGTACTTTAGTCACTATTGTTCTACTTGTTCTCTTCTATTTCTCGAAGTCAATCAATCTGAACATGCTGATCATGATTATTCCGAATCATTAACTCGTCGGCAATATCACCAACCGTGTCGATATCTTCTTCAACCACTTGAGAAAAAACGTACCAATGCTCAGTTTTTCTTCTCGCAAACATTTATCGACTATTTCATTACTAAACTTCTCAGTCAAGGTTCATGGGATAGCATCATTTGCATTGGTTGTCCGACGATTTTTGAAAATCTTAATCGTCCCGAGCATAAAAACAAATTTCGAACTTATTTACTCGATTACGATCATCGACTTTGTTCGTTTTATTCCAGCAAGCGAATGCTAATCTATAACATGTTCAATGGCCATATATTTTCGAAGACGAAATTCTTTTATGGACAATTTTTATTCAACACCAAAAATTGTTTAATCGTTATCGATCCGCCATTCGGTGGTTTTCATCGTGCATTAGCTTATTCAATTGACAAACTCGTCTCATCTCGAAATATCACACACAATCTTATACTTTTCAATCCATACTTTCTCGAAAAATGGATCTCTGATGCATTTCCAAGTTTGAAAATGTTAGATTACAAAGTTGAATACACATCCAATTCATCTCTACATCTCTGTCGTGGAAAGAAAGGATCGCCTGTCCGAATGTTCACTGATATTTGTCCGTCGAAATGTCCGCCGTTGGATGATGTTAATTATAAATATTGTTTTGAATGTAATCGATACACACTACTTACCAATCAACATTGTTTTCAATGTCAATCGTGCACGTCGAAAGATGGTTTACCGTATAAACATTGTTTATTATGTCAACGATGTGTGAAAAGTGAAAGAGTACATTGTATGAAATGCAATGTATGTCATTTAAAAGATCAATGTATGACTGAAACAACCAAACGCACGTGTCAAATGTCAGATAAGGAAGAAAATCGAAAAAAATTTAAAAATAAATAAAGATTTGTTATTGAGTATCAATTTATAAAGCAAGTTCTCAGCAGATGTCTTGTTTTGTTTTTCACGCATAAAAAATATAGGCTCTTTTCAAAAATGATTATCTATCTATAAGGCACAGAAAACAACCGGGATAGTTAATGTCTGTTTATACTGTTCAACTTGTCGGAGATCAGGAAAATGATTTTAAGCGATAACCAATGGATATGGATGGACGACTTGTAACCGTTTCTCGTCTTAATATACGATTGTTCTCCGCGAAATCAATTGATATTGATTGACGACCGCCTGTAGAAAGTAATGATCAGATTAGGAATGTTTTCTTTTCTGCATCGCGTCAAATACTTCGATTTTGTTGATGTTAATCGGATGAAAATTTAGATTAATGGAATCTTGTCGATATAAAGTAATGATATCCGAATGAGATCAGTATAACATTTCTATATACCAGAAATCTGTTGATTAGAATGAAATTCTTCTGTACTTGCGAATATTTGCTTTCGATTTCGACTCGTATGAATGTGTATGTTAATTGGTCAGAAATAAGAAGGAGCAGAGCAAAAGTATGTGCAGACAGATGTAAATATGTGCAGATCGTGTTTAACTCAACAGACCTGAACGTTGACGCAAGATGGTCGCTGCACTTTTTGTTCGTATTGATGGATCAAATGATAGATTTGTAGTAGCGATAGGTGCTTTCATGGATGGATTTGCGGAGATTTGTGGTACGGCGATGGCCTGAAAATTTGAACGACTCGTTCGAGGATTGGTTTCTGATGTACGTAGGGCTTGTTGGTAACGATTGTACCGTGCTCCATTTTGAGATGAGAGCATCTAGGTGAAATGGAGTAAAAAAAAGAGAGATGTGGATGATGAGAGAAATAGTGCTAACTTTGTCATCGAAGATGTGTGCATTACGTACCGGTCGAGGTTCGTATTTCGGCAGTTGAGATGGAAAATAATGTTGAAATACTTGACTACCTACGAGATTCGTAGAATAATGCCGATTTGTCTGTGTGGCGGATTGTTTTGGGCCGGGATATTGAACAAGTGGTATATTTTGCGTTGAATCAGCCGCGTCCAATTGTTGCTAGAAAGAAATCAGTGGAATCCATGTATTTTTAGTAGAAAAATTAATATAGACCACAGTGTTGCGTTGTGTTGATGGGTTCGGCAGAATATCGAGAGATGGTGGAAAGTTTGGCATGACACCATTTGAGTTGCTCAACATTCGATGACATAAATCAACGATACCTTTTGACAGTTTATATAAAAATAAAATATTGTTCTCAGATGACAAATTCAAATACTTACCCATTCCTCGAATTAACGTCTCTCGATGTCTTAATAATAGTAATCGTTCCATTTCTTCTGTTTCATCAATGTCCACAGGTTGTGTCGTATCAATATCGAACTGACTCGGTTGAACTGATGCACCCATATTCTACATTGATCACCATACGATCATCAGATAAAAATCAACGAAAAAGAAATTTTTTACCACAGTCAAACGTTTTAATTGTATTCGATTGAACGATGGACTTCTCGAAGATTTCACGATTGGTAACGAACGTTTGCCTGGACTTTCTCCATACACTTCTTTACTATTATTAACACTTGTGCTCACTCCTGGCTTATTATTCTTGAAAAAATTCATCTTTTCTTGTTTCTTCTGTAACTCATCAATTTGTGCTCTAGACAGACAATTGCAATATGAAGGCCTCGTTTCCATCGATTGTAGGATTTGCTTACTTAGCTAATTCACTTCTTGCTTTCGATGCAGCCGTTTCCGAGTAGAGTGTACCCGCCTGAAGAAAGTATTTGTCATAAATTTCGGTGACTTCTGGTATTGGATAAATCCGTCGATAGTTTCCCATATGTTCGTCTTCCCATTTTTCAATTTCTTTCTGCCATTGTTGAGCAAGATCTTCTTGTTCTTCGCGAAATTTGCTATCCTTTTTATTGCTTTTTTGAAAAAGCCGTTCCCGAACACGACGCTTTTCTTCCTCGATAAATCGTCTCTTATCTGCAGCCGGCATGTTCAATAAAAGTATAGTATCGTAGATCAAAGCATCTTTTATTTCCCGATCCAGTTTCGAATCCGTCGTAAAACTCGGAGAATGATTGACCTTTTGAAAAGAATATTTATTTCGAACTTTTCTTCGCAAACTCTCACTTCAAGAACGTGGGGTTTCAATTTTCGATCGATGAGTATATCAAAGCCGAGGATTTCGAAGCAAGCACTACCACGATAATGATGTGCAAAACAAGCACGATAGTTATGTTTCAGAACTGAGTGTGCAGAGATGAGTGTTTTAATAATGATATCATCGATATCTGCCCAAAGTTTGCCTGTATCGTAGCCATGATCAACTAACCAACGATTAATCGTGGTTATTCGTCTGAACATAAAAAATGTCGAGACATGTCAGAAAAATTCTTGGAAAATTACCGTTTAGTACCGGTATCTTCATCTCGCACGAAATCATCTGAACGTTTTTGAATGGCGTAATTCGTTAAATGCATGAAAATATCTCTCTAAAAAGAAGATAAAATAAAGACTTTTGATTACGATAGAAAATGAATTAAACATACACAGTTCGAATTCGATGGTTCTTGATAACTATGCGTAGTAAAACGAGCTAAGCCATCCTTATAGACAAAGATTCGAAATGGATCACAAGATGTGACCGCAACATATACGCGTAAATCGAATTTGAAACCATCGATTAAGAATGGCTATTAAGAAATGAAATGAATGCTTCCAATCTCTTTCTCTCTCTCTCTCGCAATACTTACTCGGTTTACATACACTTGCACAACAAAATTATCACTCCTACAAATACAACCATCGAAAAAAACATCGACAGTAATCTATTCTTACGGTTTAATATCTCTCGAGGGATTTTTCGTCAGAAATATCCCTCGACCTTGACAACCGACATCCGGTTTTGAAATATAAGTTCGATGTTTTTTCTCAGTAAAATATTTTGCAAAATCGCTATAACTAAAATCATCACATAAACGATCAACATATCCAATCTATTTCATACATACTCAGCTGGAAGGCACCATGCTTTTGGATAGAATGAATATTCTTTCGAAAAGAATTTTTGCATACGCGACATATTCCTTGTTAAGAAATCTTTCCGGCAAATTTCACTCATACCAGGAAAATGGTTGATTTTCTATTCATCGGCAAAAATCTTTTAAAGTTCGAATGTTTTATACTCGCCTACCTGCCATTTTTTCATTTGTGATACTCTCTCGATTCCAACACTTGCGTCTGTCCAAAATATATTCCAGTCATCTTCATCGTCTACTTCACGAAAATTCAATAGCTTCGATGCTCGTCGAACGCAGTCGTATTTACACATAGATAAACAAATAAAATATACTCTGAAAAAAATAAATGCATGGAATAATTTATCGAACTATAGATAGAAATACTGACCTTTTACGTTTTTTTCTTCCCGATGGTTGTTTCTTATCTTCATCATCAGTGAGTTCCGATACCGAAGATTTCACTGCTCTTGACACGTTCGTTCGATCGTCGTCATCATCATCATCGTCAGATTCTCCAGCTTCTTCTGAAGAAAAAACGACGAAACTGAAAGAACTAAACCAACATGACCTTACCGAAATCTCTGGGCACTGTAGAAGGAATATCAATTGTATCTTCGTCATCATATAGAGTTAATTCATTTGTTCCAGCTCCCCCGTATGTCGTTGATGGTATGTCGTCATCGGATGATGATGACGATGACTCGTCGCTCGATTCGCTTGAACTGTTTCTTTCTTGTCGTGGTACAATTGGCATTTCGTTTGCTTTAAATAACAACAAACCACACTCACATACTATTCAATAACTATTACCGAATGCTATTTTGTTGGGAAACTATCTTCAAAAAGACAAAGAAAAATAGGCGTTGTTCAATGAAAAACAATTTCTTCGAGTCATGTTCTTTTTCTTGATTGGAATACCGAACAATGCCATACATACTTTAGTTGATTCTTTGATTCCGTGTACACAACTTGGTTGATACCTTTCAAAAACACACCTCTTGCTTTTGTTACTGTCTTACATTATTTCATAGCATTCGAAGAAGAAAAAAAGAAGAGGATCGGAAGCAGTCATGTTGATTTTTGGTGACTCTTGCTCGCACGTTCTCATTTCAATCGAAGCGCCTAACCAAATCGTTTACTGACAAAGTTCATTTATATATTTAGAAGAAAGCGAAGAAAAACTCGTCGCCAAATATGTAAATAACTTATTTAGAAACCATTTTCTCGGCAATTCAATCAATTATGTTTGCTTAGCGACTACCTGTAAAGCATGGCAAGGCAGTGCTTTCAGAGACATCTATGTTTTCGACATCGGAAAACAATCGAAATAGGATTGTTTTTGCTTTTATTTTCATAGATTATTTTTAACGTCTCAATCCAGTTTTCACGTATGAACGTGTCTGAACAGGAAACTTTTCATGACGGTGCGCAAAAAAGGCCCGTAGCTGCTGTTGATGATAATAATCAGCAAAAGATAAACGACGTCGAGTGTGCGCGATCTTTTCAGTTGGTTCACCAGTTAATCGCTGGAGTAGACTTGATGATTGAGTCGTATTATAAACGGTTTTACTATCGTGTAGGTTGTCATGAGGAGTGGTAGCTGTTGTTTTTAAGCAGGTAGAATGAGGTTTGCCAGTTCGAACTAGAGGACGAAATTTAGGATGAATCATGCGATTAGTTTGGCCGTGATGTAACTGAGTGCGGATATTCCCCTTATACGTTGTAGTAGTTGTAATATCATGCCCGTGGTCTTCTTCTAAATGAGAAGAATCGGAAGGGTTGAAGATATGATGCAGAACATGCTCGATGTTATTCAAATGAAGTTCTTGTCCATGGGATAGTTGTTGATGATGATGAGAGTCAGATGACCGTTTGACTGTTTCAATAGACGAAATAATATTGAAAACGTGGCAGAGGCTACCAAGGACAAGCATGCTTCTCATGATAGTATCACTTTGTATATGGCACAATTTGTTCTGCTCTTCTTGTGGTATAACGAATAGACTAAGAAGTAAATAGATGATTAATACAAGCTGTGACATCATTTAGAGAATACTAAGTACGTAGGATGATGTAAATGACAAATGTAGGGGTTTCAAAAAGTGATTGTTTGTATCGAGCATATATTTGTCTTTATCTGTTACTTTTCTCGATATGTATTATTTCTACAGATTGCTTTCTTCTGCAGATACTGTATCATCTGCGGCATCAATCTATAAGAAACTCTATAGATACTCATTGGGAACAATACGATATTATTTCATAACGCCGGAGTTCATAATGATATCATCTAGCTAAACAATTCAAGTTTAGTGTCTTTCGTTATGTGCAACTTGCATAAATCTAGCTGATGGTCGATAGGAATGAGAAATTTAACAGATCGTTCATTCAATATGATCTACAAAAATTGAGCCATTGAGAAGCGATACATCTCATAAGCACTAATTACTCTAAGTAGTACATTTCTTATAAAATGAAACTGGCTCAATATACATACATAGTACTTTAGGCGAGCAGTGGCATAATGCTGCATGTGAAATTCAAAAAGTAAATTCTCGATCGCATTCTCTGACTCGTTCATTAAACTTTCGAATAAAGTGAAAAAAACTCAGGATAAATCTAATCTCAAACTCTTCCTTCTACTTACCTATAGTCTAGGTTGAGCAATCCGGTTCGGAACCAACAGGAATCTGTCATAGCTGATAGTCGGAAGCAGTCACCGGCTCCGTCAGTTACATTCCGAGCATTTTCCCACTGTTTTTCAAACGGATAGTATACGTTTCGTGCAGGTATATCGCCGAAAATTGACGGCATACAGATTTCGGAATCATCGTCCTGGCTAAGTTTTTGAAATAATTCAAATTTCTTCAATTAAATTTTATGTTTGGATTAGAAAAATTGTAATAGGTAATATATCAGTCGAACATGAACATTATCAATTGTATTTATCAAAAGGGAATTTCTATTTCTGCCGGTATTACTACACATAGCTAGTGACAACAAGTAGCCGAGTAGTTTTTTCTCATCCTTTATTTGTTAATGTGGAGAATTATCACAATGTTCTATCCAGAGATAATGAAAACGAAGACTTAAGTAGAGACCGACATCGACGAAAAGCAAAGAAATGGCTATTTTTTATTTGTTAACAGCTTTTCAGTATGAAAAAAGAAAAAAAAATCTATCCATTCAGATATTTCTTTTCTTTAGATAGATTTTTTTGTATATCATAGAAATCATTGTTAAAGGTATGATCCTATCAATTAGCTATTTCAAGAGTCTTCTTCGTTGACAACACTGTACAGCTTGTTTAATAGGTAATTCGTTTTTTTCCTCTGTTGCTAACAAATCAATTTTTCTTTCCACCGTTCAAATCATGAATGCCAGTGATTTGATATTTCCCACACGATTTCGGATAAACATACCCTTGATTTGCATCATAGAAAAAGAAATCACTTTTCAAGAGACAAACAAAATCTTGACTTCAATATTTTGATCGTTTCTTTCCTCACAGTGTGTCAACTGACCAAACATAATGTCCCATTGATTGATTTTAGAGTAAGCACACGCATTTCTGAACCAATCACTGTTATTAATACTGTATCTAGAACATTCTCGCGATCATCCACGAGTCTTCTAAGCGATATCAAGCAACAGTTGTATATTAGAAGTCAATGGTAACTTACATTTCTGCTTCAAAAGTCAAAACAAAGTGTTGTTTTTTGTCCGTCGAAACATTCAATTGATCGATTTTCAAGCGATTTAACCTCTGTTAAAGTACGAATTGTATATTAACACATGTACTTCAACGTCTACAAAAATAAATCAATGCGGCCAACCACGTTGAATAGCGATGAGATTGTTGCATGTCAGACTATCGTCTCAAATGTGTGAACGATGATCAGCTAACAGACCATTCATAAAATGCAGATGAAAGTTGTCATTCGAATTCTGTTTCAATGTTGTACAAGAGTATAAAGTGATTTCTATCTCGTGCTAGTCGGGCGTTTTATTGCATATTTTTGAAATAATCGAACACTTTTACTTAGTTTATGTGAGATTCAACTAATTTACGATCGATTTGCATGATTGTTTACATAAGTTGAATAATTTGTTTTTTTTGTGTTCAAAATTCGATCGTTTCCTCGATCATTAATTGAGTTTGAAACAATCATGTGTTCCTGGATAAGTTTAGAAATTTTTATTTGGTGTTTCTAGAATTAACACCGTATAAGCTCATTAATTGAACTAAGAGATGGTTAAATTTGCATTAATTTAGATTTAGCTGCTTATGTTGATAATCTTCTTAGTTTTTGCTACTTTTTCGATATGATTACGTTTCTTCAGTTAATTATCATTTCAATTCTCGTTTTATCACTATTCGCTCTGATACTTCAACGTGCGCAAAAGAAGGTAATCTCATTTTTAAAGACGTTTAGCATTGCGCGTTCATGTCATTTGTTTGTTTTTTTACTTCTCGCTCGCTGCGAAAATGCTATCACGTGTGAGTTTGTTATCCACCGCACGAAATTTGATACTTTCGAGTTGATCGAAGCGAGTGTATTGCTTGGTTGACTTGTATCTGTTTGTTCAAGTATGCTTCTTTTGATAATTGACGAACATCTTCGTTATGCACGAGGAAATTCAGTGAAGGAGTGTCAAATGTTAGAACTATTTATGACGAATCTATTCATACGTTGGTCAGGTAGGTTGGTTGTTTTCAAGCCAAGCTTGACGACAGTCTATGCGCAAAGAAATGCACAGATGTGTTTGCATGTTCTCGATCCACGTTAGGAGTCACGAGGAGAAAATTGATCAAATGTTAATTAAACATTAATAAAAAAAAGTGTGTCCAAAACGTTCGGTTTATCGAGCTAAAATTTTGTTGTTTACTTGTGTATTGAGCAAGAAACCGAGCTTCGATCTGATCGTTTCCGTTTGCAAATAAATTACTTTTTCATCAAGAGGACGATGAAGCATCGACTTAAACTAGCAAATGAGTAAAACGTCATTATCGCGTGCCTTCTTCACAGAAGAAGTGCAATAACAAGATACACTTAATATAAATTGCTTTACATAGAGATATGATTATCAACCGAAATGGAGTATAACCGACAAAACTGCAATTATTTATGAAAAAAAAATTTTGTCGTACATGAGAAAAAGAAAAATAAACAAGACGATAATGTACGCAGAGGATTTTTGGTTCATTGTCTAATAAGATCATCACTCTCCTTTTTGTCATTTACATCCGTTGCACTAGACATATATTGATTTTGTCGTAATTTGTTACTACCACGTGACGAAAGATTCTTTGTTGGTGATCGCGCCAGTCCGAATTGTTTGTCTTTCAGCATTGCTGTACAAGAATTATTCGACGTTGAGTGTTGTTTACTTTCATCCAAACACGACGGCAATGTTCGAATAGTTGTCACACCATTCACGCGAATAAATGCACTTTTTCCTTTATTATCCTTGTGAGTGAGTTTATTTTGTTGTTTGCAACACCAACGACATAATTTGTAGAATATTAACCGACGGAACTCATTCCGAAATCGTGCACCACTGATGAAATAAAGGAAGAAATTGACGACATGCATGAGATCGGATGTAATATTCGATATCAAATACATGACAGCTGATGTCTGAACATAAGTATCAAGATTTCGATAGACATTGTTGTCGCATTTGACTGCTTTCCAGCTCTCGATGAACACGCGCAGAAAGATCATTAAATAATAGATTGCATTCGGTAATGTTAACACGAAGAATGAAATCGAAATGGTAATCAGCATGACTGTGATTTGCAGATTTTGTGACTGGATACGTGCACGATTGTTTACCGATGAACGAAACGGATTGCTCGCTGTTCGTGTGATCGACGTTGATTCGTGTAAAAGTGATGCATCGCGACGTGCCCGAAATAGGGCAAGGAAAATGGCAGCATTTAGAATTGAAATAACAATAAATGGAATAAAGCACCAAAAAAATGCATCAAGAATGAAAACAAGTTTTTCATCTTCAGCCGTTTTAAGCCAACAATACGCATTATTCTTTAATACAGTTCGACTGGCATGTACAGATGCAACAAGCATCGAACAAATAATAACAGTAATGACGACGCCGTACGCTTTTTTTCGTGATAGTAAATCCGATACGCGTAATGGTAAGCAGACAGCAAGAAATTTATCGGCATTCATCGCGGCAATAAGCCATACTATGATATACGAATACAAATTGAATCTTCTGTTTTCTAGAACATCAGTTTACTACTTACCGGTGGTATAATTCACTGCATTAACCATCAAAAATAGAAATTTACACAATCCTGTTGTTAATATATGTTTATTTGCTGATAGACTTGACAGTTCTCCGAAGAGAACACGTAATGCAAAAAATGCTACATCACATATAGCCAAAGTTTGCATGTAGAATGCAATCGATGATGATCGATTCATTCGTGTTCGTCGTAGAATATAGAACGCGCATAGATTCAAGATAATTGCAGGTAAAATAAAGAATCGATTGAGATTATGCGTGATGTAACGAACGATATTAAACAAGGGTTTTTGTGAAATATATTCATATTTGATTTGAGTGCAAGTAGTATTCGAAGATCTGCCAATTAATAATTGATCCGAAATGAAAAATGATGTATTATCGAATATAGGCAATGACGGGGATAACGTTGGTACATTAGATGATTGATTCATCATTTGTTTTTTTGCATACCATGTTATTTCTTATTGTATTCAAATCTAAATACGCAAAACACGGAACGAATAGAAGCAATTCTATGAATAATGTAAGAGAAAAAAACATTTCTATTCAATATCACTTGTTAATTTTAAAAGGTTTCCTCCCGAGTAAGTAAGAAAAGAAAAGGTGTGTTTTCTTTTTAGTCTTTCAAACCAAATGTTTATGCTTTCGTTGCTCGTGTATAGATTTAGACGCAACTGGTCTCTTAAACCTCTTTACAATTCTAAGCACATAGATGAATCGTAATACAATGGTAACAAGTTTTCTCAAGTATGTATGTGCCTGCTAGCCAATGAATCTAAGCGGACCAGTTGTCACACCACTAGTGATAATGACGATGTGAATAACTACTAACATGTTGTATCTTTTTCTTTTCTTTTTTTTTCATCGAATAGAAACAACACAGTCATAACGATGTTCGGAGATTTTCAACAATAAAATGAATGACTATCTAACGTACGAAAGCGTGTGTGTATATATATGAACATATGGTTCACTTACGTCATGTGCGCGTGTAAAGTACCACAATAAAACAAAGTCGTTTGCTTAGAGTTTCAATATGTAAATTCCTATTCATCTCATCAGGTTCTATCCGTTTGAAAAGGATGCAGCGAGACTTGCATTCTCGATGTGCTATTATTGTTCTATCAAGAAACACTTCAGTGATTTGAAAACTATCGGAGCGTACATGAAATCAATCTCTCTACACTTCCGTTAATCATGTCAGATGTGTCATCTATAATAAAAAACGAAATAATCGTCAGACAGTCACTATCAATTGAGAAAAAAAAAATTTATTCACAAAAGAATAAAAGAGAAAATATTAATCTACTATAATAATTCATTTTGTTTTCTAATCATAAACATACTTGTCATCTGTCACACAATGTTCATTCAGATGTTACATTAATCCTTGCCGGACCAGCTACTAATACGCAACAAATCTACTCACTATAATTAGGCCTACAAATCTCTCTATGATTAGCAATAAAGTCGGATATACAGACTTATAATTAACTTGGCCCATACGACCAGAAGACAATGTATTAATGATTAGCTGAAGGAACTTCTTCGATAATATTCATTGTTATGATAGGTGGTAGAAAGATCGTCCGATGACGAATGAATAAAGATCTATTAGCTCGTCAAAATACTCTTGATTGCCTTGAAGCTTAACGTACAAGTATTCTCTCTTTCTTTCTTACAATGTTTTTTTTTTCGCGCATGACTGGCATTAATGAATATTTAGTTCGCAAGTAGCAGGAGAAGACGAGGAGAGAAAAAAAAGAAGAGTAATAAAGATGGAGAGAGAGAGGGAGAGGGAGAAAGAGTAGAAAAATAACATATTTAGGGAATTCTAATTACCCGTCAATGATTGCAATATTGACGAGTTATTAGATACATTAGAGCGTTTTGCGATCATAGTAAAAAAAAACGACTAATTCACTTTTTTCGTCTCATACACTCGTCTGCCATTAGAAAAAAAAACTAAGATCAACAGTCATTATTAATACATTCAGCATCGAACCAAAACCGATTCTTCTCATGCACAAATGACTTTCAGACTAATAAATGGAATAAATATATATCCTTCTATACCATTGGCATAGGAGTTATGTCGAAAGATCTTCGTTTGCGTTTAATGAAAAAATGCAATCTATCATTGTCTTGGCATTTTCTTTTATACATATTACATTAATCCTGATCTGGAAAAGTACTAAAAGAAAATACATCTTCCATTCCCTACCTTTTCTTTGTGATGATAAAAAAGAAGAATTTCACGCCTTGCTGCACTATTCAACAAAAAAGTACACCTCTGATTCTCGCGTATCTATTAGCATGTTATTTTAAAAAATATTCAATTTGATTGTCTCATGCTCAATTTCTCGAGTTTCTCTTCCTCTTTCTCCACGCATCATTTTCTCTTCTAGTCGACCAGAATGTGCGAAGTAATTATTCTGCTAGAAATTGTCAAGTATGTCGTTTACAACAATATCAAGTTGTTCTCATCGGCATGTATTTCTGACAAAAATTGTCATAACGATCGAAATCTTCTTGTTTTCGAATAAAGAAACGTTCTAATCCAATCAGTCATTAATAACATTTCTGACAGGAAAACAATATCTTTTCAAAACTTTGACGAAATGTTGTTGACTCATTCCAAAGAAATACAACATAACACTAATATGTATGCATTTTGACATTGGTCTATAAAAAGAAAGAAAGAAACTTAACATTTCTATCATGTTACGGATGTAAAATTTCAACTATTCGGATGCAAAATGTATAGCATCTAATAACGAAACGAAGAATATCATTTCTTGCTTGTTAACGTGATTAGATTCCGTTACATTAGAATGAAAGAAAAGAAACGTACGATGACTGCTAGAAAAGGAAATAGGAAAATATTTGCTATATAAACTTATTTCTCTGATGTTTAATAACATTCGAAAGATTAAGAAAATCGTCCTATTCCGTACTGGTTAGAGCTTTTCTTCTGTCGGAATGTTGAACTATAGAAGTTCTTAGGAGCGATACGACAGTACAAGAAACCCGTCTTTTTTTAGAATTATTGATGAATTATTGATAAACGACAAAGTGGACTAAACTAAGTGCAGAAGAAAATGTGTTCGAGACAGCCGGCAAATTCCTTGTAAAATCAACGTTTTCCAATTATCAGTAGATTCTCTAGCGATCTACCGATTACGTGTTTGAACGTTCAGCTACTAACGGCATCTAATGTGTAAAGATAAATCGTACGTAAAGTAAAATTCACTTCGTACTAAGGATAAATCAATTGGCTTTCTGACAATGAATGATGATTCAGGTGTGAAATTCGACGACAAAGATTCGAAGTTCTTTCAAATTTCTACGGAGAAAGAGAATTTTAGAATGTGTTTATTCTAGATTGTATTTATGTTCCGAAAAAGTTCCCGACGAGCAGGCAGTATACAACTTGAAGAAATGCCAACACTCTCTCAACAACCAACAGCAGAAAAGTAATTGAATATTTAATATAGCAAAAGCATTGCTTTCTCTTAATTAGCACACACGATACGTCGAGTATATCAAATTCAATTGCCGATAAAAATGGAAATAATGAGCTTTCAGAAGTCAATGGTGAGAAACAGAATTCACGCCTAACAATCTTGACAAATAACACATCACCCGGAATTATACCCAAAGCAATATCGACAAGTGAAGCGGATGTGATATGTACAACTGTCGAGAATGTTTCTCATGTTCGATTCGAATGGACTGTCGAGGACTTTTATCCCCAAATGTAAGCGTAAATAAATATATTTCTCCTTTGATTATACGGCTGTTTATTTCGAAAGGTACGAATGTGGCGATATGATTCAAAGTGAAGAATTTCCACCGTATGATTTACAGAAAGAGTTTTGGACACTTCGTTTGTATCCGAAAGGTCATTCAGAATTACCGAAAGAATATTCTAATGTCACTTCATCTTCAAGTACTTATGACAGCTCAATGATACAATTTTATTTAACTCTATGTCCATCGCATATTACATTGAATGCTGCCGAGAATGTAAACCAATTGTATGTTTATTTTCGTGCTTTGATTAATTTCTCGAATTCCCAAGTAAAGACATTCGTCATTTTGAAACTTGCTCTATGTGACTTTGTTTAGGGTCGTGTACTCCATACAGAAACGATTCATGATTGTGGTGGTAGTCTAACGAATGAGATTGTTCTAATGAAAATGACTCGTTCGAAATGTGAACAATTGTACAAAGAATGTGAAGACCATCTGATCCTCAGTATTGAATTGATGTCTATTGATGACATTACAAAGCGTAGTTTGAAGACAAGTTCGACCAAAACTATCGACGGTACGCCACGCGTGATTTCCAAAGTGATGAAAATGAAACTACGTTGGAAAATCGAGCGTTTTGCCGTGCTTATTACCGAATCATCGAATAACAGTTATATTGAATCATGTGAATTTACATTCAATAAGCAACGTTCAGCAAATCAACAAACATCATTCTCTGAACAGGATTCTGAAAATGAGATGATTAAATCCACAAATGATGTTCCATTGCATCAATGGTCACTGATACTATACCCGAACGGCAAAACCGAGCGTTTCAAAGGATCGCTATCACTATTTTTAGAACACACATTTGGTCCGAGTGTTCGTGTTGTCATTCGATTTTCATTAGTGGATGAACGCGGACGTCGAGTCAATACAAAACAGTTGCCATCGCATGTATTAGGTGTTGGTGAGCGTTGGGGTATCGGCGATTTCATCAAACATGTCACTTTATTGCAATCTCCCGAACAATTGACTCCAAATAATGAACTTCGTTTGTATTGTCAAGTGAAAATACTTGAACGACAATCAATCGATGAAAAGAAGTTCATTACTCGTTTACCGATTGCTTTTGCAACAAATAAATCGTCACTTGCAACGTCAATTAACGATAATCCTGCAAGCTATTGGCCAAGGATATTTTATACTGCTTATCAAGAAAAACAAATGTTTGATATGTATTTACGATGTGCAAACGAATTGTTTCCTGTGCATAAACTAATACTTGCACTTCGTTCAACGGTTTTCGCCAAATTAATCAAAGAAAAAGAACTTACATTAGTCGATACAGTTTCTTCGACTCCAAACCGTCAAAATAAACGTTCCAATGCAACAGAAACCAATTCTTCAGCAACGAATGGAACAAACCATTTGTCTTTACTTACTCTTGATATCAACGATATTGACCATCAAACGCTTCCTTATTTACTTGAGTATATCTATACAGGCGGAATTCAGAAACTTGTTTTACCAACTGCAACGATTCCCTCTTCACTCATAATCGATTTATTAATAATCGCCACAAATTATGATATACCAGATTTAAGAAATTATGCGGAATATTTTGTAAAAGATATCATCCGGGTTGACAATGCATGGTAAGCTTGTCGACACGACTTAGAAGTGAAATCATTCTCATTTGTAGTGAATTACTTTCATCATACGATAAGACCAAGTCAGATGTGTTGAAACAAATAACATGTGATTTTATTGCTAATAATCTTGGTCATATTATGGAAACACCAGTAAGATGTACCTTTTTTTTTTCTTTTGGGAAGAAATCATATTGCTTCGTGTTTAGGGTTGGAGCGAATTGAAAGTGAAACAACCTGATCTCATTGATCTTCTTCTTAAATCATGTTTATTATTACGAAAATAATCTTCAAGTGATTTTGTTTTTCATAGAGAATGTGTAGTTTCTATGTTTTTGTTTGTCATTTTGTCTTTCATAAATTATATCTTTTTCCCTTTTGCTTACCATTGTGATGAAAATAAAGTATGACGATAGTCTGAGACTTAAACTAGTAATGAACGACAGCACAGCTTACGAAGTTCTCCATCGTTTTTGTTAGTTCTCTCTGCAGATGGCACAACTAATATTGTTGTGATATTTTTTGTTTTCTTCTTTCATACGACGAACCAATCGTTTCGTTCCTCTCAGTCTGATTGTTAGCGCGTAAATAACATCTTTTCCCCATAGATCCGGTTGGTGATATGATCATTGTTGTTCATCTTTTTTTCTTTTTCACAATAATTCCTTGAATATTAAGCGTGGCTTTTCGTAACTTCGATGTTGATACGTAGGATATGCTCATTATAATCTTGAGGGTGAAGATATTTTTATTAGAACCGATGCTGAAATGAATTGGTTCAAGAAAATTTCGAATCCTGCACAAAGATATTCGACATTTCTCTTCAGAGTGAAACACTTCAAACACATTATTAATAATTTTTATCGTTTTTCTTGTTTTCAAGGATGTAAATGATATTCGAGATATATATATTTATCATTGTAGTTGTCAAGAAAAAAAATAATATCCTATTCACGTTCTTTACTTCTTGTTTGCGCACTTTTCATTTTGTATGATGACAACGATGTTTATAAATTTTAAAGCAGCATATTCGATAGACAATTCATTGCGTACAGTTAATTAAAGACAACAAACTGTCTTCGGAAGAAAACTTTTGATTAAAGATTTTTCTCATAGAAAATTTAGAACAAAAGGTTGGTTTGGTAATTTATACGAACGCATAGATACTTGTTGTCATCCAACACACGAATGAAAACTTCTTGTTATTTTCGATTTTAAGCCTCTTTTGTTAGAAATTGTAACAATAGTTAGGAATAAATCGAAGAATACTATTTGTTGAGTACTATATGGAATTCGATACATACCTTTAATCATATCGAGTTTCCCTGACTCAATCGGTACATGTTGCAATGTAATTTTAACAAAATGTGTGACTAGCATGTTTTGAGTGGTGAATGCATATTTCTAACAGGTATTGTGACCCAAAATATCGACAAACATGGCTTCTAGAAAAACAAGAGAATAAATATTTTTCTTTTGCCAAGCAGGGGAAGTCAGAGTTTCAAAATCAGTTGTGCGGAATATTACAAGCTAGACGTTCGAATGCGCTTCGTTTCTTCAGAACAGAACGCACATAATTCATTATACACAGACATTTGAGATTCAGTCAATGACAAAAAACGTGATAAAAATATAGAGAGTAGTTGTCAAACAGAGCAATACGAGATGCAATTCCTTCGTTAACTTGAAGTGGTACTTTTTATAACAGAAATATTCTTCTTTTCATTCTGTCATTTAATCATTATTTTCTTTCCTTGGTGGAGAGTGAAGAGTTGAATAAAAATTCTCATAAATCAGTTCAACCGATAACGTGCTATAATTTACCATAAAACTTATTCACTGCGGGATCTATTAAATGAAGGTTTAAAAAGAGAAAGGTTAGTGAGTGGTTGAAACTTTCAAAAAGGGATCCCACCGAGATTAGTATTCCTCTGTCCCCGTTACATTTCAGCGTTCTTTACAGAGAACTCTGTTAAGAATAAGATTACAACCATCACCACCAGTAACGATGAAGGTCATTCTATATTTAGAGATAAACCCGGTGACTCCTGTTGAAAATGACCTTTCGAAATAAACTGGCTCTTTCAATTTTGTTATTCATAGTGGCAGTTTCAATAATCTCCTTTTACACGTCTAAGACCAGCATTTACGCGGTAATCATTTCTCGTAATGTTCCAAGGACGAGAAGTTCTTTTTCTTGTCACAATGGAACGAATTTCTCGCATCTTAATGTACAAAAATTTGAACAATGCTTAAAATGGCGACGAAATGATGCGTTCTGGGCTGTCGATAGTATTCGACATAAAGCATTTCAAAAACTATTAAATTCTTCTTCGCTTATTGTCGAGATTGGAGGTAACACAGGATTCGATACATCACGCTTCGTTAGCCTGTACAACTGTTCAATCATTAGCTTTGAACCATTACCGGAAATGTCCAAAAGTTTAATGAAGAAATTTCGAACAAATCCAAAAGTTGAAATACAACCGTATGGACTAGGTAACCATGCTAGAACAGTAGAAATCGAACGTGCTGGTAATCAAAACGAAGGTACGAGTATTTTTCGAAAATTATCTTCGAAGAACTCCACAAAAATCCAATCAATTCAATTACTCGACTTCGTTCAAACGATTGAAAACATTCGAAAAACGAAAACCTCGAATGGAATCATCGACATGATCAGTATGAATTGCGAAGGATGCGAATTTGAGGTTCTACCAGCGCTTGTTCTTAGCAATCTCGCGCAATACATTCGTATTATACAATTCGGGTCACACATGGAGGTTTTTCGCGAATCATCATGTATCTACTGTCAGATTCAGCAAGCTCTAGAAAAAACTCATAAAGTCGTCTATCAATATACAATGCTATGGGAAGCATGGGCGATTCAAACGAATTTCTCTTCCAACACATGAACTGTTATGATAAGAATTCCAATTGAATATTTATTGTATCATTTTTGTTTTATTAATTTTTTCCTAGACAATTTGAAATAAATGCATATAAATTTATATGTACGACATCTATCGACAAATCTGTCCATATATCAGACGAACCGAAAGAAAACATGGACGTTGGATTCGATTCGATCTTAGTTCATTTCTGTCGGATCTGAGTGTGTTGTGACCGACAGTACCCTAATCAATTGTCATTGTCGGTTTAGATTTGTGATTTCAGAAAACAAAATGCCATCGGTAGGAACACTTGCTTTCGATGAATTTGGTCGACCGGTGCTTATCCTCAAAGGACAAGAGTCGAAAAAACGGCTGTTTGGAATTGAAGCACACAAGGTTTCTTTTACCGCGAATGACATACATCGATACTGATTGAATTCTTCATTTTAGTCTCATATATTAGCAGGCAAGGCTGTAGCCAATACGTTGAAAACATCATTGGGTCCACGAGGTAGAATTTTGTCGGAATTTGAACGATGATTACGAATGTGCGTTTTTGGCTAGGCATGGACAAATGTATGGTATCACCTGATGGTGATATAACCATAACAAATGACGGCGCAACTATTCTTAGTATGATGCATGTAGAGAACGAAATAGGAAAGCTACTCGTCCAATTATCAAAATCTCAAGATGATGAAATTGGTGATGGAACAACTGGTGTGGTTGGTAAGTTGTATCAATAAATGATTGATTTCATCGTGTGCAAATATCGAGATTAGTTTTGGCTGGTGCATTGCTCGAACAGGCCGAAGCTTTACTTGATAAAGGTATTCATCCAATTCGCATTGCGGATGGGTATGAATTAGCAGCCAAAATGGCACTGGAACACTTGGATAAGATCGCCGAATCATATCCACTTGATCTGAAAAATCTTGATCCATTGATAAATACAGCTATGACAACACTCGGTTCAAAAATGTAAGAAAATAGTGTGTTGGCTGATCATGTAGAGCCATATTTCATTTTGGAATTTTTTAGTATTAACCGTTGTCAACGACAAATGGCTGAAATCGCTGTCAATGCTATCATGAGTGTGGCTGACATGAAACGACGCGACGTCAATTTTGAATTGATCAGAGTTCAAGGAAAGGTTGGTGGTCGCCTTGAAGATACTCTTCTAGTCAAAGGTGTCGTTGTCGATAAAACATTTTCGCATCCTCAAATGCCCAAGGTTCGCTTTGAATTTGTTTCCTTTTCTTTCTGGATGATTCGTGTTTCTTTTCTAGGAAGTTCGAGATGCTAAAATAGCAATTTTAACGTGCCCATTCGAGCCACCCAAACCAAAAACAAAACATAAATTGGATATAACAACTGTTGAAGATTACAAAAAATTACGTGAATATGAAAAAGAGAAGTTTAGTGAAATGATCAAATCAGTATGTAGAAAACATATTGTATTCAGACCTAATACTACAGCTTAACTCTTTCTCCGTTAGATTAAAGACGCTGGCACTAATTTGGTTATCTGCCAATGGGGTTTTGATGATGAAGCCAATCATTTACTTTTATCTCATCAATTACCAGCTGTACGTTGGGTGGGTGGACCCGAAATCGAAATGATTGCTATTGCCACTGGTGGCCGAATTGTACCGAGATTTCAAGAACTTAGCGCAGACAAATTAGGCTTTGCCGGACATGTTTATGAACTTGATTTTGGTACCACTGGTGATCATATGTTATGTATTGAACAATGCAAGAAGTCCAATACATGCACAATTTTTGTTCGTGGTGGAAATAAAATGGTGAGATGGCATTATCCGCTGCATTCCGTATATATTCTCGCCATTTCAGGTTGTCGAAGAAGCTAAACGTGCTCTACATGATGCATTATGCGTTGTCAGAAATCTTGTACGTGACAATCGCATTGTCTATGGCGGTGGTGCCTGTGAAATCGCCTGTGCTGTTGAAGTGGCTAAACAAGCAAACAAGGTTGGGAATGAAACATATGTGCAACATTCATATCTATATCGTTTACTCTTATTTAGATTGCAACCATCGAACAATACGCCATTCGTGCATTTGCTGACGCACTGGAATCAGTACCATTGGCGTTAGCTGAAAATAGTGGTTTCTCACCAATAAAAACCGTTTCGGATGTGAAATCACAACAAATCGCCCAGAACAATCCTCGTTTGGGTATTGACTGTCTTAACACAGGAACAAATGGTACGTTGAACGTGAACTTGTTCTCCGCTTTGACTGCTTTCGGTTTGTTTAGATATGAAGACACAATCGGTGATTGAAACTCTCATTGGTAAACGTCAACAGATCAGTTTGGCTACGCAACTCGTTCGAATGATTCTCAAAATTGACGATATTCGTCTTCCCGGTGAAACCGACGAGTGATTTTTTAGGTTTTAAACATCTTGTTACATTTTTTTTGTTCTTATCAACGATCAAAATCTTTGGTGCTATCTTTCTATCTATCCGGTTAACATTCAACATTAAAAAAACAAGAATAAATGTTCTTTCTTCTTTTTTCGAGGCTTTGACCAATGATCAGCGTCATATCTAGGCGATGTCGAATAGCGACATCTGCGGAAATCCTTCATAAAAAAAATGAATCGATTTCTAAAGAACAAAATTTCGCTACTGAATTATTCGTAAAGCTATTCATCAATAGTGTCGTTCTACACAAACATTTGATAAATCAATTCATAAATTTCCACCAATAGGCGGTCTTAGAACGTCAAGCCTGTCTATTCCGTAGTGCTTGATATACGAATAATCACTATTCATCCTTGTCCCCTGGTGATCAGTATCTAATCTAGATTGTGAGTTGACGATATTCTATTAGTGGGCATCTTTGTTTTCAATCTACTGCACTCATCCAACAAAACAGAAATTTTTGAATTTGCTGATTAATAATCAAGGTAATGTTGCTTGCTGTCTGGAAAAATATGATAATATTTCGATACATGTGAATAACTAATTCTGTTTGATCGTTAACTGAAATGAATTCTGTAGGTGTTTTCTAATAGTACTTAACACAAATGATTTCCTCTTTGTAAATTGTTGTTAAGCAAGCGTAAAATGATATTTTCCTTCTTTCGTGCTACTATAAGTGTTCTTTTTCTAATAGCGTGTTCATAAAATAAATCGATTCAAAGCTTGCCATGAATATGCAATCATTCTCATATATAGGAGCATTAGCCTTTAGCCTTGATTACATTCGAATCTGAGTATGTTTGCTTTAGTTATTTTATACGTTTTAGATTAATATTTATCATTGCCATGGGTTCGAATGCAAGTATTATGCTTCAACAAGAAGATTTACAAAATATCTGTCAACAAACAGGTCAGTCGAAGTGAAAAAGATTTTCTGTCATGCAATAACAAGCAACAGACGTTCAATGCTTATCCTACGCGTTTAATTAACGGGTTATTCCTGACAGGTCATTATTCGAGATGAGATTGTATAATCTCAATAGAGACAGAACGAGAGAAAAGAAAATATCTTTTTTTCTGATAAGAAATCTGTTGTCGAGCAATGCGATAAATCAAGAAGGAGAAAAATCATCACTTGCCAGGCGAACATTCATCACTAACCTTAGGGAAGAAAAACAAAGCAACTTGATGTCTGATTTGTAGGTTTCACTGTTAAACAAGTTCAACGTCTATACAGTCGTTTCAAAGCACTAGATAAACGTGATTGTGGCTATTTAACACGAGAAGATCTTCAATGCATTCCAGAAGTCAACATCAATCCGTTAGGTGAACGTTTAATTGATGTGATCATGGATGATTACGGTGAACATAATAAAATCAACTTTAAACAATTTATATTCCTTCTCGCCAAATTTCGACAAGGAAAAATCAAATCTTTAATAACAGAATACAACACTCGAGAAAGCAAATTACGGTTTTTATTTGATGTAAGTACATTGATTTTTAAAAATAACCAACAAATGAGGAAGCATCTAGATGTATGACCGTAATCATGATTTGAAAATTGATCGATCAGAATTACTCGACGTGCTCAAGATGATGGTTGGTGGAAATATTCATGATGATCAGATAGCAACAATAGCTGATCATACCATTGGAGAATTAGTAAGGTGTTCATTATGGATATCTCTTTTGATATTTTCTTGATATTTTTCTAGGACAAAGATGGCGATCGATCGATAACATTCGAAGAGTTTTGTAAAACACTCGAACGTATCGATGCCGATGAGAAAATGAGCATGAAATTTCTAAGCTAACCGATGCTTTTCTTCTCTCATTGTATATACACGAGCTTTATTTTAGACATTAGATGTATAGATATATATATGTGTTTTGTATTTATTGCATGAAATTAATGTTAGGAAATAATATTGTAAATGAATATGTTTGTTTGAGATAAGTCATACGATGAGTGTGAAAAAACAATCGTCTATGCGTCGATTATTTGGTTTTGAATTGGCTGATTTACAATCATGGTCAAGTTTCGTTAAGCTAATGAATCGACCTGAAGATCCAACATCGTTGGCTGTTCTGCGTATCTTCTTTGGTATGATTAAACAACAAGCTAAACAATAGAAAATGATGTTTCACAGCTAGATTGTGTCAAATGAATCGAACAGTAGTACGAGCTTCGCTGGTCTGTACATAGTTAGACTTTTAGGGAAAAAAGAAAACTTATGTTTTTATCTATGGGGCTGTAGATAATAGTGTTTTAGAAAACTCTCGTTTTTGACTATAATGATTTGGGTATCTTTTAGGTATTTTGATGATGTTGGATATCCCACAAGAACGTGGAATGTCACATGCTGATGCTTATTATCCAAACGAAGATCGGGAATGTCAATTTCCATTATTTAATTTTCTCGAACCACTCCGAGCAGAATATATGGTTATTGTTTATTTCATCATGTTTCTTGGTAGGACGTTCATTCGATCGCTTGATAAATATTCATTTTCACGTTTGCTTTTTAAGGAGCTGTTGGTATTACGTTGGGTTTGTTCTTTCGTTGCGCTACGATATGTTTTACAATCACATATTGGTACGTGTTTTTCCTGGATAAAACATCGTGGAATAATCATTCGTACCTGTATGGCTTAATTGGCTTTCAACTGATGTTTTCCGATGCGCATCATTGTTGGTAAATATCTGTAGCTACATACAAGTTTTTTTTTTTGAATTCTATGAAAATCAAACGAAAAATTAATACAGATGAAAATCATGTCTTCCAGTTTATTTTATAGACAAGGAAAAAGAAAGAATTAAGTGAGTCATACAACTCTCTCTTTGTACTTTGTACATATGCGTTGAATCGCTCGATTTTGACTGTAATGGTGTATATTTCGCATATTTTTGACACAAGGATTTCTTCTTAGACGAACTGCTTGTTTGATTGCAAGATCACGAATTCATATTTGCCGTCTTTAGGTCTATCGATGGATTATTCCGAAAGAAGATTCGACATTCGCATGTGCCATTATGGAATTACACATTACTTCGTTATCAAGTATTTCTCGTTTATTTTCTTGCCGGTTTGAAAAAAACTGATTTGGATTGGGTTACGGGATACTCGATGGATGATCTAGGGGATCATTGGGTATTCTCACCATTTCGGTAAGCGAAGATTTAGTGAAGATGGGATAATGGCATACGTCATCTTGTGAATTTTAGATACTTCATGACCATTGAACAAATAACACTGATTCTTGTTCATATTTGTGGCTTTCTCTTTGACTTATTGATTGGCTTCGTATTATTTTTTGATCGTTCACGTCCGATAGGGGTTGTTTTCTGTTTGTCTTTTCATTTAATGAATTCCCAAATGTTTAGTATTGGTAAATTGATCGAGGAAGTATCTGTTCTTTTACTGAATATTTTCATTCTGTTAAGGCATGTTTCCATATACAATGATTGCGACAACGCCAATCTTCTTCCATAACGATTGGCCACGTCAATTCTTTGGTCGATGCCTTCCAAAATGGTTGTATAAAGACGAGTCAGCACAGTACAGTCCATCATGTCTATATTCCAAGGAAGAGATCAAACCTGAAGAAACGAAAAAGGACGAACGAACAAAAACTACCTCGATCAGTTCAGTTAAAAACGCACCTGTCAAAGCAACACTTCGTCATAAAATTTTCACAATTTTCGCAGTAATTTACCTTGCCGAACAAGCATTTTTACCCTATTCGCATTTTATTACAAAAGGTTATAACAACTGGACAAATGTAAAGTCAATTCAAAGATTTTCCGGTTCGAATTGAAAGTTTTCTTTTGTTTTTCTAGGGTTTATATGGTTATTCATGGGATATGATGGTCCATAGTTGGCATACGTAAGACGATGTTCAATTGTTTCATAATTATCATTCGATGTTGTTGTTGTTGTTGTTGTAGTCAACATGTGAAAATAACTTTCATCGACAAAGAGAAAGGAGAGCCGCATTATCTAAGACCAACTGCGTGGGCATCAGCTAAACGCTGGAGTTCCCATGCTGATATGATTGGTAAATGATCTGTCTTTGTCTTACGTCAAGATAAATATTGATTTTTTCTTTCTAGTCCAATATGCACAATGTATTAAAGGCAAATTAAAAGAGCATGGTTATAATGACGTAGAACTTCGATTTGACATATGGCGATCAATGAACGGTCGGTTTAACCAACGACAAATCGATCCACGGATAGATCTACTTTCATCAGAAGCAGAATGGAGTCCATTCAAAGATACCTCTTGGTTACAACCATTGTTGACTAATTTGAGTGATTGGAGAACGCGAATGCAACAAATAGAAACGGAACTCTCGTCAAAAGATCAAAATGCATTAGTAACATTTGTGGCTGATTTTCCAGGTAGAAGAAAACGATCTTCGATGTTCAAAATTTAAAATAATGTCAAACTTAGGTCTTCATCTTGAAAATTACATTCCGCCAGATTTGAACACAACCATCGAAGTCCTCGAAGGTGAAGTTATTGTGGAAATGATCGGCTTACAGAAAAATGTGACATTAAATGTCGGACAAAACATATCTGTTCCAAGCGGGGACTATCACAATGGTTTGTTTTCAATTAACTATATCCATTCCATCTTGCTCCTCTCGCTCTTCTAGTTCATACAATTTCGCCAACGCCATCATGTTACATGTATGTCTATCTCAATCAATCGGATGTTCAGATCGTTCATCTTTGGGATCGTTATTATAATCTCACCGATCGCGTCCTTAACGAAACAATCAGTCGTAATCGTCCACTACATAGTGAAAAGGAAGAAGCTGATCTCGTTCGTTTATCCTATGAAGACGTTTTTGCTGAATTACGTCAGAAAACGATTCACGAATTGTTAGAACTTCCACACGATTATAGAATTCATAATAAAAATGAGTCGAACACGAACTGGACGAATATTCGGTTACAATTCGAAACGAGTATGAACCGGTCGATCGTCAAACGTTTAGATACAAAGATCAAATGGCACGAAAGGCATCGTCGAACGTTGACAACGTTTTTCAACAAGAAGAAGAAACAATTTTTAAGATGGTATGATACTTCTTTCGCATGAAATACCTTGGAACTGCACGAAATCGAAGGTTTCATTTCTCCTACCTTCATTCCAAGGTCTTTCATAGTCGTCAACGAAAGTTCTGAATGTATTTGTATAGATTATGACAACTAAACACTTTTCTTCTTTGTTTCTAGCGTTCAAATTGTAAAAGTGGCATTTAAAAGCATAATATACAAAACAGATTTTATCAAATTGGTCGATAAAGAAATTCATAATAATGTTGAAGAAACTCCATCGAAAAAAATCGTGACAGAAGAATCTCCGCCACAGGTGCCACCGACTGAACATTCATCTTCATCGAAAAAGACAACGAAATCGACAAATGGAAAGACGAAAAAGAAGGAAGGAAGAAAATAAACTCGATAACAGTTTGTTTCTCATCTCTCTCTCTGACTCATAAAAAACAGTGATCTTCTTTTCTTTCTCTCTATTCATAGTTACTCATCTACCTATTTTCCATAGTTTTATTTATATTCGTAATACAATGACTTTTGTTTTCTTTTGTTCGTATGCATACGTTTACTCTAGTTTATTTTTAATCGTTAATAAAAAAAAGACAAAATATCCAAATATATTTGAAAGTTCATGAAAATACCATAGAAAAACAAGCAGTATCTAATTTGCTGTTTTTTTCTTTTGTTTTTTACCACTCGCTGGCGTCGGACTGTTGATAAAATTGAGCAAATCATCAATATTTTGATCTCCGCGATGACCTGGAATTGTTTCGGCGCGAACTGCACCTTGTAGTTGATTCTTCTTCGGTTTTCGTTTAGCAGCCATGTCCTTCTTAGCACCAGCTAACGATGAGAAAAGATCGTTTTCATCGAAAAATGATGGCATATCATGATCATGATGATGTGAGTGATCACAGCAGGAATGAGAATGTTCATGATGAGATGCAGAAGTTGTCGCTGCACTTGGATGATCAGTTGCGACCGTCGAGTGGGTTTGACTATTGTTGACAATGTCGGCTGAAGCCATCTTGCTCGATATGTAAAAGTCTAAACACAATAATAGATGAAAGAAAAGAGATTATGAGAATAAATATATATATGACGAAAGTGATGGCGGAAAAGGTTTTTTCCAATATATTCGATCTATGATGAATCTGCACAGTGAGTAACTGATTTCTAAGGTAGCGTAGCGTAGTGGACAGACTATTCACACTATTCGAATGGGAAGTAAGCATATTGGTGAATTGATCAAAAGAGGTCGCAAGTTACCGACTAGAGTTTTGATTGGCGAAGAATTAGACCAAGACAAAGAATATAGAAAAGATCATGTATGAGAGGTAACTTCTTCTTTTTGACGGCTGTTAGATCAAAATGGGTGATAGTGACGATGATTTTGATAGTCGACGAAATCGAGATAAATTCCGTCGTGAACGTGATGATTTCGGTGGAAATCGAGGAAATCATAATCGCGGTGGCGGTGGAGAATGGAACGATGGAAGGTATGGACGAATTGATGTTTTATTAGTTTCTGTAATCGTCTATTTTAGAGATCGATCTAATCAATTTCGACGACAATATCCCAGTGGTCCACCGCCAGGACGCGACTTTCCACCACGATACAATCGAAGTCCAGCAAGATATGACATGAGTCCACCACAAAATAAACGTTTTCGTCGTGATTGGTAAAGATAATCAATGACTTCTAAATCTTGAATTCCGTTTGGTTCATTGTTTAGGGATGGACCCGATGCACCACCATCTCATTTCGATTCACCTGGTGGTTCATCTTACTTTCATGGTGGCAATGGAAACTTTCATCCAAATTTTCCTCCGAATCCTGCTTCAAATAACGATCAGATAAATAAGTAACGAGTTCTTGCAAATATCCGATAAATGTGCACAATAATATTGTCTCTTGTTTAGAGATGCATCCGATAATGCAACGCAGCCGCCATTGCTCAGTTTTAAAACTTTTCTGCTGGATCAAGATGATAATATCGATCAAGAAGAAGCTGTTAAACGATACAATGTTTATAAAACAGATTTTAAGAAAAATCAAATAGCAGAATTTTTTACAGCACATAAAGACGAAGAATGGTTGGTATATTTCCTATAATAATCACGGTATAATGCATCGTTCTCCTAGGTTTAAATACAAGTATCATCCGGACGAATTTCCTAAACGTCGTGAAGAGCAAAGGCAAATCGTCAAAAAGCGTTTAGACATCTTTATGGATTTATACAAGAAAGGTTATCTAAATGATGTTAGCCTCGACAGTGACAGCCAACATGCACTAACAAGATTTCTTGACGCTGGTATGTAGTTTTTGAAAATTTTACCTATACTTATTAACTAATGATCGAACATTCGTAGCTGTCATTAAATTGGAAGGTGGAAGTGATCGCGATCTGCGAATACTTGACGTTGTATCATCATCGAACAATGCAACAGAAGATAATGGAGACGGTGCATCGAAACAATCATCACATAAACCAACGAACGATGATACAAACTCGAAAAAGTTATCAGTAAATAAAGTAACATTAAAACAACTACCTTCACTGAGGAACATGGTCTGTTTTGTTTCAGAGAAAACGCGAAGGTAGTGCATCTGATGATGGCGCAGTATCTGATACTGATAATGGAACTTCTCACGGTAATGGTTGCTTTCTATTCTACCAATGGCAAAATCATTTATTCTTATTCTTTTGGTAGTTGAATCCAAGAGTAATAACGAGGTAAAATCTTCGTCATCACAAGATAATGAATCCGAAGCAGGCGAAGTACCTGATGCGCCGCGATCTTTACACAAAACGTCATCAATATTCTTCCGACATTTGGCCATGCAAACAACAAAGGATGATCTTGAAAACGTAAAAAATCTTTTCTTTCAACTCTTGTGAAAATCTTCTTCGTCTTCTACATTAGCTTTGCAAGCAATATGCTGGTTTTCGTCGTGTGTGTATCACTGACCCAGCACCCGAAAGGAAATTTTCTCGACGTGGCTGGGTCACTTTTGACCACAATGTCGAAATCCGTAATATTTGCTATGAATTGAATTCAACCAAAGTTAGTCTCTCATTAGTTTGATTATGTCGAGTACAATTATCCATTTTCATTCTAGCTGCATGATGTTGACATCGGTGCTATTGTCAATCGTGAAATTAAAAATCGTATTCGTACTGTCAATGGTATTGAACACCATAAAACTATCGTACGCAATGATCTACGACATATTACAAAAATTATCAAGCTATTCGACGATCGATGGAATATCTGGGAATCGATTGGCAACGAAACTGAACAGAAAAAGACAGAGACAACGACGATCTCAACACCAACAGATGATTCCGAGATTTCATCATCAACAATGAATGTATCGCCTATGAAAAATAAAAATCCAATTGGTTTCGTTAGTTACAATCCGCTATTGAAAAATATCACTGAGTATCTCGTAGAAGAAGGTGATGCAGAAGAAGAAGAATTGCTCGGTGGCGACTCGTCGACAAATGATGAAAATACATCGAGTTCGTTTGAGGTTGATAAAGAGTTAACAAAAGTGAGTCAATGTGCCCATAGATCATGAAATTTAGGTTATTCGCTATTTATTTAGGTGCTCGATCGTTTGATTTTATATCTACGTGTTGTTCATTCGATTGATTATTATAATGGCTCAGAATATGCACAAGAAGATTCAATGCCGAATCGTTGTGGTGTAATACATGTTCGTGGTGCACCGTTAACCTCCATTACTCAAGCTGAATTAAAGAACTTCATCGAGCAATTTGAAACACGTGTTAGACCACTAGTTGACTTTCAAGAGAAAATCGATGACGATGAAGCTGGCAAATTAGGTCTCAAAAGTGAACAAGATGAGATTGAAAAGTTTATCAATGCAAATTGTCAAGAAGTTGGTCCTGAGAAATGGTCGTGCCCATTGAGTGGAAAGAAATTTAAAGGTCCAGAATTTGTTCGAAAACATATTTTGAATAAACATCAGGATAAACTCGATGAAGTGAAAAGAGATGTAAGTGTTCCTTTCATCTGATTGTTGAAGAAAAATTTATCCTGCTTACAGGCTGCATATTTTAATAACTATCTCTATGATCCGAAACGGCCACAATTGCCAGAGCATCCATCGAATCGAGCAGGAGCACCTCAGGCAGGACCTCATCCTTCAGGTCTACCATTACCTACACCAATGGCTGCTCAACCATTATTATCCCGGCCACCATTATGGCCTTCAAGTAAATTGAGCGATCGGATTGTTTTCTTAAAAATCTACCCTTTACTTCATGTGTAGTGTCTGGACCTCAACATCATGGGCCTCCAGGAGGTTATTTTCCAAATCACTTTCACCAACCTCGTCATCAACGACCTCCGTTTATGTATCAAGGTGGTAGTGGACCTCCCATTAGCTCGAATCCTCGTCCACCGTACGTTTTTTCTCTTCTCTTAAGTGTTGTAAATGATGGTTTGTTTTCTAGGGGAAATCGTCAAATTCGAAGTTATGAAGATCTCGATGCACCGAACGAAATCTGATTTCAATCCGTCGAATAGTTTCAAAATGTGAAAACCATACATCCCCTGTCTTCTCGTTGTTTGCGTGGCTTTTTCTTTCATTTGTTCAATGTTGTATGAATATTCTACAAATTCATTGTTTTTTGTCTTGTAATCGTATGAAATATATCGCTGAGAATCATATTACACTCTAATGCGCCCGTGGGTTTTATCTTCATCACCATTGAATGTCGTATCGATCAATGAAGCATTACTTATTTGTCCATGTGCATCATGCACTCGACTACAAATGTTTCTTGTCGATTCGAAAACGTCTACATTAATCCTTGGCGTTTCATCGAATCTCGTTGCTGATCATTGTCTTCGTCATACATTGAGTAAATTTCCGATGTTATCGATTGAATACAAGCATGATTCGTGTACAGGTCGTGAAGAAACTTTGATTATTTCAAAGTGTGGCTATGAAGAGGAACAGAAACAATTGTGTTTTCATCTTCGTCGTTTATTGTTGCAGTTACATAGATTATAAATTTGAAATTATTTTTCTTTTGTTTTAAGGTTTATACGAAGTTAATTTTTAACTGAATTGGAAAACGAACAAGAGCGAATGTTTGACCGGTGTTAGGCTAGCACGACGAAATACAGATTTTGCTAAAATCTATTTTACTAAATGAGCCGCCCCGTCCTTAGGAACTATAGGACGAAAATAAAGATGTAGGTAGAAATTTTTGTCAAGTTTGTTCCGTGAGTAAAACCGCCTTTGCGGAGTTAATTAATGCTGCACCTATACAACGAATATTGTGAAGGATAATAGACCCATTTTAAATTTGAAAGAGTTAACTAATTAAGCATTATGAAGCACTACACTGTGAAAAAGGTCACAGAATAATGGATATAGAATCCAGCAGGACTTCGTTCTTCAGATATATCATTACTTACATCGATGATAGCTCGACCACCATTATGATGGTCAAGTAAATTGAGAAGTCGAATTGATTTTTGAAAGCAAATCTATTCTTTATTTCATATGTGCTGTCTGCACCTCAACACCATCATCCTCCATGTGATAATTTTTCGAACCAATTTCTTTCATCAACCTCGTCATCCTAGCCTACTAGTTATGCATTGCATCAGTGATAGACATCCTGGTTGTTCACGTTCTAGTCAACTGTAGTAATCGACAGATACGAAATTATGGACAAATCCGGATGCACCGAACGAAGTCTGATTTCAAGCCGACAGATATTTTCAAAAATACGAAAATCATTCGTTATCTCTTCTACCTTTTCTTTCGTTTGTACAATGTGGTATGAATATTCTATAAACGCATCATTGCTTTTTGTCTTATAATCGTAAGAAATATATTAAAATGAAAGTCAAATTAACTTCGTAGTTCGTACAAATTAGAGGTCGCTACCTTCACAAATTGATATTTTCATTGGTATTCCACATGGAACGACAAACATTCGTTTATATATAGATATATCTGTTCTACAAAAGTGTTTATTGAAAATTTTAGACCACCTTGTCATGGATGTTATGGACATTAGTGATGGTGAAGACGATGAAATATTCTCCGATTCAGATACTTGGATCTATTGTGATGAAGATATTCAGCCATTAGGTTAATTCTTTCAGAAAACGAGTATTCTTCATTATGAATCAACATTTGATTTGCATGTGTATAGATGAGGACATAAATGAAAACAATTGGCGATTTGTTTTTCAAGAAACACTCAATAACATTCGTGAAAATAAATTAGACGATGGTGCTCAACCACTGATATTTGATGGCACATGTAAAATTCGAATTAAGAAATTTCCTAATGCACCCTTTACTTTTCCGCTATCAAATGCATTGTGTTCTCGACTCATCTCTGAACATGGTACACCAATGGCTCTTGCAAATAGATACGATTTCTGTGGACTCAAAGTATTTGTTCACTGACTCAAGTTTAACTTCATTTTCACTCGAATATCTTAGGTTCCGAACACAGGCTGGAAGGTTAATCCCGAAAACTTCGACTTTCCTATACCACTGTCAGCTGCTATTCGATCGTATACCTTCGAACAACTGCATCTGAATACACCCGATTTAAGTGAACATTTTGATTTGAATCTACATAAACTATTCATATTTGGACCATGTACACACTCGAAAATATACAACTTCGATGACAAACTCTTTGTTTATCTTGCTACTGTACTGGTTTTCCTACCTTCACATTACACCGGTGGAAACTATCGATTTATTGACGATAATGACGATAATGAAGATCTTCATCGACACTTTTTCAATCAACAGGAACTAGATAATAAGTCGAAGCCATATATTCTGATTGTGCCGCCTGATTGTCAACATGAAATTCAGCCGCTCGAAAAAGGTTTCAAACTTCTACTTGTCTATCATCTTGTTTCCAATACAAAGTAAACATGACTTGTCCAATTTGCTCTATCATATCAGTTATTTGGTGTTTCAGTTCGATTCAACAACTGATCTCTCTTCTATCGAAGCCAAAAAACCATTCACAAACAATGGAGAACATCTTTCTTTCTCAACGTCTCCAACGAATATTTACATACTGGGAAACGAATCTTGACAAGATGCCAACGAAACTTGTCATTCCTATTCAACATTCGCTGGATTATTCGTCTTATTTCTCGATATTATTTCGTGATAGATATCGAACAATCATTGAAATTCTTACGAGAGCAATTCAACAGTTCTCGTCATTTCTTGTCTATTCAGCTACATTACAACATGAGGCGCCATTTGGAGATCGAACAGATTCTCGGCTAGTGGTTCATTCTCTCACAATGTTAAACACAGTGAATCAAATCGCGTTACGTTTTGATTCTGACCACGAGCGTACGATCGTTCCAAACGAAGTTCTCGGTGAATTGCACATGTACATTGACTCATTCGAGCAAGCTGGTGGTCGTCAACAAGTTCTTTCCAATGGTAGACCGATTTGGTATACATAAAATTTTGATCGATTTTTCTATTCGTTTAGGTATTACAGTATTTCGTCATTATTCGAAGTTTCAAGTTCTTCTCATCATTCCACTTGTACATCAATGGGATCTTTTACTTGATGACCATGCATTTGCTTGTCATCACTTATCGTACATGCTTTCCTTACCTACGAATGCTTTGGATAGCTTAAGCTTAAATTTACTTTCTTGTATTCTTCGTGAGAAAACTGCATCGTCGAATCTATTATTCGGTCAGATAATTCATTATTTGATTATTCTTCGTACTCGACTTGGTCTCACGCCAAACGTTATCCAATTAATCAAACTACTCTTTCGACACAAGCAATTCCAAGATGAACTATTTTCGAATGAGAAGCTTTTTCACTGGTTAAATCGTTTAGTGGCATCGGTCGAAAGTTGGTCAATGTTTGCCATGGAATTTTTAGAACTCTTTCGCAAAGTTATCAATTCTTCGATGCCAACGAAACTGAATGAAGTTATTCAATTTCTATTACAATTGTCCAATGCAGTATTACGAGCTCTATTCATTAATACTTTGCTTCGAACGATATTCAAAAGACGGACACTACCACGACATGTTCTACTATCAACCTTGTGTTCGATTTTGCATCTATTGATTGTCGATGGTTCGTATTCTCTTGATTGTCAGTTAAGTCTGGCATACAATATCATTAAACGAGTACGAAAAACATCCATTGATGGTGAGATCATTGAAAAATGTTTCAAAATTCATCTGATACCAATGCTCATCAATATTTACCGTGATCTAAAAATAAAAGGAAAACAATCGCACTCGGTTATTCCGCTTTCGGCAGCATTCATTCTTATTTACGAGTATTGTTTGAATGCACTGAACTATTACTGTTCGTCGAATAGTTTATCTTCATCACCATTGAATGTCGTATCGATCAATGAAGCATTACTTATTTGTCCATGTGCATCATGCACTCGACTACAAATGTTTCTTGTCGATTCGAAAACGTCTACATTAATCCTTGGCGTTTCATCGAATCTCGTTGCTGATCATTGTCTTCGTCATACATTGAGTAAATTTCCGATGTTATCGATCGAATACAAGCATGATTCGTGTACGGGTCGTGAAGAAACTTTGATTATTTCAAAGTGTGGTTATGAAGAGGAACAGAAACAATTATGTTTTCATCTTCGTCGTTTATTGTTGCAGTTACATAGATTGTAAATTTGAAATGTTTTTCTCCCTTGTTTTTATGTAAAACTTTTTCCTTTTATGTCGAAGAAAATATGATCTCAAGTAAATAAATACTCAGCAGATCATTTGCTTGTCAGTAATGATTTGGATGGTATTAAAATGTACATTTTCATGAGTATGATGACTATTCATCCACGTATCTAATTTTTAAAGCGTCTTATCAAATGAAATGGTCCAGTCAATAACGAAATATCGACTCTATAGAATTATATCAAACAAATTTGATTATGTTGTTTTGATTTCTCTTGTACAATACAGAAATGTAACTTTCTTTTTTCATCTCTTCTTCTTCTGTCGATTGCTTTCGCAATCGTTTTCCAGCCTCTTTCCAGCCATTTATTTGTTCTTTCAACGCTACATATACATATCAACAAAGGGGGAAGAAGAAGAAGAAGAAGGAGAAATACATCATGCTAATAATTGCTTACGTAGGCGGATAGCGCTACACATTTGTACAATCCATTGCACGCAATCCATACACATATGTTGATATGTTATATATACAATTGTAGATTATCCTCTCTTCTTCTTTTGCACTACCACCGCATATTACCATAAAAGGAAATGCTCGTTGTTCTTTTCCTATCTAGGAAAACCACAGATATTACCATATATATCCTCCTTGGATATACAAGAAAGGGAAAAGGAGAGAGAAAAAGAAGAACTACTATATAACTCTCTATCCGATCCATTCGCGAGTTGCCTTCGATATCTTGCATATTTATAGCAAACACATCACTTCTTACTTCTATTCGACATAAACTACAATCATGTGTGACGAGGACGTTGCTGCTATTGTTATTGATAATGGTTCAGGTATGTGTAAAGCTGGTTTCGCTGGTGATGATGCACCGCGATCAGTCTTTCCATCGGTTGTCGGTCGACCTCGTCATCAAGCTGTTATGGTCGGTATGGGTCAAAAAGATTCCTACGTTGGAGATGAAGCCCAATCAAAACGTGGTATTTTAACACTTAAATATCCAATTGAACATGGTATTATTACTAACTGGGACGATATTGAAAAAATCTGGCATCATACATTTTACAACGAACTTCGTGTTGCACCAGAAGAGCATCCCGTGCTCTTAACCGAAGCTCCACTCAATCCAAAGGCCAATCGTGAAAAAATGACACAAATCATGTTTGAGACATTCAACTCACCTGGTACGCAGACATTTTGATCATTCATCGTCAGACAGAATTGATTTATTTGCTTGTTTTTCTTCCAGCTATGTATGTTGCCATTCAAGCTGTACTTTCTCTCTATGCTAGTGGTCGTACCACTGGTATTGTACTTGATTCAGGCGATGGTGTTACACATGACGTACCCATCTATGAAGGTTATGCTTTACCACATGCTATCCTTCGTCTTGATTTAGCTGGTCGTGATTTAACTGACTACTTAATGAAAATTCTTACTGAACGTGGTTATTCATTCGTCACCACTGCCGAACGGGAAATCGTTCGTGATATCAAAGAAAAATTATGTTATGTTGCCTTAGATTTCGAACAAGAAATGGCCACAGCTGCTTCAACATCATCACTTGAAAAGAGCTACGAATTACCTGATGGTCAAGTCATCACCATCGGTAATGAACGTTTCCGTTGCCCAGAATCACTCTTTCAACCATCATTCTTGGTAAGTTCCTTTCTCGAAAACATTCTATTTTCTCATTTTCATCATGCTTCTAGGGTATGGAAGTTGCTGGTATTCATGAGACCACCTTCAATTCAATCATGAAATGCGATATTGATATCCGTAAAGATTTATATGCTAACACAGTCTTATCAGGAGGTAACTAACTCTTGGACATTGGTGTTTGATGTTGATTGGATATGATTTTTGTTTAGGCACTTCAATGTATCCTGGTATTGCTGATCGTATGCAAAAAGAAATCACAGCTTTAGCACCATCAACAATGAAAATCAAGATCATTGCTCCACCTGAACGTAAATATTCAGTATGGATTGGTGGCTCAATCTTGGCATCGCTCTCCACCTTTCAACAAATGTGGATCTCGAAACAAGAATATGATGAAGCTGGCCCATCCATTGTTCATCGTAAATGCTTTTAAATCTTTAGAATTAATTTCAAACAATCTAGACACATACATATGCATTTTTTTTCTTGTCTTCTCTCATGATTTCGTACTATTTCTATGTATTCATCATCTTCTTTAATAAACCTTCTTATGCACATGAATCTACCGTCTTCTAATGACATTTTCATCTCATACTCACATATGTCAATAAAAGAACACTTTTTGATCCAAACGACAAGTCATCAATTATCTTCCTCTCTTGCAAAGATAAGCTATTGTCATTTTATGCAACCATCTACCATAAATACTCGTCCGAGGATTACATCAATATGAAGAGAGCACTCTCAACATGGATATTATAAATGATCCTTTCCTCGCCTACGATTATATAACTCTAAGAAAAGTTGTGCCTATTCAGTTCACTAGTTGTCACCGAAATTTATTTTCTTTTTTGTTTTTGTGACATCTCGAAACAGAAAGCAATTCACCTAAACTTTCACTTCTTGTTTAAAAAATAAAATCAATCGGAAAGGAAAAGGATTGCACAAAACACGTTTCTTTCGCTGTGAAAATCGATCTAGTTCCTTTTTGCTTGTTTATACGGTTGCCAACAATGTAACAACATATTTGCCATGTATAAACTGAACGCATGAATTTGTACCATTATAATCAGGAAAATATACCAAAGTACCAATAGTGGAAAGCCGAGAAATGTTTGTGGCTCCACGTCGTCCAACTTCTTCTTTGATTTCAAGTTTTGAAATGTAAATAAATCGCTCAGATTAAAGATGATTGTTGTCATTGTCGTACCAAGACCAAATATAACAGTTCCACGAAAGAAAACTTTGATTAGGAAAATATTATTTTTATTGATAGCCAATAGGCCACATATCGATGGAATAATTGTAATCAGCCATAAATAATGCCACATATGCGGCCGCGGAACATCTAGTTTTGTTAGGCCCGGTATATGATAAGCTGTAACTTGGAAAACAACAAGACTTGCAAGAAGAAAATGAAGATAGATTAAAATGCGTAGACGTGATTTCGTTTCTGCACTAACACGGTAGTGTGAAGCAATAGTTTCACGATGCTGAAAATCACTTCCATCTGTGCCAGTAACACGTTGTGAGCCTGGTAAAGACATCTGAAAAAGAAGCAAAACATGATTATCTTGATTTCGGTTTTAAATCAGCATTCAATTAACAAAAAAATTATCACAGAACACAAAAGCTTGATTAAAATCTATCTGAAACTTAGATGCGTTTTGTACCAATCCGCTGTGAATCATTTGTTTCCATCGTTCTCATATCGAATGTCATTCCATCGCCGATAGGTGACGATGATATCAATGGAGAGAATAAGACCAGCTGCCATCGTTTACCAAGAACAACTTCTAAATTGGTTGGTAAACTTCGACCAGTGTCATACAAGTGTATATTGTGTTGATATTCGTGCCAGGTTTGACTTTTGACAATCAGAAAGAACTGTTGAACGATTAGCGTCGATATGTAGAGACTTAACATAATTGAAGTCGAACAAAGAAATGACAGCAAGAGAGAAAAATGATCGAGAAGACTGAATAACCATGCTCCAAGTGGAAACAAACAACCTAGAATAGAAAAGAAGGAAAATAGAAGAATCTGCTTTGTGATCTAGTTTACAAATGGCAAGAACATCGATCGATTTATCAATAGCCTAACATCATATAGGTTATTTATCTGATTTCCATCAGACGAAAACAAGATCTAAGGATTGTGCTAACCGTTTGGGATTTCTCATCATGATTATCAAATATTTATATTGTTTGCATACATTGTTGAGTATGTCATAGGGCATCGATAAGATAATTAGAAACCTTACCAATGATAACACGCCATGAAAATGTTCCAACGAGTTCATATGTGTAATCCATATGCAGAATATTGCAATAGAATAGGCCGATCTAAAAGCATAAGACAATTAATTGTTCTTGATCGTTTCGAGAGCAGTCTCCTTACCCAAGTCCAAACTAAAAAGCATACATAGTATCGAATATTTCGCAACCCGATACATCGTCCGATGAAACTACAATGATGCTCATGTTTTAAAATACATCGTTTACATAAAAAGCAATGTTTCGATCGTGGCGGAACGTTAACTTCACATTGATGACAATAATGCCAGTTACAGTGATAATAAATAAGATCTTGCGACTTGTTGTCTGCTGTAGTCGCTTGTATCGTAGCAGCTGGTAACATAACTGGACAAATAATTGTATCGACAGACGTATCAATTATCATTGATAAATAGAGATTTCCCATCACATTGAAGATAGCATAGAAACCGAATAGAAGATGAAGAATTTCTTTATAAGTGAAGATATTATGATAAACTGTTGGTAATATCACACTTAATTCGAATATCACATACACACTTATCAGAAATAATGTCAGAAATATTGGCACTAATTCGCCGCGATCTCGCGGTATTAAGAATTTGAGCTTGCGACTAACCATTATTTTTTGTCACACAATCTAAAATCAAATCCAAAGATTTACCATTCACCTGAATACCCTGATTATCTCCAATTCGTTCTGACATATCTATCGTGATCCGTTAGTCTCTTGATAGCATATTTGTTTTTCAAGAAAGAAAAGAAAAAGAAAGGTTTTTTTCTTTAATCAATAATAATCTACCAAAAATATGGTCAATTATTTGTGTTTCTTTTTTTTAAATCTTTCTGATATATGCAAACAAAACAGACGACAACAGACATGATGATGTTTCACCCGCATTTGCGCATGCGCACAAGAAGAAACAAAAAATACACATAGAAAAAAAACCGAGCAGATGAGATGTTTTAACGGTGAAAATAACGACCAAAATAATTGTGCTATGAAAGCGCACGATTTGAATCTCCATTAAATAATATAAAGAAATAGCAGGGAAAGAAGAAGAAGAAGAAGAAAAACAATGTATACACAAAACAAACAAAATACACACACACATACATATGTTTACGAATAAGGAAAGAAAACATCGATCCAAAAACGAAGAAGAACAAGAAAGAGAGAAACTCTATGTATTATGATATGATAATCTAAAAATAAAGTTGGATGTTGTCAATTGATTCCCATACGAACTCTAGACATTATTTGCAGACAAATAGAAATCTTGAGCATTTGGATCGAGACTGGAGGCTGCATTTTGTAATGGTAATGGTGGTGGTGTGATAGTTGTTGGTGGAGAGTAAAACACTGATGATGGACTTGTTGTTGGATTGTTGTTCGTATCAATCAACTGATTGGTTGGAGACGAGTGGCCAGACGATTGAGGATGACCGTTAAACAGACAGTTGTTAACTTGATGTTGGGAATGAAGTGCTGCGATGAGTTCACGTTCTTTTTCTCGTATGGCACCTATGGAAAAAAGAAGGAATTGACATTATAGCAAAAGGATTTGTTGACAAACCATTAGCAATTTCTAATTGTCGTTTCACTTCACCAAGTGCAGAGAAAAGATCGAGTTTAATTCGTGTTTCAGCACTAAGACTATCCTGTAAATGTGCGTTGCGTTCTTGCAGTTGTGATAAATGCTGATAGAGCACTTCGGTATCCGCTTGAGATTCACGATATTTCAAAAGCGTCTATAGAAAAATCAGAAAAACATCGAGAGATGATTGATCAGCTCAATTGCGTGCTTTACCTTTATTTCATTATCGAGCAATTTAATTCGTTCATCTTTATCATTGAGTAATTTACGTGCCTCTCGCGTTTCATTCTCTTGATCACGTCGTCGTTTCATACACTGTTCTGTACATTCACTTCTGAAAGTATGGAACAATAGAAAAGTAGAGAAAAAGGAATGTAACAAACAAACCTGGGTGGCGCCAAACTCAGTTTCGTCAAATCATCTTGAAGTTTCTTCGTCAATGCTCTTTCGGTCTTGATCTGTGTTTCTAGTCGTTGTTTATTCTGTTTCTCGTCACTGAGTGCCTTTTCAAGCTCAACTAGACGTTGTTTGTCACGATTCTTTTGACTATTGGCCGCTTCGTATCTAAATCCGTGAAGTTCACATAGCTTGGTGTGCAAGAACGAAAATTATGAATTACTTTGTTTGCAATGAACCATTTTCTGTGCGTATATCCTCGAGATCTTTGCGGACATTTTTCAGATCGTTTAGTTGGGTACGGAGTTGCAATTCGGCTGATTTCTGCTTTTCGATCGATTGATTCAGTCGTTGAATATCACTTTCGAGTTTACTGATCTGAAGACTGAAAAAGAAATCAAACAATCGATTTGATCAGTTAATCATGTGCTTTGTAGTTTTACTTCTTTTCATTATCTGAAGTTTCCATTGATGCAAATCCATTCTTATACGATGATGATGAGTCTCGCGATGCAGCTCGAGTTTGTTCTCTTGTTTCTTGTTTCTTCTGTTGTCTTCGATTTTGAGTATTTTGTGTATTCGAAGGTTTAACTAAAGATTTCTTTTGTTGTTTGTATGTCGATGATGAATCGTCGTCGTTATTATTATTATTTCCATTGGAAATTCGCGTATTGCGTGTGTTAGTTGTTGCCGTTGTCGTCGTCTGTACAAGTGAACTGGGAGATGTTAACTCATCCGTAGTAGGGAGCTTTTGTGGACGTTTTGATACTGTACAAGGTAATGATGTTGAATGGTTACTTGATTGTGTTTGTGAATTATTGATAAGTACTGAAGGTAGAGGATTTGAAGTATTTGTCGAGGGAATCGAAGAAGTCGATGGATAATTTCCATCGGAAGTGGATGGATTGGTACATTCATCGTAAGATTCAGAAAATGTACCTAAATTTCGAAGCGATGTCATTCGAGTGAGACAGACAACTGAAATAACTAACCTTTCTCTCGACTTAATCTTTCTTTTTCCGCTTCTTGTTGTACTTCTATTGGCAATGCTTGGTTTATTAACTGGATGTATGATTCATTTACTTTATGAACTTCACGTTGTTTTCTCTGTATAAAATAGAAATTCATAAGGAAAAATTCGATTCCTACGCTGATTGTCTCTCACCAGTCTCCATTTATAAGCAAGATAAGTCTTAAAANCTTCAATGTATCCTGGTATTGCTGATCGTATGCAAAAAGAAATCACAGCTTTAGCACCATCAACAATGAAAATCAAGATCATTGCTCCACCTGAACGTAAATATTCAGTATGGATTGGTGGTTCAATCTTGGCATCACTCTCCACCTTTCAACAAATGTGGATTTCGAAACAAGAATACGATGAAGCTGGTCCATCGATTGTTCATCGTAAATGCTTTTAAATCTTTAGAATTAATTTCAAACAATCTAGACACATACATATGCATCTTTTTTTGTCTTGTCTTCTCTCATGATTTCGTACTAATTCTATGTATTCATCATCTTCTTTAATAAACCTTCTTATGCACATGAATCTACTCTCTTCTAATGACATTTTCATCTCATACTCACATATGTCAATAAAAGAACACTTTCTGATCCAAACGACAGAGTCATCAATTATCTTCTTCTTTTTTGCAAAGATAAGCTTTTGTCATTTTATGCAATCATCTACGATAAATACTCCTCCGAGGATTACATCAATATGAAGAGAGCACTCTCAACATGGATATTATAAATGATCCTTTCCTCGCTTACGATTATGTAACTCTTAGAAAAGCTACACCTGTTCAGTTCACTAGTTGTCACCGAAATTTATTTTCGTGTTTTCTTTTTTTGTCACATTTCGAAACAGAAAGCAATTCACCTAAACTTTCACTTCTTGTTTAAAAAATAAAATCAATCGGAAAGGAAGAGGATTGCACAAAACACGTTTCTTTCACTTTGAAAATCGATCTAGTTCCTTTTTGCTTGTTTATACGGTTGCCAACAATGTAACAACATATTTGCCATGTATAAACTGAATGCATGAATTTGTACCATTATAATCAGGAAAATATACCAAAGTACTAATAGTGGAAAACCGAGAAATGTTTGTGGCTCCACATCGTCCAACTTCTTCTTTGATTTCAAGTTTTGAAATGTAAATAAATCGCTCAGATTAAAGATGATTGTTGTCATTGTCGTACCAAGACCAAATATAACAGTTCCACGAAAGAAAACTTTGATTAGGAAAATATTATTTTTATTGATAGCCAACAGGCCACATATCGATGGAATAATTGTAATCAGCCATAGATAATGCCACATATGCGGCCGTGGAACATCTAATTTTGTTAGTCCAGGTATATGATAAGCTGTAACTTGAAAAACAACAAGACTTGCAAGAAGAAAATGGAGATAGATTAAAATGCGTAGACGTGATTTCGTTTCTGCACTAACACGGTAGTGCGAAGCAATAGTTTCGCGATGTTGAAAATCACTTCCATCTGTGCCAGTAACACGTTGTGAGCCTGGTAAAGACATCTGAAAAAGAAGTAAAACATGATTATCTTGATTTCGGTTTTAAATCAGCATTTAATTAACAAAAAAATTTATCACAAAACACAAAAGCTTGGTTAAAATCTATCTGAAATTTAGATGCGTTTTGTACCAATCCGCTGTGAATCATTTGTTTCCATCATCCTCATATCGAATGACATTCCATCGCCGATAGGTGACGATGATATCAATGGAGAGAATAAGACCAGCTGCCATCGTTTACCAAAAACAACTTGTAAATTGGTTGGTAAACTTCGACCAGTATCATACAAGTGTATATTGTGTTGATATTCATGCCAGGTTTGACTTTTGACAATCAGAAAGAACTGTTGAACGATTAGCGTCGATATGTAGAGACTTAACATAATTGAAGTCGAACAAAGAAATGAGAGCAAGAGAGAAAAATGATCGAGAAGACTGAATAACCATGCTCCAAGTGGAAACAAACAACCTAGAATAGAAAAGAAAGAAAATAGAAGAATCTACTTTGTGATCTATTTTACACATGGCAAGAACATCGATTGATTTATAAATAGCCTAACATCATATAGGTTATTTGTCTGATTTCTATCAGACGAAAACAAGATCTAACGATTGTGCTAACCGTTTGGGATTTCTCATAATGATTATCAGATATTTATATTGTTTGCATACATTGCTGAGTATGTCATAGGGCATCAATAAGATAATTAGAAACCTTACCAATGATAACACGCCATGAAAACGCTCCAACGAGTTCATATGTGTAATCCATATGCAGAATATTGCAATAGAATAGGCCGATCTAAAAGTATAAGACAACTAATCTTTCTTGATCGTTTCGAGAAGCAGTCTCCTTACCCAAGTCCAAACTAAAAAGCACACATAGTATCGAACATTTCGCAATCCGATACACCGTCCGATGAAACTACAATGATGCTCATGTTTCAAAATACATCGTTTACATAAAAAGCAATGTTTCGATCGTGGCGGAACATTAACTTCACATTGATGACAATAATGCCAGTTACAGTGATAATAAATAAGATCTTGCGATTTGTTGTCTACTGTATTCGCTTGTATGGTAGCTGCTGGTAGCATAACTGGACAAATAATTGTATCGACAGACGTATCAATTATCATTGATAAATAGAGATTTCCCATCACATTGAAGATAGCATAGAAACCGAATAGAAGATGAAGAATTTCTTTATAAGTGAAGATATTATGATAAACTGTTGGTAATATCACACTTAATTCGAATATCACATACACACTTATCAGAAATAATGTCAGAAATATTGGCACTAATTCNTTTTATGCTGTCAAAATTCGTTCGTCGTTTCATATTTGTGACAATGCACAAGAGATAATATTGTCATAGACTATATAAAATAGAAAAAAAAGAAGCAAATGGACTAATAGTTTAGTTTTTTTTAAATTAAACGTCAATAACAATTTTTCTATAAGCACAACGAGAGCAAGAGATGGATCGCAACAGAACAGAATAAAAAGAGGACATAAACGTGAGTTCTATGGCTCTATATTTTGACGAGAAGAAATGTAGCACATATTTATAATCACTAGATGTCACCAAAGAACAGAACAGACGGAAATGACGTTTTTTCATAATACTCGTTTTGGACTTACATGTTCGATAGTCGAAAGATATTTTTCAAACAGATCGACAGATTAACATTCAATTTTAAAGTTATGTACGAGTATGAGTGAATTCAGTCTGATAAAAATTCAGAATAGTGTAAAATTGACATACTGGCTGATGTTTATCATCAATTTGTCATACGATCACTATTATGAATATCAATGTGTAGTCTACGATCAAATCTCTTCAATAGATTGGCAGAGAATTCTACTTCAAATAGATCTTCCTAAAGAGCAAATACTTACTTTCGAAGAACTGTTCGTTCGAACAGATGTTCTTCGTATTGAAATATATTTTCAACATTATTCGTTAGTGTTTAGAAGTTTCAATCGAACAAAGATTAATGTTAACCTTATTTTTAAGTTTTTGTAACGATGAACGTCGATCATTTGTTGGATCAAAGTAAAATATGGTTGCACAGAGCTATAAATATCAATTTTAAACGATAGTTAAGCGCGACGTCAACGTCATTCGTCGTGTGTTATGATGATAACGAGGACTCTCCCTTCTCTGTAAATTAGAAAATCTGACAAAGAGATGAAAGACATAAAAATAGACATTCGTTACCGTGTAGCTCAACTTAGCTTATGCTATTAAAAAAATGTACAACATAAGTTCATTCTTGGCGTGTAACTGTGAAATTCTCTTGAAAAAGAGAAATGCAGAACTTTATTTGATACAAAGTGTAAACAGTGTGAACTGTTGTAATACAATTTTTGAGGACCTACAGCTTGTAAAATCGCGTGCTTAGAGTGTCCGATGTCTATCCTACTATAAATCAACCTCAACCCCTGCAGTCAACTATCACATTTGTGTACAGCCCAGGAAATAAAGCAAAATTAGACGTTGTAATTGCCGTTGTTAAATAGAAATAGCAATCATGTGGCTTAATTAATTCTGTTTCATCTTTCTTTCCTTCCAGACGCTTTCTGGCTCATCTTTTCTCAGAACGAGAACGGACGAATATGATTGGCCGAACGATGACCAGTGAGAAATAAATCCTGTTTTCCGAGAAATGACGAAATTAAAATTTTATTCTAGACTTGTTGAATATCGTTTTAAAAGAAAATCATGGTTACCCTTCGAGAACAATTGCACCACTAGGAACTTTTTGTCCACAACGGAGGCTTCATTCATTCATAATGGTGCCTTACTAAAAAATACTCAATAACTGTGAGAAACAATTGATATCAGCAATATACTGATTACTTTCTTTTCCAGTCAGCTCGTATATTAAAATAGTATTGTTTATATCCATTCGGAATGTTCATGTACTTAGAGAACGATGATTTTTTTCTTTTAGATCTGAGAAAGACATTTTTATCCTTGGTATTATTTGCCTCCTGTCAAAATATAAAAATGTCCTACGAGTCATCAAATAACTTTTATTCACATAATAATAATCCTAATCCTCGAGCACAACAAATGTTAAGTTCAAATTATTACAGCAGACCGCCACCACAATCTTCAGCGATGAATCAATATCAAGGATATCCATCTTCAACTTCACATCAGACAGTAAGATTCTTTTTTTTTTCAAACAGAAAAGATCTCATGAAAATATTCAGTTTCCATCATATGATCCATACGAATCACGCTCAACTAGTTATTATCCACCGTATGCAAGCAGTCATGAGCAGCAACGATCAGTAGGAGCTAATTACTATGGTGAAAATCACGTTGAGGTAATAAACAACGCTTTGAAGATTGGAAAAAAATGAGCTATTCATTTGCTTCTTTAGCCATCAGTATATTTATCAAAAGACAGCAATTCACTGAATGATTCGGTACATATTATCTTGATTAATTTTGATCTCTTTTTCAATGATGATCTATTTTCAGAATTCGATGATGGTTTCCAATGATTATCAAACTGGTAATACGAGTACGCCTATGACACAAATGCCTCAGAGTAATATTATCTCTTCCTCTAAAAAAATAACCATAAGATGTTTGTTTATTCTAGGAAACATCAGTTATCACAATTCTTCGATGATGCCTGCAGCTCATCCATCATTAAGACAACAACAACAAGGTTTGACTTGAAAAATGTCGTCATACTAATCGAATATCTTTTCTATTTTCTTAGGCGATCCATACGGAAATAGCAATGCATCTCCATATTCATACGCCAACTCTAATGTGATGAACACACGCTATTCAGTGCCACCACATCGGTCAGCATATGCAAATGATGTGACAATTGGCAAAGTCCAACCATATCCAGCGCAATCTTCATATCCCGCTTATTCGAATGGACCAAGTAATTATCCGACAACATCTCAATCAACTTGGCCTCCAGTGGTTTCTTCGAATACCACTGAACCAGATTCGAACTATTCTCATTCACAAATGCAAACATCATCGTCAACAACAGGAACGGCTGAATATCGTTCTCAGGATGATGATAGCAATTCAGCGAAAGCTAAAGGCAGTGTACCTGAATCTCCAAATTATGCCAATATCTCCTCGAATGTTTTCGACGATGCTGAATCGAGTAATTCTTCGTTCTCGGACAGTCCATCGGTATCCAACGAGAAAGCTTCGAAAAAGCCGAAAAATGCCCAAATCACACAATCCGAAATCTTGAATAAACTACGTGAAATGGGCAACGAACCCGAACGGAATCTATTCATCGATCGTTTACAAAAACTATGGGAAGAACATCATGTTGTTTGTCGAAAATTACCAACCCTTGCTCGACAAACAATCGATTTGTACCGTTTATATCTACTGATTCGTGAACAGAATGGTTTCGAACAATTTTCGAAGACTGCAAAGAATCGTCATTGGCGCGACATTGCCTTGAAATTACACATTCCAAATTGTTCAACAGCTGCACTAACAATGAAACAAAAATATATTCAATTGAAATTGTTCCATTATGAATGTAAATATGATCGAGGGAGCATCGATCCCGAACCAATTCTAGCAGATATCGAAAAACCCAAAGAAAAACGTTCGCTAAAACAGACGGACGAAAAATCGATGAATTCATTCACTGAAACTCCATCAACAAAGCAACCAGAAACGGATTATCAACCGGCTAGTGCGTCCGCGCCAAAGTAAAGTAGAATAGCTCTCCAGTTCAACTCATGATCTTGCTTTCTAGCGTCAATAGTCAATCTCAACACGCTTATATACCACCGACTGCTCAATTTGCCAAAAAAGCGGATGAGTCATACAAAGTTCAGTTACGTGCAATGCCTGTGGCATTCCCGCCGAATTCAGTCGAAGCTACAACACTTTCAACAAAATTCAAACGAAGAAAACTAACTGCGAAAGATATCCGTATGTTCAAAACATTATCAATCTAATCTCTCTGCTGTTTTTTCTTCTAGCGCCGATTGATCCTATGAAACTGTTAATGTCACTACGTGCTGGTTTACTCGCTGAAACGACTTGGGCATTGGATACGATCAATATTATGCTCTCTGACGATCAAACACATACATATTTTCGTCTAAAACAAATGCCGGGTTTATTACAAGCAATCATTGATAACTATTTGAAGTGTTTAACTGAATTATTCGATGAACTCAAAGTCGAACACGAATCTCAATTACAAGAAAACCAACATGAGTCTAATCAAGAGCAAGCTTCAGTTATCTATCGAATCGAATCCAATTGTTTAAATAAATATCAACGAAAATACAGCAGAGCACAAGATATTAAATATGAACATGTTTACGATCAGCAAGGCAATCTGAAAAGCAATCCGGAAAGTGTACGCAATTCGTTGTACTTGAAATTCATACAAAGCTCTCTTCTGTTTCTAGATTGTCGATCTTCAAAACACAGATGACTTGTGTTATATTCAAACTCATTTCGATCCATTGCACGTCGATGATCGTTATTACGAAAATCTTCATCATAGCCATCATTCTGATAGTACCATTTCATCCGAAGAACATGATCAAGAGCCAACGAAAACGTCTGTGAAACGCTTGAAATCATTAGAAAGTGACATGTCTCCGAATTATAACGAAGAGTTTCTTCAGCATTACAAACGAAAGTTTCAATTCGATGAAGATTACTCCTCGTCGACAAATACAGATCTCAATGCCCATATGAATGTCAACAATCAGCAAGAAAACGCCTCAGCAATATTCACTCGGTATTCATTCGGTTATGATCAAACATCTTCCCGTTGCATCTGTATCTCGTCCATCTTACGAAATCTTAGTTTTATACCTGGCAACGACATTGAATTAGTGAAATATCAAACATTAATTCATCTGTTAGCTCGTCTCCTATTACTCAGGCATAATGTTAAGACAACTGCTACTTCGTCAGATAATGATCAATCTCTAATCGATTGTCAATCAAAGGTACTGTCAAACATTCAATTCGAATTCGTTTCAATGCACTTTCTATTTCTAGAATGAAAATTCAACAATATTACCATCGTTTTCTTGGTCCGAATGTTTAATAAACATTCGTGAAAATACTCTAGTCACACTAACGAATATAGCCGGTGTATTAATATTCGATTCGCTTGATTCTGATTTAATCAATCAATTAATCGATGGTTTATTACATTGGTCAACATGCTATTCCGACGAGGCAATGGATCCGATACAATCTCCTTATCTTTCTGCTCAACGTTTATCGATTGAAATTCTAACAAAATTAAGCATTCATGAGATGAACATGGATTTCATTCTTGCCACGCCGCCAGTTCAACGTATCAGTTCTTTATTTCGTATTTTAACCGATTGGTTGAATGTTGACGAAATGAACACTCAAAATTCCCATGTTAATCGATCTCAAACATATACTCAACGTGAATTCGCCATCGTTCTCTTGAATGCTTTGTTGAGATGTGATTCAAATGTCACCAGTATCATTACACATATTCCCTATACGATTTCCTTGTTAATCAATTTCTTAGAAGATTACGAAAGGAAAACTAATGAGCTAAACACACGTTATGGTTCCGATTATGTTCTACGCATATCGAACACTCAACAAGCCGAACAGTTTCTATTCACAACGAATGATATGTTGAAGCGTGCAGCTAACTGTTTATTATTGATTGCACATCAATCAGAAAATACCAAACTAATGAAAAAGTATGAAGATCGAATATTGAATTTGTCAATATCGAACATCATCGATCGAAATGTTGGACGTATTCTTACAGATATTTTACACTATTGTTCATAAGACGACAGTTAAAATTGTATTTTTCTTCGTTTTTTTTTTTTTGTATAAAATAGTTTTTGCTTTTATCAGTAATGGTTTTGTTTCTTTTTTGTCTGGTCATGTTGTTGTCTATTTGTGTGAATTTTATTCGTACTTGACTGATTTTTGTCAGGAAAAGAAGTATATATGTGTATGTATGTATGTACGTAAGCATCAAAGTTTTGATTTTGTCATGTTTAAATATTCTATAAATCTCTTCTTGTGTTGATAATGATGGCCTTGTTTGTCTATCATTAGTCGCATAAGAAACTGAAAGAATGTTCTCGTTTTTCTTTTCTTTCGAATGATCTTGACCGCATGAATACCGCGGGTAATCAACGCGGAATTCTTTTTAACCTTTTATCTTTTCACTCGTTTTTATCGAGAAGAATAAGATAGATTACTTTTGATATTAAAGGATCTCTTGTCTGCGAAGACGAGAAGAACTAACTCTATTCTTCGTTCTAGATCAAAATGATTTCGGCAACTTTTCTCTTTGCGCTTACTCTCAATCTATTCTCGTATACGCGTAAGTTCAATCGACTCATTCGTACAAAATTCACTTTTTCTTTGCCTGTATAGAATCATTGCAAACAGGTTATACATGTGAGACATCAGTGACTTTGAAGTGTCCTTCAGCACGGAAACTAGTGATCTTAGAAGCGACTTATTCATCAGAATGTCCGAGTGTAAGTGAAGAATTAAATGGAACATCAATCTATCCACCAACCCGTTGTATTGGTTATTATCGTGAACGAATTAGTACGCAATGTAATGGAAATGAGATCTGCACAATAAACAACGATCTCGAGCAACGTCCAGCATTTATGGTTGGCAAAGAAGCCAATTGTAATTTTAAAGGACAAAGTATTAATATCGAATATTCATGTGTACCTGGTAAGAATATGAATAAGTTTTTCTTTTTCTAAAAGAAAGCAAAACCTGTTCTTTTTCAAAGATTTTTATTCGAGTAAATTACCTCGTATTGACATTTGCTCGTTACAATCCGTTGAGGATTTAAAAGAAGGTTTCCTTCACACACCTAACTATCCTGCTGGTTATCCAAATGATCTTTCATGTTCAAAGAAGATACCAGAACCTGAATCGGGCCATCGGTAAGTTTTGATTTTCTCAGATTTATGTCCTTGGAGACGGAAAGATGGTTTTTCCTAGACTGAAAATCTATGCGGTGAATTTTGATGTGGAAAGTGCCACGTTCGGTCGTTCTTTCAATGGACTCAAGCTGAATGACTGGTTAGAAATCAATGACAACGGAGAGAAACTCTACGGTGCACGTGACCCATTCACTCTTCTATTCGATGATGTGATTGAAGCATCGTTACAATTCAAATCCAATTCCGCAAATTCAAAACGAGTTTATGGTGGATTTCTTCTTTACTTTATCAGTAAGCGGCATTGTTCACATTTAAACAATTGTCTTGATTCTTACTATTTAGTTGCACCCGTTCGTCGTTCTCGACCTACAACCACAACAAAGATACTATCCACCTCGAAGATAGATCAGCTGACTGTTGGAGATTTGACAACTATCATACAAGAGAAAGCAGCAGCTTTGAAAGTAGATAACCAAGCAGCAAGTACGTGAAAAAGAACGCTGTTCACTGCTCATGAATAAAATGTTTTAGGTAATACTGTCCTGCTTCTACTCGTTATTCTTCTCTCAAGTATTCTCTTCATTATCCTCTGCGCCTTTCTTCTCTATCGACGGTAAGAACTAACAAATTCAACTAATATATTATTTCTCTCGAAATTCCTAGTCGTAACGATCGTCGAATTCGTTATTTAACTGAAACATTCAATGCTTACATGCCCGGTCGATTTAAATTTGCAGTGAACGATTCGACCGAGAACAGCGATGGAAGCGACCTCAAATTCGACGTATCCTCATCATCGACTGCTGATGAGAAATACATCTCCAAATACACAGATAAGCAATATCACGATTCAGATCATATCTATTCTCAAGATCCATTGGAACATGGAAAGACTTCACCAAAACATGAGCAAAATTCAATTGTATATGACTACATCGACGATAATATAATTTATCAGCCAATTGTTAAACCTAATCAAAACATTGTATAATTTGCTTAGTATTTCGACACTTCTCTTTGTGAACATGTACAGTTCATATCATATACTTATCGAACAGTCTATCTCCTTTTTTTCTCTCATTGTATTCAAATCAATCTTTTGTGTGACTTTTTTTTTAGTGTACTTCTTTTGTCTTGTATTGTTTCAATATTCTAATACAGATATACACAAGCATAAAACAGTAATCGATGCATCGTTAATACCACAAGTTCACCTATCCCATAGGTTTTACTTGAGAAGTCTACACACTCGTTACTCATGCACGTGAGATTAATGAAATGAAATTAGTACGCCGTTTGTTGAACATCGTTCTCTCTTTGCTACGTATTTAACTTCGGTAGTCAGATTCAATAGTAAGTAAATACTTTTCAGATTGAAAATTGTTCTTTAGTAGAACTTCCACATGTATATGTATGTATGAATAAAAAATATAGAAAAGAAAAGCTTAGTCAACTTTCTTCGTGTGACTATAAGCAGAGAAAAATGATCAACATTGGAACCATTCAACACTTATAAAAAAAAAAAGAAAAATAAAGAACGAGAAAGAAAAGATAGATTATGTTTTTTTTTCCACTGTACATGATTTGTAATGCGATAAGAATCATCGAAAACGACTAGACGACTGTTGAATTAGTCGGTTGTTTTTCCAGAATATGTTCACGTGCCATATAGATCTGTTCAAAGTGTCTTAAAGTGCGCTCCGAATAATGATTCGGTAGCATAGTCCTTTGATCATCCGATTGAAGATTAAATCGAACACGTCTTGTCGTGTCTGTTCCATTTGCTAACGTCGACGACGGGTTTTTATTCATAATTCCTTCTTTTATCATAATATACGGTTGTCGATAGGATGTTAGTAAATGATTGTTACCATTAGGTATCGAAGGATCGGATGTATCCGACGAGCCACAGAATCCATCATCGGAACTGACAGGTGTGTGTGGACAGTTGTTTGATGATGATGAAACAACAGCCACGGAATATTCAGTAGGTGTCTGTCGTTTTGGAGGACATAGTTCATTGGAAAGAGTTGACGGTGGTCGAAGTGAAAAATGATTGAACGAATGAAATGTTGATGAATCAGTACTGCGTTCGGAATAGTGAGATTCCGGATGATTGATCCAGGAAGGATATGACTAAAAACAACATAGTTCTTCGTCAGATTAGATACATCGAAGTGAAATTTACTTTGCTTTTTTGCGAGTCATAGATATCATGTTCGTTGATTGTGTCGAGCAGACAACAACTATCATTTATAATCGGTGTCGTTGAGAGTAGATCTTTGTTTAATATAAGCAATGACGAATCGTTGTAATCGAAGCAGTTCGTCACTTGCAAATTTCCTTTGGTTGATGGTTTTAGAAGATTGATTGTCGAACTGTTAGATTGTTGTTGAGAATTGGAAGAGATAGCATTTTGTTTTTTCAATAATTTCTTCTCTTTCAATGTTTTACGTCGAATTAACGAAATGAAAATGAAGGTAATTCCAAGAAGGATCAGAATCAATAAAGCAAAAACAATCAGTAGAAGAAAACGATTGGATTGATCAATAATCGATGTGGATCGACTTTTCGAGTTTTGATATTGTAAGTACGAAAAACGATTGTTCAAATGTAAACCAAGATAATCATATTGTCTCATGATCAGCTGCACATGTTCATAATCTTTAACTACAATTAATTTCAATAGTTTTTCGTCGTAAAACTCACGACCATCGACGATCTAAACAAAGCCAAATCGTTTGTTTTACAACAAAGAAAGAGATTTGACATACTTTGAACGCTAGATAATAGACACCTTCGTTTAGAGTCGTTCCATTCGATGAATTAAAAAACAATCGTCCCTGTTGATCCAGAAAGAACTTTACAGAATCGAATTGGAGCATGTGTTTATAATTCTCTAAGTAATCGAAATTTTTCAGTTGATCATAATGATAAATTAATAGTAACGTATGGGTTTGAATTAGATCTTCATCGAGAACCTCGATTTGACAAATATAATCGTTGACGTTCCAATAAGAAAGATCGATGATTAACGTGTCATTGTTATCATTCGGGAAGAGAAATCGAGGAATTTCGTCATTTAAATCAAGGATTTTTATATGAACTTTAATTGGCGACGAGACATGATGACCATCGGATGCGATTACATAGAACATGTATTGATCGAATTGTTCGCGATCGAATGAAGTTAATGCGAAGATTTTGCCATCCGAGGGCGATAGAGAAAATAAAGATTTGATTCGATCGGATGGAGTATCGAATGTATAGACAAGATCAGATCCATCAGCGTCGACAGCCGTGACTTGGCCAATGTAACTGTTCGGAGGATTATTTTCGTTAATTAAAAACTCGTAAGACGATCGAGGAAACTAAAAATATTCGTAGCTGAAGATGAAAAAGGTAACAAAGTTTACCTGAGGGATGTTATCATTTTGATCAATGACATTGACAACGATCATCGCTGTGGCTTTTAATGGTTGTCCGATGTTCGGATGATCGATCGCGGTAACGTTGAAAGAAAAATTTCGAATTTCTTCATAATCAAATTGAATATTCGTTCGAATAATTCCTGTTTGGTTGTCTATCCAAACATAATTATATTTGTCATTATTTATTTCATATGTAATTCGTCCATTTTCATCGGAATCCGAATCATTAGCAAATATTTGTATTAATGTTGTATTAATAAAATTATTTTCTTGTATATCAACATAATAAATCTCCTTCTCGAATTGTGGAGAATTATCATTCGTATCGAGAATATGAACTCGCAAACTGTAATAAGATGTTAACATTGGCTTGCCAGAATCACTAACGATGAGATTGATCAGATAATTATTTCGATATTCTCGATCTAGTTTGGCACTTGTTAACAGAACGTACGTGGAGTCGCCATATGGGCCAGCGATAGTGAATGGAAGTTTTTCGGAAGAATTGATTTGTAGATCGAATTTCGGCGGAGAATCTAAATCCGATGCGATTAGGTTAGCAATAATCACATCGTGTTGATCGACTTTCGATTCATGGACAGAGATTTCAATATGAAACGGATCGGTGTCGTTAATGACCTGGATAATTTGCAATGGGAAGTTCCAGGACAATAACGGCGGACAATCATTCGTGTCGTCAACATCTATGATCACATATGTATAGAATGGGATATGATGAGCATCGTACGCTTGAATCACTAGTTTCCATGTTGTTGTTGCTTCGTAATCCAATGGATTTAATAGAGACAAGTGTCCTGTGGAAGAGTTCAAAGAAAAATATTCGAAGTTTTTCTTGGAATTGGTTGACGAGAGAAGGTAATTCGACGAGTGACATGACGAAGTGGTTTTGAGATGAAGAAAGTTTTTGTAAACTTCGTTTTCTTTTAATTTTATACGATAAGGACTCTTTTCGAATTGACAGAGACGATTTTTTGCACAATTGGTTTGATTCGATTGGATATTAAGTTCGTAGATGGTGGTATTATGCGAAAAGTTCAATTCGAAGACTAATGTCGAATTTAATGAACAAAATTGCTTCAATGATGTTCGTGTTATTAATTGACATGAAGGATTCAAAGCGAAATACTTCGATTCAGTTCGCAACAGACATCGATAAGGATAGGTTCGATGAAATTGTTGACGGAAATCATGAAGAACTAAATCCGATTTCAAATAACTGTTCGGATCGATGACGATAGTCGAAATTGAATTGACCGAGGAGATGACAACGATGGAAACGATAAAATAAGAAATCATGAGTTATTTATCTAGAAAATAAACATTTTAGTCTAAGTAGAATTTCCAAGGCACAGAGACGATTCTAATCGAAGAAATATGGAATCAATTAATAGAGTTGACAATATCATCTTCCTTTATAGACACGACGATCCTTCCTGTTTATTCATCAATCGATCCATTAGTCTTCTAATTGTTCCGAAGGACAGATGTGTCTTATAAAATTTCCTGTTTCCTCTCAATGGTGAATGAACCTGTACATGCATAGAAATTCAAACTCGATAACTTGTTGAATCTGATCTTTTTCTCTATCCTCGCTTGCAGATGTTTATTATTGATTAAGAAAAAGGAAAAATGATCGATCTCAACTTGTCTTCGAAGTCATATTTAACAATAAATCTTCTTCGCTTTTTTTTTTCACTCGAGAAATAATTAACGATGCTTCATTACTCGCATTGTCTAGCGAATTACATCATATTCATATCTATTTCTAGTAAATAGAACTATATAAATCTCCAAATCAATCTCCCCCGAGTGTTAATCGATTGAACAAATGATGATTGAAAAAGCAAGAACGACAATGAAAAGATTGACGAACAAAGCAATGCTGTTGTAATACCATGACTTGGTCAGAATCGATTAAATCTACTCTCTAGTAATTCAATTCTATAATCAACGACATATCTTAATGATTAGAAGAGATTTTACATATTCATTTGATAATCCACTCTACTTATACATCGATATTCAATACTTAGCACGCGCATCATACGGCTTATACAAACTGATATGAACAATGATGAGTGGGACGGACGGATATACGTATGTACATACATGTTCAATGTAATCAATCGTGTGATATAATCACGTCTATCCTATCACTGGATGTGAAAGAAGAGAAAGAGCTTGATACAATTAGAGTTCGAGTCACAGTAAGCGTCCGGATGGAAGTATGGTTGAATAACTCTAATGAGATTAGAAAGTACATGTATCACTCTCTCTCTCTCTTTTTTCTCTCACGTAATGGTAACGTCTTTCTTTCATTCTTTTTTTTTCGGTGAACGTCAAAAACACTTACGTACTTGAAATAAGAATAAGCTTGTAAGATGTGTCTGATCTGGATGAGATTGAAATGGCATTCAATCTTCTAGTGTGTGTCTGAGAAAAAAGATCAGCTGTTCCATCAGCGAACGATGAACATTGTTATCTCAAATGTGACAGTCTTGTTCATCAATTTTGTTTGGGAAGAAGAATATAATGCATTAGATTGATGTCTAATCGCAGCAAGCGTCTAATGGTCAATACTCGTAAGTGATTTGATTCGATGATTGTTTACTTGAAAGGGGAAAAAAAGGAAAAGGGTGTCAATAGAACATTGATTCTCATTTGTTGAAAATCATGAACTGAATTGACATGTAAAAGTGAGGAAGAAAGAAAAAAAAACCTATTTGAACTAACATAAACAAATAATCGACACTGTCGTCATCGCTATTGAACGTTGTTCATATGTACATATACATTATAGTAATGTGTTTGATAATTGTTCGATCGGCTATTGTTCATGAGTGCCGTGTGTTTTTTTAATGATTGTCTACAGCTGTTCAAGTGACTTTTGTGACGCGAACGATGTCAATAATGAAGTATCGAGAAAGAAAAGAAACGTTTGGCTCATTGTCATACACATCTATGCCAATAATCATCATTATCTCGAAAGTGAAATCGATAGACAACAAGATTATCTTTTCTGCTATAGATCAAGGTAATTCTCACCCTTCTCCAATATCTTCCTGTTTGTTTAAGACAAGTAGCTTACTTCATAGTTGGATATACATATGATATCGCTCTTTTTTTTCATTCTCACACGCGTGGATGAATACTTATTATGACTACCACAATATACACATATGTATTTATGTACACGACGAACAACCTGCGGTTATGTACATAGAGAAGAAGAAGAAAAAAAGAACTTATACGCGATGCAAACAAAGTTAATTAAAGAACGAACCGGATGAAGTAGAAGGATCGAATACAATATATGTTTGTATGTGATGCAAGATGTTCAGTGACAAAGAGGGCAACGCTGCGCCGATAGTCAAATTTGTTAACGGTACATACAACAGAAGGACCTTGAAAAGGAAAGAAGTTGTACATGTGAACAATCTATTCAATATACGAAGATAATTAGTTTATTCGAGAAATCAAAAGAAATGTAATAGATATTTTTATTAAATATATACATATACCTCTGTATGTATAATGGCTCGTGCTATGATAAGATCAGACGCGTCATTGCTTGTTCTTTTGACTATCTCACTATTTTTTTTTCTTATGTAAGAAAATGATTATTTATTTATAGATGAAGACAGAACTGTTGCCACTTACTTTGTTAATGACAGCTGCTTCAAAAATGATCTTATTAAATCATATTCTACGTACATATCAATCAATAAAATAACTAGGAGTATTTAATAGTCGATAAGAGCAAAAACCGGAGGTCAACCTAACATTATATCATAAGATTCATTACTATTGAATCCTCTACAAAAAGAATGATATGTATATATATATGTACATATCGAAGAAGAGAGAGAGAGAGCGAGCGAGAAAGAAAAAAAGCTGAAGGTTAATGATAACAGCGATTGTAATCATGAAGATAGAATATTGTTTGATTTAACGACGGATTACTTAGAGGACATTTAGCACGACTGAATGAGTATAGAAGATTGTCCCTGAACGAAATATGAGCATTCAGTAATCTTCCTATCTATGATTTTGAATAATAGAAGAAAAATGAAGTTGAGGAGGATAAGTATATAATCAATAAAAAGAAAAACCAACTCTTTGGATATGATCATTAAGAAGGGGAAAGATATACATCTTTGTTCAGCATATGTTACACATATAAACACTATTGACATGTCGCATTCTGTCTATGTGTTAAAAAGAAAAAAGTATTCCCATAATACGATTGATTATTCAATGAGTTGCAACCATGAATTCTGTTAACTCTAGTTCGTTCTCTCGTTTTTTTTTCTTCATCACCACATATTCTTATCACCTTGCATGTCATTTATCTAATTCAATCGATTAGCGATATTCTTCTTCATCTCTTTTACCTTGATAGATACTTTTCTACTTGTCTTTGCGACGTGTTTATAACAGTCTATCTTATTAGTCTGATCATTTTCCAAAGACTTTCTTTTTCTATACGTAATCTGTCATCGATTGTTTTCTTTTGATGATGTTTATATAAAAACAAAGATGTAACAATGGAAAGAAAAGTAATAACCTTATCAATCATTGTCGAGTATAACGGCTTGTTGATCAATTCATATGTGAAGATTATCATTTGATTTTGTCAAGACGTATAATGAATGGACACGCATAGTATGAAATGAAAATCGATCAAAATTACCTGATACATATACACCTCGAGAAAAGGTGGATACGAATGACCATGTATCATTTTGTCATCATCTTTCTTCAACACATGCAATCGAAACCCGTGTAGTAGATATGCTTTTCGTAAGCGTCTCATACATATGTAATACAGTTGATACAAAAGTCGATTGAATCACTAGACTGAATATCGAATTTTCTTTTGAAAATAATAGACTGAAGGAAGATCAGTTCAAGCAAAAGTATAGTTTTCAATATGTAGATTTTGGTTTTACAAAAGAATCTTTATGCGTGCGATCCACATACGGATCTGAGGACATCAAATACAGGTGTAACTATTACTTTCACATTCTATCCTGCTATTTGATATTGCCTTGGTTCTAAAGCTTCTCTAGTTATTTCAACAATGTAAAGCTTGTGTTATCAACTACAGAATTGTCATCTTCGTTAGAACTCGAGCCAACACGTCAGCTATGTTATCATTATGCGTACATTTTTCAGATGTGGAACTCTCTGAGATACGGCTGGAGACATTTTCTATCAAAATATAGTGTAGTGTCTTTCAGGTGAAGTCTCTGAACGTACACAATATTCTGAAAAATCTGCTTTGTTAACAAAAATTAAACATCCGTATCACATGATTGTAATTTAATACATTGCTGCTTTGTTTCCACAATAAACACAAGGCAATGAAGGTATTTCGATCGATACGCTTCAATAAATCTATCCTTTGTTTGCAATCTTTACATCAGCAAATATAATACGCACAGAGACGAGTCGATGAAATACTGTTGTTACAAGTTGCATATAATTACTGATTTTGTTTAAGGAGTCAATCACACCGAAAAAATAATGTTGAATTAATAAATATGATTGGCCCTTTTGCATAGCAACGCGGATTGTATTGGTAAATTCGGCATTAACTTTTCTGGTGTAGACATGCACAAAACCCAAACTGTTTGGGTTTAGATATTATTATGGTTACGTATCCAATCTTCTCATGACATAGTTGGTTGCTCAAACTGATACCCAAACTCAAAATCCAAACCCAAACTCCCAAACAGTTTGGGTTTGGGTTTGGGTTTGGTGCATGTCTATTCTAGTGTGAAAGGGGTCTAAGATCATTCCAATAAATATTTATATATTCTATATAATGAAGACTGTTCGCGTGATGTTAGTTTTTTATCGTTATTTTGCGTTTAGTAGTCAAATTTCGAATACAGAAAGCGAAGAATTCTTTTTTATTTATAGAGGACAGTGGAAAGATGAAAAACAAGTCATTGTCGAGGACAAAAAAAATATTTGATGGAGAATTTTTTTCCGATGTCTATCTACGTGAAGACGCGATTAATGGATATGTTACTGACTTTACCGCACATGTTGACGTTGTTTCCCTTCCCTTCTCTCGTTATTGTATGAACCATTTGTTCTAGAAGTTGTAGTAACAATGGCAGTCAACTATTTGAATGAAATTATCTCAGTCTTTCTTGATCGCAACGTCGCTTGTCTAAGAGACAACGAGCTAAGCAATGTTATTAAAGTAAAAGACAACACTTGCTCTCCTGAAAAGATATGCCACATAACAAACGCATCACCATCGCTATTCCAACTTAAACACT